CTTCTTTGTCGGGGGTACCTTCTGGGGCGGACCTCTTGGAAATCACCGGCATGTCCACATCAGCAAAGTCAGGAACTCTTTCTCAAAGTCAGCGCTAATGTCTTGCCACTGCGCGCCCAAATTGGTGGCTTCCCCGATCGTCTTTGCTGTTTTGTACTTCTCATACTGTTCCCATGCCTTTGACCCTGGCTTTTTAGGATTCCCTTCTTTGAAGCACACATTTGTCTCACTACACCGGTGAGAGCTGGGCGAGGGCATGCTCTCTCCCGACATTGCGCTGGGGTTAGTGCAGCTTCGCCAATGCGGAGGCCACGGCATGGATGCGGCATCCAGGTGGTGACGTCGCGCGCTGGCCGTTGGCCATTGCCGGTCGTGGCGATCGCGGCGTCGCATGGTTGCACCATGCCCCCCCGATGGGGGGAACGTAGTTTCGCTGTGACGATCCCTATGGTCAGGCTCCCCCCCCGCAACGGCGCATGCAGACACTCAGCTAGCAGCATTTGCTTTTTCCCGCACTGCTGCGGACCGTGCGACGCTGTGGCACGCCTGCAGGGAACGTTGCGTGGAAGTGAAGGTCGCCTCCTTGCTCCACGGAGCGGCGGACGCACTCCTATACAGCCGCAGCCGCAGCACTGAGGCATCACCACTCCCGCGCCACCGTGGCCGCATGGACATTGGCAAGGGCGATGCGGGCAAGGGCAAGCGCATGGACAAGAACAAAAGCAAAGGCAAGGGCAAGGGCAAAAGTGGGCCGCCATGGATCGGCGACTGCCCTGGTGCGCGAGGTCGCCGCAGCCGGCCGCCTGTGCGACGTCCACGCTGCCCGCAACTGCGAGCACCACGACGCCGACAGCGCGAACTGCCGGCCACTGCGCCGAGTCCACGCCACACGCCGATGCCCCACATGCCGCAGCCGTTTCGGTTCCGCTCTCCCCGATTGGTTCCTTCGCCCTCATGGCAGAGGCAGCTGACCCGGCGGACTGTCGCATCTGTGGGTGGCGGCCAGCGACGCACCACGAACGTGGCGCAGGTCCCACATGTGAATTCGGATCAGCGGCTCTGTACGGAGTCGCCCACTTAAAAGTCGGCAATAAAATCGGCTCAGCGCCTGCCCGCCCCCTCCGCCCTCCCGCCCTCCCCCTATGGCCCACCATGCCCCCCCCCCCATGTCTCCATCCTCCATTGGCCCCACCTCGTCTCATGGGTTCATACGCCCAACTCCCGCTCATGCACCCATGATCCCATGCCTCCACACCTCATACCCTGACCCCATGGCCGTCCTGGCACTGCCTCACTCCCCATGCCCACCCATGGCCCCCGCCTTCACACCGTCGCCATGCTTTCGCCTTCTCCCAACCCAAATCCCACTCTCCCCCCCCGCCCTCTGGCCCACCATGCCCGCTCCCCTCGCCCCCCCCAAAGCCAGCCCCTTGGGCCCCCTTCCCTATGCCATAAAGCCCATCCTCCATGGCGCAGCATTTGCCTCAATGGTCCATGGCTCCAGTTTTAAAGCCTGCCTTTGGAAGGGCTCCAGTGCCTCCCGCCATGTCCCATCGCCAGGGGGGCTGGCCTCATGCTCCCCATTGCTCCATCCTAATCTGAAATTAAAGGGCTCCAGTGCCTTCTCCGCAGTCGCTTCCGCTCACCCTCTCTCCGCATCGTGCCTTCGCCCTCCAACCACTAAAGCTCCACTCCCCCCCTGGCCCCGCCTCGTATCAGGGGTTCAAGGCGCCCGCCCTCAGCCCCTGACCCCATGGCCTCCATGGACGGGCCTCATGCTCCCTGGCTCCATTCCATTTTGGGGGAGCCGCTTAGCCGACCAAACGGAATCCATTTAACACGTCCCGGAAAAAACAAATGAAGGTCTCCAGTGCCCTGCCCACCCGCTCCGCTCCTCCCGCCCTCGATCCAGCCTTTTCCGCCCCCCCGCCCCTCTATGGCTCCTCCGCCTCCGACCCCATTGCCCCCTTGACCTACGGTGCCCGTGCCTTAAAACAAAAGAAAAAAAAAAAACAAAAAAAAAAAAAAAAAAAAAAAAAACAAAAATAGCAAAGGAAAACAAAAAAAAAAAAAAAAAAAAAAAAAAAAAAAAAAAAAACAAACAAAAAAAAAAAAAAAAAAAAAAAACAAAAAAAAATAACAAAAAAAAAAACACAAAAAAGAAAAAAAAAAAAAAAAACAAAAAAAAAAAAAAAAAAAAAAAAAAAAAAAAAAAAAGAAAAAAAAAAAAAAAAAAAAAAAAAAAAAAAAAAACAAAAAAAAAAAAAAAGAAAAAAAAATAAAAAAAAAAACAAAAAAAAAAAAAAAAAAAAAAAAAAAAAAAAAAACAAAAAAAAAACAAAAAAAAAAACAAAAAAAAAGAGAAAAAAAAAAACAAAAAAAAAAAAAAAAAAAAAAAAAAAAAAAAAAACAAAAAAGGCTCCACTCCCACTCCCCCCCCCCACCCCCCTATGGCTCACCATGCCCCATGGCTCCACCCCTCATACCCCATGACCCATGGCCTCCATGGCACTGGCCTCATGTCCTCCCATGGCTCCATTCAAGAGCTGAATTTTGAAGGGCTCCACGGCCTGCCGCGTCCCCCCGCTCTTACCCCTCTCCGCCTTTTCCCCCCCCCCCCCCTCGATGGCTCCGCCCGCATTCCGACCCATGGCCCCCCCTTTGACCTACGGCGCCGGCCTTAAGTCTCCACTCCCCCCCCCCCCCCCCCCCCCCTATGCTCCCATGCTCCCCCTCCCTATGTCCCCCCATCATCCGTTGGGGCCCCACCTCGTCTCCAATGGGTTCATGTAGTTTATAGCACACTCCCGCTCATGCATTCCATGCCCCCCATGTCTCCACGTCCAGGCACTGGCCTCATGTCCCATGGCTACCATTCAAAGCTGAAATTTGGAGGGCTCCAACTGCTGCCCGCCCACCTCCGCGTCCTCCCGCCTCGCCCCCCCCCCCCCTATGGCCCACCATGGCCCCCCCCCCCCAGTCCCTCAGCCGTGGGCCCCACCTCGTCTCATGGCGGTCGTGAGTTTGCACCACCATTGGAGCTGGGCGATGGCGCAACGTACCATGCTCCCCTAAGCGTCAGACGAAAAAACTACACAAAGGCGGTTGGTCCCAAAAGGACCTGGAGCCAAAGTGTCTAACGGTAAACATCACCGAACATTCTCGGAGCACTTGCGCCATGCATCGGGAAGGCTGAGCTGCATGGTCCGTGAGGTGCTGCCCTATTTTTGGGGGGCAGACCCCAGCACGGCAAGCATTAACAATTCCCTCTGCCTACTTGACTGCAAAGAAATAAAAACAGAGTCCCCTCCTCCGCGGAGACCTGTAGCTGATGCTTCGGCTATGCAACAAGCCGACAATCACTACAACCCTAAAAACTCATTGGGTTAAGGTTGTGGGGCTTTCGTCGCTTGTGAACATGCCCAACAAGATGCGGCACGGCCAAATCACCGCGTCCTACTTGGTTGAATTCTGGCGCCCGACACCTGGTGATGCAGGATGCGTCCACCCCACCATCAGAAGGCAGAAAGGCGGCCGTAGGACGAACCCCCGACACCTGCAGGAGTCTCCGGCGTCCCGCAAGACCTCCAGCACCATGCTTGCCGATGGGCCGTACCAGCATGTACCACTCTGCAAGCTATGCACAAGAAGCGTGACGGACCCGGGGGGCTCGGTTTGCGCAGTGCTGTTCGATTAACGCCTGCAGCCTACTGGGCGTCCAGGGCTGATGCGCTTAAAGTCCTCTCCCATCGTGAGCCCGTGTTTACTGAGGGGCTTCTCGGTTCACACCAAGGGCAAGGGCCGTTCCGTTGCGGGCAACAGGTCGACCAGTGTGGGGACCACGCCCTGGCCGGCCCCCGCACGAAGTTGTTGGCACGACGCGCGAAGACCGTCGAGCGAGCCTGGGTACGCCTCGCCCGCGAGGCGGTCGGATCCGAGGCAAGTCATCCCCCAACAGTGGCTGGTGCACACTCCTGCACCGGGAGTGCCGGCTGATGATGATGATGATGAAGTTGAGGGCAACAACCTGTGCGTACCTAGATGCGGTTAGATGCCCGCCATCAAGAAGAAATTAAAAAAGATCTCCGCAGGCAGCTAAACTGCGCGGGACCCTTCCGAAAGGCCGAACTCAAACAGTCCTGACCGGGAGCCGTCTACGGCGCCACGCTGCGGGGAGGCGCGTTGTGTTGCGATGCCACTCTCGTCTCCCCACTCGCGCGGACAGGGCATCCGCAGCCGGGCGCCGCTGATGCGGATGGCGCCGTGCTCCGGGTGGCCGAGCTCCGCAAGCGGTCCACCTACCCAGAGCTTCCTGCGCGTCCGGTTGCAGCGAGCGCCTCCCGCTCTTCGCCGCGCAGCAGGCCGTCGCCAGCACGGCGCTGGGGCAGGCTTGGCCCGCGCCCCACCCGTGTCAAAGGGACGAGCCGCCCCTCGAGCGGGTGCTTGAGCTCGCAGACCCTGCTGGCCCTAGCCGCCTGCCGCTGCGCCCGTAGCCGTGCAGGCGACGAGCAGCAGGCGATGTGCGGGCGCGTCGATGCAGGTACGTAGTCTAGCGCAGCGGGACAGCTGCCCTGCAGGCGGAAAAGGGGCGCGGAAAAAAACAAATTGAAAACACCATGCACTCGTGGTGTCACGAAAACGAAATGTCCATATTGGAGTTCCACAAACCAATATTGCTTGTTGTTGGGAGCACGGGTTGTCTGACTCTGAAGCCAGGACGTATCAAACAATAGACACAAGTGAGAAAGTGTGTGAGCTGGTTGCATGATGTTGTGTGCTTTACTGGCCGCGTGCAAGAGTAAGTGTAAGCTGCCAAAAAAAGATTCAAAAACCAAGATCGTGTGAGAATGGTATATGGTCGCCATGTGCTCGCTTGATGTCGTGGTTGGGCAGTGCTCGCGTATTGGGCGCACGCGGGTGCTTGCGATGCATTTGTTTTTTTCCGCAAGCCTTAGGAGCGAACATGATGCACCTATTGATTTGCGAACCTGCGCCAAGGCATGCCAGCGGCCATTGACGTTATCCCCGACAGTGATAGCGATGTTGCCGAAATCGTGGATGTGCTAGACAGCTCTTTGACGGCACCGCAAATGTTCGACTCTGTTCTTAACAAAAGTAATGTGCGCTCTTGGGTGGGCGTTTCCGGATCCCACCCCTGCTTTCAAGGCGACGATGAGGATGATGCCGATCGCTTGCATGTGGTGTGGCATGAGCTTTCTTCTTCACCGATTGCACACCGACCAAGGTCGCGGAAGTTAATCCATCAGGAGCCCCCCCGCTGAGCTTCCACGGGTACCGTCGCGGACGTGAGCTTGGGCAGGGAGGCTCGAGCCAGGTTTTCGTTTGCAGCCAGGGCCTAAGGCAGCCGGGCAGGGCGGAGGTCGTGCGTAATTGAGTATTACTTTCAATCGAAACCACGCTGTTTTGATGGCAAGGCAAGGTTGGTTGTCAAGTAGGCTTCGCGGCCAAAGCGGTGAACCTCCGCAGTGTGTTGGTTGCAGCCAGCATGCCTGACCTCATGATGTCCGGGATGTCCCCGAAACATACTGTAGTCAAGCACAACCCGGAGATGCATGCTCATGTTGAGGACTTCGCATGAGTCCCGATGTCGAGCGAGAGCTGAAAAAACTTTCCCGGGAGGCAATCGGTGTGCACTGATGGATTTACACATTGGTGTTGCAGCATGTTGTAGCGCCTCTCCAGGTAGACATTTGGAAAAAGTTGCCTGTTCACCCGAACGTGGTTCAGCGCCTTGTGTGGCAGTTGATGCAAATCTCATCCGGCGCCCGAGAGCTAGCAAATTGATGCAAATGAAGCTTCAAACATCCACTAATATCCACTAGAGTCTGAGCTGAGGTTGGTGGACTCGTTCCAGGAAGGATCTTGGTTCCTGATGGTGTTGGAGCTGGTCGGTGGCGGGGACTTGTTTACGGCCCCTTGGGACAGACGTCGACAACGACGCGCATCAAAGGCAGAACAGGAGCTTGGGTTTGGCTTTGAGATTTCCGTTGAGGTTCTCACATCCAGATCGCCATCGCGCTTTCTGGATCGTGAGGCTGCTTATGTTGGCACTCAGCTGGTGCAAGGCCTCGCCTTTCTTCACAGCCAGGGCCGCACGTCTGCCATTTGCACCGCTTCTTTCACGCCTTTCTCTCACACGCTTTTCTGGTGCGCCTGCATCAAAGGTGTCATACACAGAGATTTGAAACTTGAGAACGTGCTGGTTGCTTCCCAACGACGCGCCTACACCAATGGGCCTATGCTTTACAATGCCGCTGGGCAGGGCTCATGCAGCTGCGCGTGATGCTGCCCCTTGCGAAGCGTCAAGACACCATCTTAGGTCAAGATTACGGATTTTGGACTGTCGAGAGCCTTGTCTGTCATAAAATTCACTGCCCACCGCTTCAACCGCGAAGAAAGCTCGGTACCTTCTTGGTCTGAGTTCTTGACCGCTTTCTTGTTACTGTTTTGTGCTCGCCTGCGGGTGGATAGCTCATGGAATTTCATGGGTGGCGGTTTGCCCACGCGGTCTTCTAGTCTTGATATGTGATAATCAGGAGTTTTGGACCCTAGCGCGTCCGATGCCTTGTCCACTGTCGGCACGCAGCCGTACTGTGCTCCGGAAGTGCTCGGCAACTGGGATGAACAGATGGACATGGCTGAGTGTGGTAGCAAGCCCCAGTTTCTTGCAAAACTCTGGCCAGTCCCGCGCCAGGTGAAGGGTCCCACAGTTTCAGTGCAGACGTTTGGTGCCTGGGGGTGGCTCTGGCAGCATGTGTCTGTTCAGAAGCAGCTTGTACGAGCTCCTGTAGCCTCTTCCAGCGATTTCCAGCTCATTGTCGGTGTCGTGCGCGTGCAGCGGGCGGTGCCAGTGCTTCACATGTCGAGTGACCCAACGTGGGTAAGGTGCTGCTGTTTGTGTTGATCGCTGGGCATTTCCCCTACAACATTGTGCCGACCGAGCAACTGGACCTCGACCGAATAGTCCTCAACAGCGCAGCCACACAAGCTGCCAAGGCGCCTCAGTGCTGCACGAGGGACTCGCAAAAAGAGGTGTACAACGTAAGCATATGTAAGCATACACATGACAAAAAGGCATTGCGACATTGCGTGGAAGTGCTGAGATGTGACGCGTGTGCACGCTTCAGGCCGTATTGCTCGGACTGCTGCAGATACAGCCGCAGATGAGGAGCAGCTTGCGCTTCGGCAGCATTCGTCGGCATTTGGCTTTCCTTACGTGTGCAGCTGCAGGGGTGTTCGTTGGTTTAACATTCAGCGGCTGTCAGTACGAGTAGTGCCGATGACTTGGCCGGTGGCATGTTTTTTAGAGCACGCATGCTGCCGCTTCGTCGCGGCATGTCGCGACAGTCCCTGGCGAAACTTTCGCCTACTGTCATTTTTTTTTGGCTCTTTGCTCCAGTGCGGGAACCTTTTTTGCGGCATTTGTGCATGGATGGTGGTCATCTTTACTTCTGTAGAACTTCAGTGGGCAGGCCTGACCTCATCATTCATCAGTGGTTTCAAGAGGAGGAAGACCTGGAAGCACAGCCTTTGAAGCGCCACAGAAAGCAAGAACTCAGCCACTCAGTTGTGTTTAGACTTCGAGACCGCTGTATGTCTTCGGGTCGTTCACGATATTTCACGATGTCAAGGTGACGTGGGCAGTGCACCGGCTAATCTCGTTGAGAACCAGGCCGTGGGCTCAGTTTGCCCATGTTGACGCTTGCAGAGCCGTCGGTGTAGTCGGGTGGATTCGACAGGCGCCGCAGACCATCGAAGAGGTGGAGACGTCGCAACAATCTCCATGCGATTCGCCTTTCCCAGGTGCCGACTCGAGCTTTGATTGTGTTGATGGTTTAGTGTGTTTTGAAAAGTTGTTGCCTGAACATATCTGAACCTGGAGCTTTCTCAGGCTCTCCGTTTCCTTGCGAGTCACCGCTGCCCTGCCCATCGCCTTTGCCAACAGCTTCACCACTGCCTGCTGCATCACCGCTGGATATGGAAGGAGTGATTTAGGGCAAAGAGCTTCGGGATGTTCGCCCTAAACCCTAAAACCCTAAACCCCAAACCCTGCACCCACTCCGCAGGGAACAGTCGTGGTCGTACGTGTTACAGGTTCGCAAAAGGGGCCCCGAGGCTGCCCTACCCATCCTCCTCGCATCACATCGACAACGACCTGCTCAAAACTTCAAGCTGGGAGGGGGTGGTGTCAGGTCGCACTCCAGGCCGGGCACTTCAATCCAACCATCCCTTAGGGGACCAGTGAATCGGCACCGCATTGAAACACTGATTAAAATCTCTTTGGGCGGAGGGCTGGTACACAGGTGCATCAAGCCCGGCGGACTCATTGAAAGCCCCCCCTTGTGACAGCTTTCATTGCCACGCCCACCATGAGTGAGACGCTCCCAAGCTGCCGTGATCCCAGAGGGGTCTGCTAGGCGGGTGGCAAAAAAAACCCTGCACCCTAAACCCTAATCCCTAATCCCCAAACCTTAATCGGGTTTAGGGGGCTTTCAGATGTGCTGGTGCAAGAAGCATCGGAAGGAATCGCCTCGCCGGGCGTTTGGACGCCGTTTGCAGTGGAAGCCTCTGTGAAGCTGAGCGAAGTGCAGTCCCCTGCTGACCTGCAGCCTGACTACATGCAGGCAGGGCGAAGCAAAGCACTGCCGACGGTCATGCGAAGGCACGCGGCGAAGTAGCACTTGTGCCAGGTTCACATCATCATTCAAGACCGGTATGCGGGCTTCATCCTGGGAAAGAGTGGCACCAGAATCCAAAAGACAGCGTTCAAGAGCGGCTGCAAGGCCTGCCAATGCCTGCCGTGTGCTAGTGTTCAATCTGTCTCTGTATCTGCGTCACGTGCCATCACGCGGCAGTTCGTACCAGGTTTGGATGACTTCACGGGATGGTGATCAGGATCGTCGCGTCATCGTTATTGGTGGCTACAAGTCGCTTTGGCACGTGATGAAAGATCACCTTGGGCTATCTATCTAGAGACTTTCTCGGCAAACTGCTGAGGCAGTGCAAGTTGGCACAACAGATGATCCACGAGCAGCTCGCGACGCTGGATGCCAACAATTTTGCAGTGTCCGATGTATGTGTGTGTGTGGGTGGGCGTGTGCACACGCTGGGCTGGTGTTGCATCCACGGAAGGGTTACGTGGAAAAAGCAGGTGTTTGAACAGTCTCGGGCCCCTCGCACTTCCCATATCTAACAGTGAAGACGCGCACCTTCGTACTTCCGTATCTCTTGGAACCTTGTGCACATCATACCGTCACACCGACAGATGCATGGATAGATGAAGATAGTCATCATGACGCCCAACGTGGCGAAATTATTGTTAATCGCAACTATGATGGCATTCTGCCCATGCCAAAGTGTCATGTGAGAAAAGATGAAACTTGTCGATGACTTTGCTACTCCCGCCATAACATGGCACCTGTCCCTGGTCATCTGAGTGATTTTGAGCTAAGGACTGCCATGCACATGGACTGGCAAGATGCCGAAGCCGACACCGTCCTTCTTGTTCGCGCCGATGCTGCAGGCATGGTGACCGGCAAGCAAGGCCGGTGCACCACTACGAAGATATGTTCTGCGTACATTGGCGTAGCCGCGGCACATCATTATCATTGCTAGGCTTCGTTCTCAATCAGATCCGGAAGCAGTCCGGAGCAAATGTCCAGCTGCTGCGCGATGAAGTGCAAGGCACGCGACCTTGCTCCTCGACCACATTTGCGTGTGCACCTGCTTCCGTGTCGGTGGCTCTTGAGACTGCCCCTTAATCGCGGCTCAGGCATAATCAGCGGCACACTGCACAGTATCCTCAAGGCTCAGAAGCACATCTTCGAGTTGGTGTCGCTTGGATTTGCTTAGGGCATCCTTGGGGATTCCTTGGAGCAACGGTGCGAATCCAAAGCAGCTGTCAGTGCCAAAGCAGCTGAGGCGAGCTGTGCCGGTTGCGATCCGTCCTGCCACTCCGAATTTGCGCCCATCGCAGCACCCCTTCGCCGGATGAGCTTCGGCGCTCCGGCTGCCCAAGCTGGACGCCAACTGCAGCTGTGCAATTGTGGGAAGATCTGCAAGGCCTCAATGTGCCTGGCATGTCATGATCACCACCTGGCGGTCGTTTTCCCTTGCACGCCAGCGGCGTTGCGCAGGGTCGAACTCCTCAGGAGACGTAGTCAGAGCACCGAGCACCGTAGCGTGAAGCAAAATAAGGGAGAGTTCCGTAGACTATGGAGAAGTGCTGTCCGGAGTTAGGAGCCCTTGCGGTAGAAATCGAGACCGCCAATGTTAGGAAGACCTTGGGCCCGCCCTGCGGAAGCCGCCACAAAACGTTGCCATTCCAGAAAGTCTTGTTGGTTATCAGCGGCCCGGTCCTCCTCTGTGACTTAAAGACCCGCCCTCGCGTGCCCAACTCAGAGGTTTGAAGCCCTGGTTCAGGGGCACGGCCTGTCCGAGATGCTGTCCAATTGTTTTGGGGCTGAAAGCCCGATCCTGGGAGCATGATGCTACTGAGCCTACTGAGCCTACTGAGCCTACTGAGCCTAGCAGCGTAGTCACATATTGCCCTTGGAGTTGGCTTGAGTCTGCCATGCTCCTTTCTCGCCTCGGATCGGCCATGTGCCCGTGTCTTTGGGACTGCAAACGTAGCGCCTTCAATACAGGCACTGCACCCGCGGCTGCACTCTTTCATTTGCAGATTGGAAGGTGCAGTCCTGTTTGCATGCACAGGCGGCGTCTCGTGTGGTTTGAATTGCCAGCTGCTACCTACCTTCTTGACTTCTGCAGCGAGATCGTCGCCAAGTGCGCTGTCAGACTGTATATAGTAATGACATGCATTGGCTTCAGCGATTCCGTGCGATTTCTTGGACGGTCCTTCGAGTGCCGTGTACAGATCGTTGCCAGCTGTGGCATTTATTGTGTTTTGCTCAAAGGAAGCAAGTTCAGATGGGGCGGGGAGGGGGGAAGTGCGGGATATGTGCCAAGAGCGAAAAGACACGACCCGGCCGCGTGATCTCGCCATATGCAACGGAAGAGTCTTCAGATAAGAACTCCTTTGACACTGACACTGCCAGATAATGCCTCGGCCCAAGATGTCATTTGTGTTTCACCGTGAGAGGCGCGAGGACTGGTGTGCCAGCAAATGGAGGAGGAAGGCAGTTCCTCTCACAACCTCAAGGCCAATCTGGAATTGCGTCAACAGCTAGAGGAAGCGACATCGGCACCAAACGAGGCGCCTTTGAGTGTGACTGACCCGCAGATCTCTGGCAGTCAAGTTGAAGCAGGTTCCACTTCGGAAAGCCCGAATGCAAAAAGGAAGCCCACATTTCCTGGGCCATATCCCCGCCCGTTCGAGGCTGTGCAGCGGGAAGAAGATCTCAAAGAGACCTTCCGCCAAGCAGCTGAGCGGAGCAGCTGGAATCCAGACTACCAGTCCGATGAGAATTGGAATGGACGCCATCAGCTTTCATATTGCAATGATGAGATGAGCCAAAACTGCCGATGCTATTTTGATAGGTGGTTGGACCATAAAGAACTACTGCCGCAAGATGCAATCCAGGTTCAAAAGCCCACATGGCGACTGGAGCCAGACGGTGTTAGCCCAGCACAACGCAAGATTGAGAGACAATCAAGCATGCTGTATTCCGTAACTGGACCTGGTTTGCGTGCAGGTGCGCAACCCGTGCAGCCTGCGGAAACGGTGCGGGCGAGGGTTTCAAAGGAGAACGTCATCAAAAGACGGGCCATGAGGATATCCCGTGAGCGACCGTGGGAACTCCCGCCGCCACCCTTCTTTCTGTCGCAGAAGCGCTTGCCATCTCAGACTGCGGACTCCCGAATCTCGAATATCTCTATGACCTCTGCAGGCACACAGACAGAGATCGGAACTGGCGCGGAGCTGCCGAACTGGATGAAGGAACAGGGATGGGATGGCCATCACCATGCCACTTGGAGCAACTTTCAAAACCTTCAAGGCGAGATCTTGAACCCCGCGCCAGTGCGGTCCTATTTCGATCGCCCGCGCGAGCCCGATGTCGGGGCACGGAGTGCTGAGAAGAAGCCCTTAGACCCCAAAGCGGGTATGGTACGGATTCTTCCTCTCTGGCGGTTGGAGCCTTTGCCCGGGGCCGACCATACCGAACCTGAAAGGGGGCTCTGGCCTCGCGACGAGCCGCTCGAGTCCGGATCAGGGAGGCCGCTTCAAAAGCGTGCCGAGATCCTCGGCACCAGGCCACGGAAGATTTTGGAGAAGTGGACTAAGTAAATGCCTCGCTTTGCCGACGCACTGCCTTGTGCACGTGGCTTGGTAGGCACGATGCATCACCAGAGTTCAAGCACAAGTCTACATGGAGCTGCCCGCCGGAATCCTACTAGTTGCTATGTTCGTGCCACACAGCACAACTTCATCTTTCGCTGCAGTTTCAGGTCGCTTCTAACGACATGTCCAAGTGTGGAGCTGGTCCAGAAGCAGCAAAGCTGGAATGCACGACATCAGTCCCCGGCCAGCAGTTTGTCTGAGTAATCCTTACATGTCCGGCCCATCACCAAGTGAGCGAGGCTCACCTTCCAGAACGAGGTGGGAGCACAAAAGAGCACAAAGATGCACAAAGCCTGCATGCCAGCGTTTGGCGTAATGCTTGTCCTGAGGAGGTGTCCAGACTTGACCGCTCCTACTTCGACCGATTCCGCGAGCACCATGAGCTCCGCACACCGGAGTCACCTCGCCATGCAGACTGCTCCGTGGCAGGGCTGCATCCCGCTCTCTCCTCCCCCCCTAGGGTCCGCACATGTCAGAACGCTCGAATCCGCTCGAAATCCCCAAATCCACCATAAACCCGACTGAGGTGTGGAGCCTCGGCAAAGACATCCCGGCCAAGGACACGTGTGTGTGTGTGTGTGTGTGTGTGTGTGTGTGTGTGTGTGTGTGTGTGTGTGTGTGTGTGTGTGTGTGTGTGTGTGTGTGTGTGTGTGTGTGTGTGTGTATGTGTGTGTGTGTGTGTGTGTGTGTGTGTGTGTGTCTGTCTCTGTCTGTGTCTCTGTCTGTGTCTCTGTCTGTGTCTCTGTCTGTGTCTCTGTCTGTGTCTCTGTCTGTGTCTCTGTCTGTCTCTGTCTGTCTCTGTCTGGCTCTCTGTCTGGCTCTCTGTCTGTCTCTCTGTCTGTCTCGCTGTCTGTTTCTGTGTCTGTCTCTCTCTCTGTCTGTCTGTCTGTCTGTCTGTCTGTCTGTCTTGTGCAGACTTTTCAGGCAGTGTTCAGAGACCCATGCAGTGCCTAGTTGGGGACCTTGCGAAGATTGCTTGATTGATTTCGCCACCCGCGAGGAGTCGGCCAGGCTGATCCTAAGCAACAGCGAGCCGCGTTTCCGCAACGATGGGAAGTGGATGCATCCTGGTCCGAATATGACGAGTTTGCCGGAAGAAGGTGACAGACAAAGACACAGCGTACCGTAGGGTGAGGAAGAGAAGAGGCAAACAGGAGAATAGAAAAACATGACTCATGCTCTCAACCCTAACATCCCTAAACGCTAAACCCTAAACCCTAAACTCCAAACCCTAAACCCCAAACCCGAGAAACGTGACTGCGGACGGCCGACCTTGCCCGAAAGGGTCGCTCGGGGCTCCGGCACTCGGAGTAGAACTGACCGGCTTGAGCCGCGCCTGACCGGCATGTTCATCTTAGTCAACAACAAGAAGAAGAAGAAGAAGAAGAAGAAGAAGAAGAAGAAGAAGAAGAAGAAGAAGAAGAAGAAGAAGAAGAAGAAGAAGAAGAAGAAGAAGAAGAAGAAGAAGAAGAAGAAGAAGAAGAAGAAGAAGAACAAGAAGAAGAAGAAGAAGGGTCGAATGATTGTGCTGGTTTATTGGTAGCCATACACTCAGTTGGGAAAGGCATCTCTTTCTCACGTGGAACAGCTTGCGTTTGCGCGGGGGTTCAGGTGTTCCTCGCTGCTGTCGCTGTTTCCTTAGCCGTGCGCATGGTTTTATGGCGTTGTGGTAGGCCTTTGGGGAAGGGCGTTCTTTGCAGAAAGGCATATCTATCGTAGTTTTTTTGATCATGCAAACCTTGCTGCGGGCGGCGTTTGCATGGGGGAGTCGCGTCACAGGGTCGCCTTCGACAACTTCATGGTCCAGCAGCGTTCATTAGGGTTGACACTGTTTGAACGTAGACGTTGGTTGAGATTTGGTGGGCCAACGTGCGAGTTGATACGCCGACTGGGCTTGCCAGAATCACTACTCGCTCATATCGATGGCATCCTCTGGTACAGGGCAGGTCGACTGTGAATCTCTGGGGTGTATTTGTGTATTGAGGCATCGCCATCAACTTGCGTTCGACAATGCTGGTGGTAGGCCGACTTTGACGTCGTATGCTAGACAGTCCAGGCATGCTGCAGAAATTGGCGCCCCTGCTGCCCCGAAGGATGCCCGTTCAGCGAAATCTGCGGTGCTACTTCGATCGTTGGCGCGACTTTCCCTCGGAGGCCGTGGCGAGAACAGCAAACGGTTGAAACCGCTGCGTTGGTTTCTTGGCAAGGCCAACCCGAAACCAAACGACATTCTCCCAGAGGTGTCGGAGTGTTGCACGATGTTGCTGTGTAGGTAGAGGAGGACTCTCCGGAGCGATATGAGTGCCTCAGGATGCGAGTCGCGGGGCCTTTACCTTCATGACGGAGTCCGCAAGAGGGAAGCAACGTTGCCCTCCGGCGTGCAGCAAACTAAAGTGCAGCAGCAAAGCGAAGATGTATTTGGTAGAACTCCCTTACATTCCCTGACCTCGAGGCAAGCTGAAGGACTCGCAGAATGCCGACAACTTGAAAGTGGACGTATGGAGCCTGTCAGAGAAGCCGTCGAAGCAAAAGGTGTGGCCCAAAGCCTGGAGAAAGTGAGCATCGGGTGTATGTGTAGTATGAAAATCGACTTCTCTACAGGTGCCCAAAGTGGAAGAGACATTTCGAAGCTGCGATTCTTCATCGCGTTAGGGAGTGCCGGGCGGGAGCTTTTCCCGAGCTTGGGGCGCATTGTCCATAAAATGTCCGTCTCAAACTCAGGAAGATGAGCACGGCATGAGCAAGACTCAGAAAGAGAAGCGGCGATCTAAATGGACATGCAACCATCATGTTGTGCTTCAGCCTCAGGCGCTAGCAGTTTGCGTTAATGTGCTGTCGTAGTTCACCGTTTTTGTTGTCTGCCCTGCCTTGACAAACCGATCTCGCATGAGTGCTCAGTTTGTTCTCCACCAACGGCTGAGGTTTTGACCACACACTCGTCCTTGATGCATGCAGTGTTGCAGTGGCTCCGCCCTGTGATGGCGTGCTGTACAGATTTGAGGGTGAGTCATCGACTGCAAGAGGTGCAGAGGTGACTTCAGTTAGGCACACCAGGGTCTGCGTAAACGGCAGCAAGACTCATGGCGAAGCCATGGGCTGCTGGGAAGTGTCAACACGTCGGCCAACGGCGTGCCCTGAAACATTTCGCTTCTGGTGTGTGATCCCGCAGGTTGCAATATGGGTGGTCGTCAAAATTATGGTCCTTTTTTGGGGTCCCTAATAGAATACGGCACCTAATGTTTAGGGTACTTCAAAAGGGTCATAATTTTGACAACTACCCAGATGGATGTGACAGCAGTAATCGACTCCGTAGTCCCAGCACTTTGGCTTGTCGGCTGCTTTTGGTTCAGACGCGGCGAAGAATCAGAGTGCCGTTAGGAGGCGACGGCATTGGTCTCACCCTGTTGTGCTTGCAGCTGTACAATCCTAGCCCAAAGAGTGCTTCAGAGAAGAAGCTGCTTGTGCCATCTTTTGATATTCTTATTGGAGCCATGGCGTCAGCCTGCGCATGTGGTCCTGTGGCCACCTGAATCACTTCTGCTGCCCTTCCACCTGGACCATGTCTGTCGCTGCTGCATTTGTCGTCTGAGGCGCCGGTGCTCCCAAAGCGCATAGGGAACCATGAGTTGGAGGACCGTGACATGGGAGATGCCAATTGCCTGTCCGTTGTGGTTATGCTATATTGTGATGTGCAGAAGAGGGTATATTGCGATGTGCAGAAGGAAAGCTCTTTCTTGGTTTTTGTTGACATACCCTGATTGTCGCATTGCTGACTTGCGGCTCAACAACCTACTGTGTGCTGGAAAGTCTGAGTGTAGTAAATTGTAGTCCATGCCATCTTAGAGGCCAGAAGAGGCATCACACAAAGCTCCCCAAGCAGACAGCCAGTTCGGCGTTCACCGTGCCGAAGCGATGATCCCATGCTTCGAAGCGACAAGCCGAATCTCCTCAGGCACACCGCGCTGTTCAGGTGTAACTTGGGATGTTCCCCCTTATACTAGCAGTCCTTCATAGGGATGATCGCATTTTGTTTCATAATTCCTATGAAAGACTGTTAGTATAGGGGGGAACATCCCAAACAAAACCCTTCATGTGGAGGGCTCTGCAGCGCTTGTGGTCGGGTTTGCTCGACCGTGCCGGAGTGCGTGGAGCCGCCTAGCTGCAGAAAAGAATGCCGATGCTTGTTCGAATCAGCCCTGCTAGCTGAAGTAGCTTTGCAATTCTGAGGGCAGGCTGCCAACCACTTCTGAATGTTTGCAACAGACCTTTGGGATGCTATGTTGTGACCGCCCTGCTCCGAGCTTGCCGTTTGCAGCTGAAGTGGTTCGCACAGCTGCATGTTAGTTGCACATGCACACACAGACAGCTTTCGACATATGTATATATATACACATGTAGCTATAGTCTTGAAAGCAGGCCTTGGCTACAAATCTTCCAGCTGCCATCCTTGTGGCTCAGCCAGAAGGATGCCCGGGTGTAAGCAAGAAGCTCTACTGACTTTCTGGGAGCCAAGGCTTACCAGAGCTCGACATATTCTCAAGTGCGTGGTTGTACATCTGCTCCCGTGCCTTGGGATTGAACAGCAGTGGAGCATTGTCCACGGCAGCATGAGGGTCCAGAGGATTTCCGTTGGCTAGAGGCCCTTTCAAAGAAGCCAGCAGCCACCAAAAGTTCAACGACTACTCGAGTAGGATTTTGTTGAAGCATGCTGTGGCAGCTGCTGCAAGGTGCTGAACTTCTGCAATGGTGCGATCGTGTTGAGCCTGACCGCATCCCAGCAAGAGCACACACGCTCATGGAGGGAAAGAAGCTTCTAAGTCACTCTTTTTAGGCATCCAGAAGCTGCTAACCAGGACGAATATTGCCTTTGCCTTCTACATGCAGTGGAGACTCGTGGCAGCCCTGCGATCCGGAGATGAAGGTGGTGCAAGAACCATGCTTCAGGAGGCGACTTGATTGTTCCGACAGAGTGTTTGGGAAGAACTTGCCCACGTAGCTGTGTTGCAGCGCAGACTGAGGCGAGCACCATCGTTTTGTATGATGTTGCCTTCGCCTCAGATGCAGGAGAGCTTAGGGCCGTCGGAGGGTCGCCCAACAACGGCTACTGTACTGCAGCACTTGGTAGAAAAAAGTGCTTCAGCACGACTGTGTTTTCCATGATTTTCTTGTTGATCGGTTTGTTCAACAGGTTGCCCGAAGCTGCGGCTAGGGTTGCTGAGTGGCAGAACCGAAAACGCATTCCGAAGGCAGCATGGAGGTTAGGACAACACGACAGAATGTAAGGCAGCTTTTGCCATGCAGTGGTCTTCATTTCATTGGTGGTTGTGTCGAGCAATCAACATTTTCAGACACAATTCCTTGCCTCTCCAGCAGTATAGTACAAGCCCTGTTTCCAGCACAGCCGTCAAGGTCTTCTGCATTTATGTGCTCCTATTTGCTGCTGGAGTCATATTCTGCTGCTTGGGAATAGGGCGGCTTGGCTGCCCCCTGAGACCTAGTAGGCCCTCTGAGATCTACGCATCAAACTTAGCAATGGGCAACTGCGGCACGTGCTTAGGTGGTGGCAGACTTGTGATGTGGATTCATGGAACCCTTTCTGGGCTGCATTCCTGCTCCTGATATTTGGTCTGTGGAGCATCATCTTCAGCTGCTGTTGGGGTAGCCGGCCTCAGCTTTGGATATTCCACTTTGGATCCGGCGTTCCAAGTTGTAAGATCACTCCTTGAAGTTTATTCCCAGGCTTTAGCCTGGGCTGCTGGGGCTTTCTGGAAGGGCTTGGTGTCTCGTCCTCGGTTGGTCGCCTCTTCTTCGGCACAGCTGGACCTGCCGGGCCTGCACCTACTCCACCTCGTCAAGCTCGCCAGTCTTGTCGGGAGATGGCGTGTCCTGGCAAGGAGCTTTTGCAGACGGATTACACAGACTGCGTACGCAAAGTGCTTACGATTCCCCGCACTCTGCTTTCTAAGGCGTGCCGAACTAGGACCAGTCGCGGCACAGGCGTTTCAGGCCGGTGCCCAAGACACATGGATCGACAGCGGCTGGTGTGTTTTCACTGGAGAAGTAAACTCAAATAAGTAAACTTTCAAAACCTCTTAACATAAACCTCTAAGGGTGCTGCACCATCTGCACCACCATGACGTGACGTGTCCAGCAAGTGGGAAGATGGGATGCTGAGACATGAGACATGTACGGATGACAGTCGAGCGGGAACACCCTGCAACGATCTGCAACGTTGAACGCGCCGCATGGCCTTCTTACATGGTTTCCCTGACCGTAGCACAAAGCTTGCGACATCATGGGGGTTAAAATCATGCCCGAGTGCTCAGATGTGAGTTCAGAAGCGTGCGTCATGCAATGCGCCGAATGTGACCGAATCCTGCCCGCTGCAGAAAATGACGTCGACGACTCGTTTACAACCCGCCGAGGTGAAGGCGCTGGTTTGATGAGTTTGATACTCCAAGAACCCCCGAACCACTACCCAGAAAAAGTGCGGCTTGGCAGGTATGGGAGCATGTTTGTGGAAGAATAGCTGACGTGCTTGTCCGGTTGGGTTAGTTGTAACTTGTTTTTGCTTACTTGTAGCTTTTCGTGTTTTGAGGCCTCAATGCGCTGGCCCTGACTAGAAAAGGAGATCCTGAGCGGCAAGCCCTAAAACTCCCCAAAAGAGATGTTGGGTGGCAATCCCTAACCCAAAAGAAGATGTGGGGGTGGCAAGTTCTCGCCTGGTTTCAACATGAACTCTGTCGTTCGTGCTCATGCATAATTTAGAATTCGTACCATTGAACGGGCTAGCTGAAGGCGAGCTGAATGTTGATGTTTGTGTTCGTGATGTGACTTTGACTGCCTACGTAGTGTCCAATGTCTACGAAGAGTGGCTCGTTGACTTTGTCGGGTGCGAGAGTGAGCGTCGAAATGTTGGGTGGCAACCCTAAAAGGTGGCTTTTTGAGCCCTAAAACCGAAAGGGTGACATGGTCGCCCCCCCATGCAAAAGAAGTTACAAATAGGCAAGAGTGTTGGCTACTCCTTCGAGTGGTTTGGAGCCAAAAAACAAGTTGCAAGTAAGTAGTTCGATGAACAACCCTAGAATCCTAGAAGCTACGAGTAGGCAAGACAAACGTGGTTACATCTAAGCGGGCTTCTTGCAGCGTGCATGTGGGTCTTGTGAGAATGCAGGCGCTTTATGCTCGGTTTCGGCGGCTGGCACCATCAGGCCTCCAAGACTATCTGCGGTAGCTGGGTGGTTAAGAAAAGAAGAGCTGTGCAGGTTATCTGCTGCAGCAGCAGTTCCAACAAACCATGGGTGTCATGGGACTGACGGACGACCATTTCCTAGTCGACCGGATGTTCCAGGTGTCGGATACCAAGCAAACTTGACTCAGAATACTGCGTGGCACTAGCATCATCGCGTGTAGGACGGGAAAAGGCTGCGCCCATGCGCGCAGATCATCTCAGTGCCGACTTCAGGTTCGACACGGACCACGATGGCAAGCTGAGTTTCATCGAGTTCGCCTCTGCGTCAGAAGCTAGGCATGCTCTGCCTTGGCTCTGCCTTGGGCCATGCCTTGGCCATGCCTTGCACCCGGATGTGTCTGCAAATTGCCGCTGCCGAGGCTTGCCATCATGATTCGTGGCACCGAGGACGCCGCCCCCCCCCTCCCCCATTCTAAGCAAGAGTCATCTTCTCATCTTTTATCATCTTTTGGAGCTTGTGGCTGTGAGAGCTGGCGTAGCTCCAGGATGAGAAACTTGCGTTTAGCTTCAAGATCGTCGGTGGCAAGGAGGCCCACTATGTTATATTATAGTATATTATATTAGTATATATTATATTATATTATATTGTATTATATTGTATTATATTATATCATATTGTTGTTTTATATTATATTATATTGTATTATATTATATCATATTGTTGTATTATATTATAATTATTATATTATATTATATTATATTATATTATATTATGTTATGTTATGTTATGTTATATTATATTATATCATAAGCTCAGAAAACTGCATCACCTCGCGTGGGATCGATCCTGCTGGGCAGGGATCTGGCGTGCGGCTGGAGGACTTCCAGCAGCTGGCTCCGCCCTCGCCAGCTCGGAACTGGTCAACACCACCCCTTGCCGTTTTTTCTTGTGGCAAGGTAGCATCCTACAACCGGATGATGTCCAACCCTCGTAACCACGTGCTGCGGTGTGCGTGTTGCGGGTAGCCGACTGCACAACTGGATGAGGTCGTCGCTAGTGGCGCCGACCGGGCTCAAGCCTTGGACGAACTACAGTCACTGCAAGCAACTTCCCGGTGTGTTCCAGAATTTGCAGCTGGGTGGTCCAGGTTTGAACTTATGTCTGGAAACTAGGGCATGTATGGCCACATTCGCTTTCGTGACCTGCCTGGCGATCCTCGACAGCTGTACGTTGAGGATCTTGATAATCTGTCGAGGATCGCGCACGTGGGGCCTTTAGACAGTCAGCGACAAGCGTAGTGGGGTGTGCATTGGCGCATTGGCTTCTCGAACTGAGTCTACAGCTAAGATTTTAAGAGCCAACGCTGTGGCTGGAGACAGTCACGAAAGCTGGCTCTCTAGAGCTTTGCGGCATTTGTCATTTGCAACCCTCTTGGTGGGAAACAAAGCAACTCCGGACTTTATTGGGGTTTTGGAACAATAGTTAACGCGATGCGTCCCTACCCCCTCCTCAGGCCCCACTCCCATATGGCACAATGTGACCCATGGCCCTTGCCACTGCTCTTCAGATTCTTCAGGTTACCCTGACATGTCACAAACTTTGAGTTTGCTTTCGCAGCATGCAGAAGCGTAAGAAGGCAGCCCGAGTAGCCTTCGCTCCTCCTTGAACCCGACGCGTGCGATTTCAAACAGCGAGTTGTCCAGTCCCCGGTCTGGAAGTTGTCGGTTTTGGAGCACTGCATCGTGTCCTCGGGCACAGGCATGCAGCCATGCCGAGCACAAATCTAACTGCGCAGAAGTGCCCACCTCTGGGGCGCTGGACCTCAAGCCCAAGAAGCGTCGCATAACATATGGCCTTGCTTGCCATCCGACAAAGCGACATTCGTGGTTGGACTGACGAGAGCAAAGACTTACTGTGACAGTTCCACTTCCAGTACGTAAAATACCCCACCGGCATCTGTTAGTGATCGTCACGAGGCGGCTGACATCGGATGAGGCTTCCTCCCATGCGGCGATTGCTGTCGTGAGATGACCTGACAGTATCTGACAGCTTGGGTATGTGATTTGCCAGGATGTAAAGCGCCTGTTCCATGAACTCGCAGTAACCCGAGATGGAACAGAGGAGGCCACACTCCTAAGGGTGATAGGGCTGAGGGTGTGAAGCCAGATTCTGATGTGACTGCGAGGAGGTCATCAGCCTGGATGCGTACAAGGCAGCTGCTCAGGAAAACGGCGACTTCCTGTCATGCCTCGGGCTTGAGTGCGGCGCCCAGCAACGGTATAAGACTTGGCACGTGTCAAATGCACAGCAGCCTGGGCTCTCGCGCTGTGTCTCAAGCAGCCAGTGGCTCCGGACGAGAAGGCATATGCCACAGCTTGTTTGTGGGGCACTTTTTGCATGCTACGACGTACGACGGCCATGTGATGTCATGAGCACGGGTACTGTACAGCCTTGCAGAGCTAGCAAGTCTTGTCCTGCGCACTTTGCCATGTTTCCTCCCGCGACGCCTTCAAAGCCACCAGCTTTTCGTCGCTTAGCATGGAATGCCGCAACATGGGGTGAGGTTGGACAAGGCGCGGGGGTCGCTGGGGCAGGATATGGGCACACGGTTCAGAGGACCGAGACTGGCTCTTGGAGGAACGGCAGGGTTTGGTCCAGCAAGACTTGGGGTCAGATGGAGGATGCCGAGGAGAAGGAGCAGGAAGAGCAAGGCAGTGATGCGTACGGGGAGAGGAACTGCAAATGGTCGCACTGGACGGAAAACGAGACTCGTGAGGACGAAGATCCGGACTACGACGATCGGGGTTGGACGGGTGTAGGGAACAGCCACGAGTGGGCCTGGTCTGATCACTGGATCAATGACAGCATGCATGAGAATACGACTCAAGAGTTCCCCAAAGAACCGCCAGAGAAAGCGCACAAAGAGCACCACAGAAGTGATGACACTTGGTGCTGGGAAGGCAAGGCGGCAACACGTTGGTCTTCTTGGCAAGAGGCAGACACCCAGGGTGCCGGCACGAGCGGCAGACATCAATGGCACAACTGGGACCAGCCACAGGGTGACGAGCGACACGAGGGTTCTCATAAGTCCAAGTGGCGCGCGGACCAAAGCTGGAAGCACCGGGAGAGTGGAGCTTCTTGGCAGGAGGCATCCAAAGTCTATTCGTCTGAGGGCTATGAGTTGATCTACCTGTCCAAAGTTGAGGCGAAGTTGATGCTGACAATGCCTGGGTTCACCAGTTTTCATGTTAACCGTGTAATCGGGAAGAAGGGCAGCGTCCTCAGGGACTTGAGCCGGACGACTGGGACCGAGGTTATCCTCAAAGGCCATGATTCAAACAGACCTACTGACGAGCCCAACCACCTTCTCATCAAAGCCAGAAGTTCCGCTGATCTGGATAGAGGGCTTCAGAAAGCTTGCGAGACAGTTGCAGGAGTGTTGCAGAACGAGTTTTCAATTTGCACGCGTTGCGGAGGAGATCACAAGAGCAGAGACTGCTTCAAGTCTCGGCTGCCTTTCGTCCGCCCGGTTTACCTCGACCCATGCGCAAATGTTGGCTTCATTATCGGAGCCCAGGGCCGTAACATTCAGCCCATCAAAGATGGCACGGGCGCCAACATCAGAATCCTGGGGGTGGGCTCCGGCGAGAAGAACGCGACGGAGCCGCTCCACATGCGAATTGAGGCGGCGTCTCAGGACCTCTTGGACCAGGCGGTTGCCATGGCCCAGGATTTGCTTCGGAGGGTGACGTCGTGGTCACCGTATGACAAGGATCCACCCGCAGGGCATGTCTTTGCATATCAGCACAAAATCTGGCTGGACATGGAGGCTGACAGGCAGGGATACGATAGCCTGAATGCTCACCTTCTCGGCAAAAGCGGTCAACATTTTCGGCAGATTCATGAAAGAACAGGCGCCTGGCTTTGGCTGCGTGGACATGGCGCAGGCCATACGTCCTGTTTGGACCAGGGAGCCAAGGAGGAAGGCCTGCACCTTGTCATCGAGCATGATGACAGGGAGAAGTCCCAAGAGGCTATCCAGCTAGCCATGAACCTCTTGGACACCGTTTTGGCTCGACTTGGCTCGACCTACTGCAACATCTGTGGTGGGCCCCACTTTACCTATCGATGTGCGAAGGTAAGCAGCGCAGGGTACTTGAACGAGATGGCAGCCAAGGGGGACAAAGGTTCTGGAAAATCGAGAGCACATTTGCCCGCCAAGCGAGGTATCAGCGACGTTTAAACCAGAGGCTGCTCTCGGAGACGCAGAGATGCGATGAGTTGGAGAACCCTGAGCCACTCAGCCATTGCTGAAGAGCAGCCTGCGACTTGTCGATGCGCGGTCTCAAGGAAGCTCAAGGAACCTGAGACCGCCGCAGCGAATGTGGCGGACGAGGAAGCATGACCAAGCTTCTGCAGAGTTTGCACTCGGTTGGTGAAGTATGGGTCCTGAAAGCAGCAGGCGTAGGAAATCAGGAAGTCGTCGAGGCCTATGTGAGCAGCCACAAGCGCTTGCAAAATCATCCCATGATATCCCATGTGCCTTGAAAGCCCCAGACACCCTTGCAGTCCAAGTGCCATATGCCCAAGTCCAATAGTGGCCCCTTCAATGCGCAGCCGAAAGTCAGTGTCGAGGCCAATGGGTGGCCGAGCTGTGCCGGCCAAGAAGCCGCAGAAGCACGGCCCTCGGTCCCAGTGAAGTGGTTTCGGTGTGCGGAGATGTTTGTTGCCCAGGCCAGCGCCGCCAATTCCCGAGGCATTGGCCCCAATTACAGTAAGCTGCTTCACGTGACAGCTCTGCAGCTGCTGGAGGCTCCCGCTGCCGACGGGGTGTATGTTCCAAGACAACATCTGGAGGACACAAGCTGGAGTCAGAAGTCGTGACAACATGGGCGTTGTTTTCTGCTGCCAGCGAAGAAGGAGCTGCAAAGACGTGTGCTCACACTTCAGAGAGCTTGGGAGCTCAGATCTTCACAGAAGGTAAAAGTCAGGACAACCTGAAAGTTTCAAAAACGACATGTGACACGCAGCTGCAAGCTGCTCAGTGAATCAGTTTAGCAAAATGGGAGCGGCAAGATGCCGCCATCCACAAGCACTACGTAGAGGCCAAGCGTGAACTGTCCTACGCCAAGCCAGAACTTCTCGTAGGGTGTTGTCTTGTGGATCATCTTTCCGGGTCAGTACTGCGCCCCAAATCCTGGAGCCTGAGCTGCGGCTCGACCACCGCAAGTGTCAAGGGTCCAAGCCGTATACCGCAGTAGGCCATGAAAGTCGTGAGATACTGAACGAATTTTCAGTGCTCCAAAGGCCTCAGGTAAGTTTTAAGGCCGCGCTTCCATGGGGCTCACTCCCATCTGTTGCTGCCATGGTGTCTCAATCGCCCTTCGCGATTCTGGGGGTCCAGGCGCGGTCCTGCTCCATAGGAAAGCTACATTCAGTGTGGTTTTGATCGTGTTCTGGCACTGGTCACAGCCGCTGTTGCTCTGCAGGATTTGGATGCGCCGCCTTCGGTTATCGAGAGCGCATTTCGTCGCCGAAGTTTAGATTGCCACCCGGACAGGGTTTGCCACAGCTAAGCAGGGATGCTTCGAAGCGCAAGAAATAGAAGGAACCCGCGCCAGTGAAAGGACAAAAGACCTGGCGACCCTACGGCCAAAGCAAAATTCGAGGTTTGGCTGTGCAAAGCTGCAGCAATGTAGCGATGAGGTGATGTCATGCCTGTATTTTCAGCATAAGGCAGCATAAGGACTAATAGCTGGCCGATAGTGGAAGCCAGACATGCGTGAACATGGCAGGCGCTGGCAGCTGCAAAGGAGCTTTGGTGCAGTGAGTTCTGTCAGATGTCTCCAGTTCACTCCGTACCACTTTGCTGACCAGGAGACTCTTCTGGATCCGGAGAAGCGTGCCGCCGCAATATCGGAGGCCAAGCTCTCGCGGGTCGCTCAGGCAAGGAACCAGTCACACAGGGAGATTAGGCACAAGCCCGCCTTGATGTAGGAGAAGTTGGAATAGTCATTGGCCAGGTACCTTTGCGCCCGCGCCGTGCCGCAGGTGCAGGCCTGCGGGAGCCGGATGTAGCCAGCACCGCGCATTCACAAGCCTTTGAGGCCCCGCTCGAGCACAGCCAGCGAAAAAAGCAGCGGCTACGCCAGCGCCAAAGAAGCCCGACCCTCCAGCAAAGCCCTTCGCTCCACCAGCTCCTGGTGAGGACCACAATGGCCTTGCCGTTTGATCGGTTGAAATCATTGAAATCCAATATCGTGCGCCAGGAAAGGCCACCACCAAGAGCATCTTGTCCCGACCCGGAGAGCCTTGGCCCTGAGATGGCTCGCAATTCTCCTACTTTTTCGGGCAGCTCTATTCGCATGCGTCACCTTGCACGTACAGCTCAAAGATGAGAGGAAAGTTGCTGCGGGCATTTTCTTCAGACATCTTGAAAGACAGCGGGAGAAGAAGGCCTTTCCCGAGCTCAACATAACATGAAAAAGTCAAGCCAGGCAAGGCCAGGAACCTGTTTGATGGAGACACAGACACTTGTGTGCAGGAGCCGCATCGAGAGTTCCTGCTCCCCCATGGGCCATTCAAGACCGTCGGGGAGGATGGGCGGTCCGACCTGCGTCGCACCACCTTCAGGCTTGCAAGGGTTTCTGCAGCAGGCGAGGACGACAAAGAAGCGTCCTGCCCAGCCCTCTGCAACCAGGCAAGCTTTTCCTCGTGCGCTATGCGTTGGAATGCTGATGAACATGTTGAACCAGACAATGGGAGCTGCTTAGTCCATGGCCTAGTCCTTGATAAAGGAGGGATGTGTGTCACTTACTGGGATGCAGGGCTCCAAAGCTGGGCCGATCTGGACTGCAAGACGGTGTGGGCGTCTCTGGCAAGGCAACGCTCTGTTCGGAGGACGTTCTGTTCGGAGGGTGCAGGCTCATGCTAGACTCGGCTTGCAGGTGAAACGAATCGCCGAAGCGGTGCAAGTGCAGCCTGCACCACCATGGATCGGAGGCCCCCACCGCAAACAAATCATAACACATTGACGCTTGCTCTGAATTTCTGCTCTTGGCAAGGTGAAACCCGCGAAGCACCCCAAAGTCAAAGGGTGCCAGCAGTGACTCCGCAGGCGGCATCAGCAGCAGCTGGTTGCTTGCGCTGCACTTTGACGGATTCCCTTCTGTCAGGTGTCGGAACCTGAGCCGCCGGCGCGCAGAAAACGCGATTCGGGCACCGCGGATGCGCGGCGCTCTCCTTCGAGAGTCAAGGTGGAACACTCTGCCACACGCTTCCCGCCCTTGCCGCTGCTGCTGCCAGCGACGGCAGACCACGGCGCGCTTGCTACAGCCATCGCGGGGGCGACGGGTGCCAAAGCCTCTGATGCTCGAGTGCTTGCTCGGGTGGTGGCAGTGCTTCGGGGGTGTGGAGGCCAGGCATCTTTGGCGTCACTTACACAGAATCCGAAACGACTGAAACGAATCTTGGCCCGGTACCCTCGGCTCATCGATGTGCAACTCGGCATTGCCAGCATAGACATCAGATGGTTCCAGGCTAAGGCCGTTGCAGCATGTGTTTGTGGTGATTGTCACAGGCTAAGCCTTCCAACCTGAAGCAAAAACCAGGTATCTGCCCGGCAAGTTCAATGCCACGCAGACTTTACAGGCCAGGGCAGTGCATTTTAACCACACCGGGTCCACAGAATCTATGTGCCTCTGGGTTCATCGTGCAGGATTTATCCTGAACCTTCTGACTATCGTATACTACATTTCCACATTCCAAACTATAGGGCTAGTAGATGCATGCGGACATTTACCTCGACTATCTTCTATATGGGCGGTTGAATGTCCAAGTTGACCGTGGAAACTCCATATACTTTCAGCATAGTCAGATGGCAATCTCCGCCGAAAGCTTCGACACTAGACATGCGCATGGAGGTCACCGCTTTGAAAAGCGGATGTGGACCGAACCTCCTTGAAAAATATAGGATGTGCATTTGCATGCAAAGCCGTATGCAGAGAAGCTTTTCTATCAACGAATTGTGGAATATCCATCATGTGGTTTGTAGGGGTCGAGTCCCCGTTAAGGACCTGGATACAAAAAGGAGTCTTAATGGCCACTTGCCTAACATGGCATATGCCGACAGGCTCTTCTCGATGTATTTAGTGTTTACAATAAGACTTACGCAGAAGCAATAAGAAAGATTGCCCATAACACAAACAAAGTAGGATGTGGCAGACGCGCGCACTTGCCTAGTCGCGCAGGTGCACGCTCGATTGCGAGGGGCAGAGCTGCAGCAGGCGAAAGAGGATGAGCAAGCACGGATGAAGGTGCCCGGCCTGCCTTAGCCAGCTGTGCAGACCTGACTGCACGTTGGCTTAGATGGCATGTTTTGTGTTGTTTTGTGTTCCACACTGGCAACGTTTGCTGTCTACAGCGGTCGGTCCGTAGGCTGAGCCTGTCACAGCGTCAAGGGCTCGGCCTCAGCCACCTCCACCAGGCTGCGCTGCATCCCACACATTTCCATGCTCTGGGAATCTCTGGGGGCTTCAGTGACACCTTGGGAGTGGACCACAGGTGGTCACATTGTCTTCACATTGTTGTTGTCAGGAGCCCGTGTGGTGGTGAAAAGGCAGCGCTTGTTCAGGACCAGGACTGGCAGCCCTCTGTACCGGTATGTACTAGGTGAGCCTACGAACCTCTGTACCCGTAAGGACTTGGTAAGTCTACTAACTACTATCTTTGTAAAATGAGACTGTCTGAGATGCCAGAGGCCTCAGCGAAGGCCTCTGCAGCGGGCAAAGCCCTGGGTTGTTGAAGTGGTCTGCCCCTGAGGTTGCTATGGGCTTGGCTCGCTTCTGTTCCCATTTTCTAGAAAGAGATGGTTGTGAGCACCTGCTTCGTCGGACTTCGGCTGGGAAGATGAGGATTCCTCTGACGACGGCTCCTGCGGCTTTGCCATGGAGACGCCCCAGAGCAACTTGGCAGAGGGCTTTCCAGAGCACGGGAGGCTCTGCAATCCATAAGTCCATAAGCCCACGTGGTGCAGAGGTGATGAGACTGGGGTCCCCAACACTTCGCCGAGCAATGCTTCTGCAGAGGCCGCGTTGTGAGATGACTCTCTTCGTGTGTAGGATGGAGAGAGGGAAATTGTCGAGGCCAATGGCAGTGACAACATGCTTCTGAGGGCCTATGCCCATGCAGTGGGAAAGTGGAAGGCGGGAGATGGCAGAGACTTCGCGAATAAATTGCTAGGAGGTGACTTGTAGCAGCTTGTCAATGAGGCTGCACACGAGTCTGTGGGCACCGCCGTTCGGCGCTGGGGACTCAGCAGGCTAGACATTGACCGACAGAGACCGACAGAGGCCACCAATAACTTGAGCAAGACCGAGCTGCTGCGGAGAGTACAAACGTGAGAGGTGAGGCATGACAGGCACCAAAGCGGGGGGGGGCCTCCCGACATGATCCGCGTACCAAGATATTTGAGCAGGAGCTGCAATGTATGTTCTGCACTTGGCAGGGCGGCGGTAGGTGACCGCTTCAGAGCCGGGGGATGGGGATGGGAGAATATCTGTTGGTGTCTGCGCTCGTTTCCGAGACAAACTGCTGCTGCGCAAGTTGCGGTGGAAGGATTTGGGCCTTAACCAAAGCCAAGGCGGCAAGCAATCGGCAAGCAATCGGCATTCCATCGCAACGAAAACAGGAGCTTCGCCACTTTTGCGCGCGACTGCCCGAAGCTTTGCGGTGTGTTTTCGCCACGTTTCAGCAAGTTTTTGCTTGGAGGAGCTCCGCACAAACCGCCACAAATCTAAAGTGCAGCAGCGAAACAAATGCGAGGGTTAGCTTTTCACGCCATGAGACCCTGAATGCAAGGAGCGAGCATTCTGTGTCTCCTATGAGGTCATGATCCCTCTTTCTTCGGCTTCTTTCATGTCTCTTCAGGGGGCCTCTTTTGTTTGACTTCTCGAACATACCGGGCTTGCTATGATGTTGATTTTTAAGGTTACTTTCTGCTTCTCCCTGCTGGCGGGCTGGGACTCCTACGACCAGGACACCCCTCCTTGTTGTACTCCTTCGACGTTGCATCGAAGGCGCCCGTGACCATTTGTTGTGGGACACTCAAGGCATGCGGAAACATGGCCCCCTCAGGTGCTATACGAGTATGTCCCGACGGAAGAACGATGTGTTGTCATGTGGTCGCCAGCCTGTCCGGAAGTGAGTCGCACCTGCATTACGCGCATTTCAGAAGGATGGGTGTGTCGTCCAGGTTCAGGTGTTTCTCACACTGCAGTGCCTAGGAATGCAGCGCTTTGGACGGTTTTACCCCTGCCTCCCGAAGCGAATCCTGACGAGGCGCGCCAGGCTTGTAGGCCAGCACGAAAGGTTCTGAACATGTCCCGGTCGGGGAGTTTCGGGCCGCGTCCACCAATCTCTCTGTACTGTAGGCTCCCTCAACGCCTGAAGTCGTCGAAGACGAAGATGAAGAAGCAGGGGAGGCCATGGGCCTTCCTGCATGCAGTCTCTTGCTCGATGTCGGTGCCACGATCAATTCGCAAATTCAATTTCTGCCCGTTGATGTATGATTAATGTAAGAAGCCTGTAAAGCTTTACCACCTGCTCAGGACTCCGACAGTGATGCCACGGACATCGTGGCTTTGCAAGCATGTTGGCAGCGCAGAACTTCAACGCAGGTGCCATGAGGGCGCATGCTCCGCCTTCGTGTTTGCCTGAGGATCGCTTGATCTGTGATGCCGCTGCAGAAGCTGGTGTCCAGCTGGATGGTCCTCACGATGGTCCACAGTGCGCAGCATCCGACGAGCAAAATCAATAAGATGCATCTGCATTCGTGCTGCTGGATGCGTTTGATCTTCTGAGAGCTTATATCGAGTGATTCCCGGCATGCCTGCGGCAATTCTCGTGTGTGCAGTGGCTGTGCTATGTCATGTCACATTTACGGTTGACTGTAAAGCACCCTAAACGCTGTGACCCGTTTCCTCGTGCGAGTGTGAGCGAAATACCACGAAACACCAAATACTATGCCAGCGTAGACCCCGCGCAGTGAGAGACCGTGGGACGTGAAAAGAGCATTCCCATGCTGCATGAGCGACGCGAATCCGGCGATCTCGCCCCCCTGAAGGTGGACATTAGAGTCCCTTAATGTTGACTCCAAAGACAGTTTCGCATTTCGCGAGCCCAGACGTCCAAAAGTGAAGACCGTTTAGCATCTCGCGAGCCGAAGTCCAAAGCAATGACGGTTTCAAAGATGGCGAGTGCGGCCACGCCCGCGAGCTGCGCCCAAGCGCGCCGCCATGCGCTGCGCGCGCGCACGCCATCGCGGCCACATCTACCTATTCACCCCTCCTGCCCGCGACGCTGGAACTCCTGAGTGCCTTAGTGTGCCAAAACATTGCTCTGCAATACTTGCGTGTTACCTTGCTCATGGCCCGATACCCCGGCCTTCACTGCCTTTGTTCTTCACTGAACTTTGAGGCCTTGGCTGCTGAGCAGAGGAATTCCCGCTGTTCGCTGTTGGTAGCTGTTTGCTTTCAGCACTTTGTCGCCCGGTGAAGCAGATGTGCCATTGTAACGTAGCGCATGTGCAGGACAAGTTTCCTGGGCAGGCTTGGGGCTTCGACGGCACGCAGTGACTTTCCACACGCTTTCTCTTCTGCGCGGGTGAGGTTGCCCGCCGATCCGCCGTCGCCAGTGCCGGAAGAGCCGGCATCATGCTCACAGTGTTTCCTTGTCCATTCTGGGCCACGGCATCATCCAAACCGAATTCTGTAGGGGCGGTACATGGTATGGGTTTGAAGTTTGAAGCAACGCCTGTGACGGCCTACGGGCCAGTTCGCACCTTCGTTGCTGAGGCACAGGAAGACAGCTACCCCTGGTGGATGCCCAGCTGCTGGAAACTAAGTGGCCATCACTATCACGCAGCTCGCGTGCGGCGCAGTGTGTCGCTGTCCTATATTTTCGTAAGTCCAAAAAAGATGTGTATGCTCACCAGGTGGCTGCACGCCCATGACGAGACTCACGCAGCTGCCATGTGAGGCAGATTCGCGCAGTTGCAGTTTGCTCATCCTGGCTAGTGGATGTTCGAAGGCACGGGGTGAGATCCTTGACTGCGAGCCCGCAGCACCAACAGCAGCCATGGCCGCCACAAGCGAGAGCGCTGGCCAAGAGGATTTCCTTACTGCCCGACCCTTGGAAACCCTACGACATCATCTGCGGCCGGGAATTTCTGGGGCACATCTGGGTGCGCGTGGGCACAGGTACAGGAGGAGCAGTGGGAGACTCAGACTTGAGCGCTTGAAGTGCTGTGCTGTGGGAATCTTGCAGAGCCGTGTTGCGCAGGGTCAATGCCTTGATGCGGCTCTGTGCAAAGTGGACCGATGGAGATCGTGGACTCAATGTCGAGGCCGTCAGCCGGCTGAGAGTGCAGATGGCACCGAAGGGAGCCGAACAAAAGCACACTTGAGCATCGACTGTGTAACTGCTGCTAGTGGTTCTAGTGGTTCTAGTGACTGAGATCTGAGGTTGCGCCAGATCCCTTCCTACCTCCAGTGCTCCAGGAAGAGCTGAGGCACGGCAAACATATGCGGAAGTTCATGCGGGCCGGGAAACGTGGGCCAGCATGGTGGGGTCCTTTTGCCAGGACATACAGCCGACAGAGGCATTTCTCAAGAGATCAATCTCGAGAGTCGGACGACAGCAGGCAGCGATGCAGCGACCGGAATTCCTTGCGCTCAAAGCGCCGAATAGCACTTTTTGCAGGGCATTTGCCAACCTGAACTTGCCACACTCGCCCCACAAGACCTCCAAGTGCGCCGACCCAGCTGCTTGCTTGTCTCGGCTGCCAGAATCACTCGTAATTTACATCGCCGCGCTTGACCTTTGCCAAGGAAGTCTGCAACAGTGAATATAGCGGGCAGTGCTGCATCAAGGGAGAGCGATGGTCAGGCACCGTATGGCACCATGGGTCCCGCTACCGGAAATATACATAAGTCATATACAAAGAAGATGCAGGGTCCGGCCATACAGGGACGACATCGAGCGTGGCTCTCGGAGCGTGGACTGGAGCACGCCGGATCTGTCTAAAGCAATCCTGTCGTGATTCTCCTCATGACATGCTTGGACGAAGGCGCTCAGCGTGACTTCGAGCCGTCAGCGCAGGCTGAATGAGTTTCATGTGCTGTTAAGATGGAGATCGGATCTCCCATTCTTTTTTTTTTTTTTTTTGGGGGGGGGGGGGGGGGTGTTGTTGAACGCGACATCTGCCATGCTAGGCTGCTGGGCTGTGGTTGGGAAACGCGTGTGAACGTTGCCTGACCCATTTCTTGGGGACTGAGGTCACTTCAGGATGTGTAGTCCCATTCATGTGTGCATCATCAGATTGGGAGGAAAGATGTCTTTTGCAGTGGCCCTCCGAGCACCGATGCCTGAATACATCGAAAGGCAGCACCGGCTGCTGGGGCCGAAGAAGGGCCTCGCTGCTTGGGCCCTGGTCGTTGGTTCCTCGTTGCTTCCGTGGAAGGGTGCCATGTGCCTCATGTTTGAGGTGCATTTCGGCCACGAGAACTGGAATATGGTGACGAACTCGTTTCCAGAGTGTATGATGCAAGCGGCACACAACACACGGCAGTAAATGTGAATGTGGAAATCTTGTTATCAATGCCCGGGCTGGGGCATCTTCATGTGGAGCCGTTGCAGGTGCTTAGTATGATGATTGGCATCCGGATGTCCGTGGGGCGTTCCGGGCACGCCATGCATGGGTCAATTATCGCTTAACAAGTCGCTAGACCATCCCTGCTCGGATGTGAATCGCCTGTTGATTTTGCCTGATGTCGCGCATGAAGGGCTTCAATGCCGATGGTGCAGGCAAGAGCTGCATAGAGAGCTGCAGCCCGTTGACTTCATCATGAAGGATTCGCTGTGTTGTTAGCTGCTTCTTTGTGTAAGTGCTCATCTCGGAAGCGGGGTGCAGCATGGGGCTGCACCTCTGTGGTTGTCATGCAAGTTGACACCTTGACTTTTCAAAGCAGAAGCTGTCCTGCAACATCCTGCAAGATTGCAGTGGGACTTCCTCAGCAATCTAGCCACCATGCACGTGTTTGGCTGCAATCGCTTGGGCTGCAGAGCGGGCGTTTGACTAGACATGGTACTTGCACATGTGTCTTGTAGCATTACTGTTTTAGATCCGCTCCGATCCACACGGTCAGCTCTAGTACACATTCGTACACGGCAGTTCAAGACAGTCGTCTCAGTCGGCTCGGTCATGCATTCCCCATGGACATGGCATAGAAGCTGGTCCCAGGATTGCTGACCCCCATGTGGGCTGTTGGCAACTATCCTCGAAATACTTAGCTTAGCCACCATTTGTCAGGGCTTTCTGTGCCTTCGTTCGAGTGCCTTGGCCATTGCCTGGTGGCATAGCTGCTGGCAGCCGAGCGACCGCTTTACTGGTCGAGCGCCTTGGCTCCCCACAAGCAGCAGTCGCTGACAAACCAACCTAAACCGAAGGGCACACGATGCACCATGAACAGAGCATGCTATTCTCCAAAGATTCGTTTAGGGATCGCGGAAAGTGTTAACTTCTCCTGCGAGTCATCTGGGTGCGTGACAACAACATGTCCCTGAGGTGACGCTGCTGGAAGCGGTGGCCGGCAACACCTCGTTTGTGGGCTAAAGATGCCTGATCCGCGGCAGCATTTCGCAGCTTTCCTTGCCTTGAGCCTCTTGTGCCCTTTTGCACTTGCTTCTCGAACAAGAAATGCATTGAGCTCGAAGTTATTACGCCTCACACTGTGTGGGGTTTCACATGGTTTCAGCTTCTGCTGTCCCAGCCTTCCATGAGTGCATCTTTTTTGCTCCCAGCCTTCCGTGCCCTCCTCTGATAGCCCAGGATGAGGAGTTTGATCCTTGGGCAACGGCCGTGGCAGATGGAACTTCCTCTGCTTTGAAAAAGGCAACCAAGAAGAAGCTGCTTGGCAGGAAAACATCAGTGGTGCTAAGGCTGCTGTAAGGTCTTGTTCAATGACCCTTTGGACAGAAGTACAAGCCACATAAACAACAGCATCGCAAACAACTACGCTGCAGCGATTGCTGGGGGCACTAGACCTCACGACACGATACGACACGCCCTGCAGCCTCAGGGACGTCTGGGGCAGCTTCAGAGCGGGAGAAGCCGAAGCGCTCAGCGACTCCGAAGCCGCAAAGGCAAAGCCAGGCTGGGGAGGGGTTGAGGGGGGCGGGCGGTATGGAAGTGTTCTGAGGGCCTAGGGGAGAGATGGAGAGATCACCTCACCAGCTACGGAAGTGCAAGAGCCTGCCGTGCTTGTGCACAGGATCTGGAAAGAAGAAGAAGGGCGACAAGAAGGCACTGGTTCCATGGGGGTTCCATGGCCGGCGCGTGCAAGTGCAGTCCGCATTTCGTTGCGCGAGAGCTTTTCCCGCCCTGCAGCCTAGCGGCCCTTCTGGACCAAACTTGGCGAGAAGAAGTGGCCTTGCAGCAGGGCGTGCTTGCATCTGATTGACGAAAGGGCGCTATGTACGCATGCTGCCTATTCTGTCTGTTCATGCCATAAGGAGTCATGGATCACAAAATTTCCGGTTCTGTGGAGTCCTGGAGCAACACTTACGGCACCTCGACTGCAGAGAGCCAAGAGAGCCACTCTGGCCTCAGGGGATCCGAAACCTCTGCGAGGTTGGATTCGACCATATCAGCATGTGGGCCACCCGAAGGCAAACAAACATGGAGGCCTCGCTTTGATTCTTACTTAGAACTCTTTGGTTGATGATGCCAAGTGGTTGATCCGATGCCTGTTGCTTGCTGTCATGCAAGAGACGCAGGCCAACCAGCCAAAAGCGCGTGCATGAGTCCAGAAGTCATGAGCATGTGCAGGCAAGCTCTACATCCATGCGAAAGACCTCGTAGGCGGCATAGGGCAGCTGGGCAGCAGATGTCCGCCGAGACGTTTCCCCACAGCTTTTCATACTTGGTGGAAGTTGAATAATTTGAATAGCACGAGATGTCAAGAGGTTTCTGCCCACCGGGGCGGCTGTAGAGTTCTACGTCTTTGAAGACGATGCCGGTCTTGGTGCAGAGGAGTGTGCACTCGCAGAGTGGTAGCTTGGCCGCCTCTCTGAATCTCATGCTTTCGCGCGCATCTTGCAGTTCCGCGACCTTTTCGATGGCAGCTGAGGAGTGGCAAAGCGGGAAAGGGCTGGGGTTCCAAAGGTTGGGATGCGGGCAAAGGATGGGGCAAGGGCATGTGGGATATGAGCAAAGGCTGGGCGAAAGGCATGTGGGGTGGTTTTGATGGCTGGCCCGCTGGTGGCAAGAAAGGCTGGGATGGTGGCAAAGGACATCTTAGCTGTGTGGCGGCGAATGTGATTAGATGCAACATGCAATTATGCCGAAGCAGTATGCAGGATTCGGTGGTGGTAAGGGCAAAAGCTCTGGAAAGGGAGAGCCGCTTGGCTGCTTGTTGTGTAGAGCACTTCAACATGTGAGTCCTGAGTTTTGCAGGTGGGGCGGCAAAGATCGCGTGAAAGGAGGCGGCCAGTATCTCTCAGTCAGTAACAAGAGCGGCGCATGGGAGCAATGCCACAGGATGACGGACTGGATCCTGACTTATCTTTTTGTAAGCCAGCCAAAAAAACCGCCGAAGGCAAGGGTGAAGGTGACAAGGGCGACGGTGGCCGAGGTGCCGTTTTTTTCGCATCCCCAGTCATGAGCTTCCAAGTTTGCAGTGCCCTTGGATTGGGGTCTTGAAAACCGTGCCGAAGGTACCAAAGATGGCAAGGGCAAGCACTCTTCCAAAGGCTGCCTTGCTCTTGAGTGCGGGTTGTTTTGCCAAGAGGGATTTGGTGGGCTGAATTGCATGGCGCGAGCGCGACTACTTGCAAGATGTCCTGTAGAAACACCGAGTCAAAGTGCAACACTACTGCAGCGCTCTGTAACCCCGGTAGCTTGAGATGCTGCTTCATGGCATTAGCCTGCCGCACCCCTGGCCATCGCTGCTGAGCAAGGTTCCCTCCAGGCGGTCCCGCCCAAGGATCCAAGCAATCCAGGCCTCTTGGATGCTTTGGGCGAGCCCTGAAAAACGCAGTTGGGGATCGGACTCCGTGCCACGTCCACAATGAAAAGGGTGCTAGAGCTACCCTCTGATTCGTGATTTGTTTTTCGAACCAGTCCGAAACCGTTTCAGGCGCCGCAAGCCCGAAGGATCTACGCAAACTAGGAATTGCTTGTCTGAACCAAGTCATTCAACAAGCCCCGAGAAAATCAGTTAAAACAGTTGAAGAAGTGTGTGATGGCTCTTTGGGCCTAATGCACTGCAAAGACAGCATCGGTGCTTAGATCAAACGCGAAATCGTGCGATTTCGCGCACGGGCTCTCCATGCGGCAAACGAGCTGCGGTTTGGGTGCATAGGCCGGAATCAGAATCAGCAACGGTGTCTTAAAGTGCGTCAGAGCAGTGTTCGTTCTGGTAGGCTGCTGGGCAAAACCTGGAGCAGACTTTAATTTCATTTGTTGGTGTTGAAGCAGCTGGCACGACTTGCTGGTTCATGATAATGTGGCGCGTGATGCTTTTGGCGCTGCTGCAAAGTTGCTTCGGCTACAGTCTTTTATATCGTTGCAGCCAGCAGTAAACAAATCCGTCGGCATGTTCTTGCATGTGGCGCCGCAGGACAAGCGTAAAGAAATGGTGTGTTGGCTCTTTGCCACTATGACGGACAAACCGGCGTTATCGGGGAGGGAGTAATGAAATGGAAAGGAGTTCTACGAGACCAGGCATCCTGCTTGCCTGCGCGCAGCCCAAAAAGTAGTTCGAACACGCGGTTGGGGATGTCTTGCCCTTGGAAGCTCTGGCATCCTGGAACTGAGGTGTAAGCGAAATCGACCAGGACCTTTGCGTTCTTGCTTTTTTTTGGAAGTTCGGAGCATGTGGTTCTGTTCAGAATTGCTGTCCCGAGAGGCTCATACCGATTGGTCGCACTACACAGGGATGGGTGGCATTGGGGCTGGCGCTGCGACAGGGCCCAGTGCAGGCCCTGGTGCAGGTGGCGGCCAGAGTTGGCTGCTGGGTGCTGTTTTGGCAGACAGCCTGGGATGTTCCCCCTTATACTGACAGTCCATAGGGATTACAGTACCCCCCCTATTATGATCCCTAAAAAGGACTGTTAGTATGCTAGCATAAGGGGAAGCATCCAAACAGGCAGGTTTTGTTTCGCTGGAGTCTACCCGGTGCTGTGTAGCACCCTGCGCAGGCAGCGGCTTTGCGGCAGCCACTGGATCCACTGCTCAGGCCACAAGCTAGTAGCAGCTATCTTGGAGGTTCAGGGTACTTATGAACCAATTTTAACTGTACTTATCACCCTATTAGGGCACTTACGTAAGAGGCTTATAAGTGGGTTAGAAGTACAGTTATAACTGGTTAATAAGTACCATGAACCTCCAAGTAGAGTCGCTGTCTGACACCCGCTTGGACGCTCCGACACCGGCGCGTGCCAGAATCTACGCTTGCTGCGGCCTTGCTCCAGATTCAGAATCGATGTAGGTAACGTAGCCGTGCCCACTGCGTTGTTCTCCTCATGGCGGTTCAGTGGGGAATTCTGGGTTGCGCTGGCATTGCACGCAAGTTTTGTGCATCTGTCGGACGCGTCGAGAACGCTGTAGTTGCCGCTGTGGCCTCGAGAACCGCTGGAAAGGCTGACGATTTTATTGCAGACAACTGTCCTGGTTCCAAGGCCTATGCCAGCTACGATGAGTTGTTGGCTGATCCGAATATCCAGGCTGTCTACATTCCTGTCCCTACAGGTGTCAGGATGGAGCTGGTGGTAAAGGCAGCGGCTGCCAAGAAGCATGTCTTGGTGGAGAAGCCGCTGGCCAGCGCAGCCGAAGCTAAGATGATGATCGAGGCATGCAAGAACGCAGGTGTGCAGTTCATGGACAATACGATGTTCTTGCACAATATCCGGCAAAGCGCTGTGCGAAACGTCCTGAAAGACGGCGACATGTTTGGCGATTTGCGACATGTCCACTCAACGTTCAGCATTGATTGTGCCAACGATGAAGCGTGGGCTTCCGAGAACATTCGAATGAAGAAATCGTTGGAGCCACTGGGCTGCTTGGGCGACCTTGGCTGGTACAACGTTCGGCTTACCCTCTGGGCCTTCGAGTATGTGCTTCCTTCAAGTGTGTCCTGCACTTACGTGGAGCACACAGAAGAGATGGTCCCCACCCACGTTGTGGCGCAAATGCGCTTCGGCAAGAAGACTGCCAGCTTCATGTGCTCCTTCAAGGCTGCTTTCCGCAACAATGCGGAGCTTGTCGGCCAGAAGGCTGTGATCTCGCTCGAAGATTTCGTCGTGACCGGAAAGCTGGATGCCGCAAGCTACAAGGTCACACAGACCACCTTTGGCGCGAAGGATGAGACCTTTCCACTCGTGACTTTGAAGGAGGAGGAGCTTTCCACAGGCGTGCAGCATGCCAAGCTTGTGGAACTCTTCTCCGATATGGTGGCCTCCGGAAAGTTGGACGAGTCCTGGCCCCAACAGACATATCAAACCCAGCTGGTCTTGGATGCAATGGTCAGATCTGCGGAGCAAGAGGGCGCGTGGATATCTTTGGGTTGATCCAATGCGTAAAGCTTTCACTTTTCCACCCGTTGCGGGCACAAAGACTGCGCAAGTGCCGCAAGTGGCTCAAAGCGAGCGGTGGAGCCAGCCAGCGTCATGCAGTTATGTGAAGCCGCTGTGTGTCATTCGTTTCGCACAAGAAGTCTGAACTCATATGTGCCGTTTGATGGTCTCGTGAGGCTCAGTGCCGCAACTTGGATGCACTCGGAGCCGATTTCGGCAGCGTAGACCGCCGCTGCCAGGGCTGCTTAGGGGGATTGTTCCATGACGTTTGTACATCCGCTTTTCTAAAGGTACGATGAAGAGCTGCATGCTTCCTAAGGGCAGCCAATCGCAAGCCCGGCTGCGGCGCCGCTTCTTGCCAGTGCACACATGAGGTGCCCTGGTCATGTGTTAGGGGTCTTCTCGCTCTCGTATTTGGGATGTCCTTGGAGTTGGAGCACGCGTATCTCGCATCAACGGCGCGTTGCTGAGACAAGATGTCTCAGAGCTGAGGCCCGTGGGTGGGAAGCCACTCCCAGGCGCGCTGATCGTTTCCTGGGCATGTTCATGCGACATCTTTTGACGAAATTCTGAGAAGATCACCAGCCCCGAGCAACAGGTGGGCCCGAAACAAACTGGAATGAGGCTGGGCTGCCAGCAGTAGTGCTGCTCTTGGCGCTGCATGCGCAGTACCCCGATCCACGTAGGTCCACGTAGGTCCACGTAGGTCCACGTAGGTCCACGTAGGTCCACGTAGGTCCACGTAGGTCCACGTAGATCCACGTGCGACCTTCTTCCTCTGACCGGAAGCCCTGATGAAGGTGGCGCCTCCAGCTCCCTACCTGAACCTCGGTGGCAGTCGGGCAGCTCTGGATGCATTGAGAGCCTTCTCGTCGCTTATGGCCCAGGATCAACAGTGTGGCGCCAGCGCCATCACCTTTGCCCTCTGCTGACTCCTGAGACTCTCCTGGTGCCTCTGGGTCTCGCGTGCTGGAAGAGCGCGAACCAGCTGACTCTGAGGCCATTGGTAGCGTTCACGTGAATCAGGTTCCATATGGGCTTCAAGCTGAGCATCTGCTGCCCACGATGCTGCATAATCACTGCATAATGCGCTTAGAGTGAGGCGGTGGGTGGAGTCGTTGCCGCTGTCCGAGGTCCTACAGCATGATGCCTGGTATGCTCAGCCCGAATGTGCCGCAGCAAGTGGCGATGATGCTTGGTTCGCGAGCCGATTCATGGGTTTTTGTGCTCGCTGGTTAAAGAATTGAGAAGGAAGTGAGCTGAGCGCGCAAAGTCAGCTAGACATGTAGCGGACGCGCATCACAAGTTTTCACGCATGAATTGCCCTTCAGTAGCATTGAAAAGAAATTACATATGAAGAGGAGAGCATTCGTTTCACTCATGATGCGGACATTGCATAGAGGTCTCAATACACTCAGAAAGAAAATGCACACTGCTGTCGTTAGGGCATGCAAGGGCCCCGGCAATGAGTTGGCGCGGTTCCTGTAAGCTAAGGAGCAATCCAGCAGCTTGGCACAAAAAAACTGGGCTTCAGAACATTTCAGCTGCTGGAGCATAGCTGAATTCTTGAATTCTTGCAGGCCATTGGCTTGGGGCCCGGGCTCTACCACGCCCATGCCCAGTTGCTTAGTTTCTTCACCTAAGCCTTCCAGCGACATCCTGAAGAATGCTCTAGCTTGCCCCAAGGTTCCACCACCGCCTCCTGGCGGACCAGGCCGCGACGCGGAATGCAGCTGTTTTCTTTCTTTTTTTTGGGTTGAACATGCTTTAACTTAAGCAGCCTGAGGTCCATACGAACACCCGGAAGGGATAGCGGCTGGGCCCATTGGAGCCTGGCCGACCTGGACTGGCTAGGACGGGAATTTGGGGGGGGCTCCTGAAGTGCAGCAATCCCACATGGTACATGACACATGGCCCAGAGGACGGCTTCCAGAAATTCAACGCGTGACATGTGGCCATGCCTGTCCTTGTCCTGTACCCATGTCGAATGGCGGGGCAAGCAGGCCACCAATCTCATTGCGCAATTTTCTTGTGACCTTATGGCTCACGCCGTCAGTGGGTCAACAACTGTTTCCCGCCATTCTTGATCAGCGGAAGTATCCTGCCGCAGAGCTGTCTCGGATTGTGGATTGGTGGGCTACTGACGATGTGGCGAGCCATGTTCCCAGCTGTGCGGGGAAGTGGAAACTCACCTCTTGCTGACCAAAGGTGCCTGTTTCCATCGCCGCAATGGATATGTTCGCTATGGCAACTACCTGCCTGTGAAACATGCCCCAATCAAAGGCCCCCAGGAAGTAGAGCCTACACTGCCCGTCATTAGTATTTTGCTGTCTTTACAGCCAGTGCCAATGCTTATGTGTTTCATGAGCTCGGTCGCAGAAGGCAGCAGGACAGACAGCGCTCCCACGCTGTCGTAGCTTCTCGATCTGCTTTCAGCTGCCATGGGCAAGGTGCAGCCTGTTTAGAGTTGTCCCGACGAGGATCATGCACTAGCAGCACTAGCAATCACTGTCATTTTCCGAGAGAGCGGGCAAAGCATGGCGGCACCTTGCACTTCGTCTCCCTGATGTTGCTGCGGCATGAAAAAGGCAGCATTATCATCGCAACTAGAAGAAAGAATTGTAATGAGTAAGTCATGATTGAGGGTATGTAGCAATGTTCACTAGTAGGCGTATTCATCAACATCATCATGACCCTCACTCTCGCCATCACAGCCATCACCGTCATAATTCATAATAATCATCATCATCATCATCATCATCATCGTGATGGTCATCGTCCTTGTCCTGATGCCCATCCTCGCCCTCATTCTCATCGCATCTCATCACCACATCCTCATCACCGTCGCCATCATTCCACATGGATAGTTTGCCTGGGCCGCCCCTGTGTAGTCTTCCACCAGCTGCACCCGCAACCCAGGAGAAATTCAGCATACTGCCACGGTTGGCCAACATCTTTGATGCGACCGTATCCAAGCTTGCGACTTACTTGCGACGCAATCCGTCAAGCCTTAGACTGCAATTTGTGAATCTTCTCTTCCCTGATGTGCAGCACTCTGAGATGGATGATTCTCCCTGATTCTCCATGTCAGGCGTGTCAAAGTGACGCGTTTCATCGACTATGCTCCCATGGTGTTCCAGCCGAGCCCCGAGCTGCCAAGATGCCCCGTCTCGCGATTTGCGCCTTGCGCCTTGGCACAAAGGCGGATACGTGCCAGCTTTGGAATCCACAGTGACGACTACCTTCGCTCCGTGGGGCCTGAGCAGCTCCTGGGCAACATGGCCCTTGGGCTCAGATTCCACCAGCCCAAGTCTTCGAGAGGCTGTAAGAGCGCCACCCTTGTTGACACAGCATCACTTCCAACAAGGTGCTGGGCAACCTGTCTTCCTTGTCCGAGCTGTCGTCCGAGGGCAAGAGCGATGAGCTCAGAGTGCCGGCTTACGTCGACAAGATGTGTTACAATCGCATTAAGGGCTCTTGCGAGGCTTTTGCTTTTCCAAGTGCCATGTGCAGGTGGCGCGTTTTTCTACTACACATCGGATGGGCGCCTTGGCAGTCACAGCTCTGAGTATCTGCTAAAGCTGCTCAAAGGTGGAGACGGTAAAGGATCGGGAAGGCTCGAGAAAGGGTCGGGAAGTGTCGGGAAGGGTCGGGAAGGGTCGGGAAGGGTCGGGAAGGGTCGGGAAGGGTCGGGAAGGGCTCGTTTCCCAGAACTCGCCCAAGAGTCTTCTGGCCGAACGTGTCTTGCTCGACAGCTAAGGAAATACATGATGAAGACGGTAACGCACAAGGCCAACCGAGCAGTGTCACAAAGTCTGGAGATGCGAATTGCATAGGTCTTGGAGTGGCGTATTTCTGAGGAGCAGATGCTGTTAAAGAAGATGTTGAAGAAATACTACGCACCCTGGCTGGAAACCCGCGCAAGATTGCTTTGTAAAGAAGGTGCATTTCAATCGGCACGAATCCATTCCAAACCCGTCAGTCCAGCGTTGAGTGTCTTCCTTGCGTTCTCGACATGTAGAAGAAGTAAGCGAGTCTGCTAACCAAATAGAGAGGACGGACAACAAGATATGGGGAGAAACGAGAGGTCCTCTTCAATGTAGAGAAAACTTATAGAACAACGCATGCCTTGTGAAAGCAGGCCTTGCTTGCAGACAGGGTGACAGGTTGTAATGTTGGACCCGATTAGAGGGGCCCCCTCAATGAAGTAACAGGTGATTCCGGACCGTGTGACTGTTTGGGGGTGCCAAGCGAGATCCGCTATTGAGTCAAGCCAGGCTTCCGGGCGTCGTAAGAATATGTAAGAATATTTCCATGTGACGTGCCTTTGAATCAATTGCCGGGCCTCTCTGCCTCCTTTAAACTCATATAAAGTCATCCCTTTAAAATCGTACAAAATCCGGCGGACAGTTTAACGAGGGGCACACTAAAGAGTGTGCAGCAGCACACGGCAAATATCCATGACAGCCAGAGGACACTTACAGTATGCTGTAATGGTTCTCTTTGGAAGTTTGGGCTGCTTTGGGCTTGCAGACGTTGCAACAGGAGTAGAAGCAGCTTGCGTGTGCTTGTGCGTGTGCTCGTGCTGTGCCTGGCCCGGGAGTTAGTGATGCCTCGGTTTGTTCTGCAAAAAGCCGAGGATCACATCACACAGAATCAAGGCACTCTCTTGGTGCGATTTCTGGGATTGTGCCTACCTCGGACACGCATTGACGGATTCTGTTCACATCATGTCCCTGCTGATTGGAATTGTGCAGTCAAGAGCGGCGTTGTTCAGGGGATGTTGCGTGCTGCCAGTTGAAGCTAGCGGACCAGTTGAAGAAGCTAGGGTCATGAGCACGCGCACGGGCGTACGCACGCCCACATGCACTGGCACACGCACACGCACCCGCACCCGCACCCGCACCCGCACCCGCACAAGCAGACGCACAAGCACACGCACAAGCACACGCAAACGCACACGCGCACGCACGCGCGCGCGCACACACACACACACACACCCACAGATACACATACACAAACACACACACAAACACACATACATACATCATACACAAAGCATTGTTCAAGCAGAGTGGCAATTTTTCTGTGTTTGATTTGAAGCTTGATGCCCAGATTGCCGTTTTGCGCGCGCGCGTGTGTTTTACATACATGCATGTATCGCACACACACACACAGACACCTATGTACATATCTTGCACAAAGCGCAAAAGCGATAACGCACTAAACGAAGCGAGGTTGACCATGTAGACCGCATTGCTGAAGCAGGAGCTGAGTTTGCACAGGTCATCGCAACACGCGTGCGCGCACGCGCAGAACTGATCAAGAGGGCTGGAGTTGTGCGACGAAGAAGATGTCTTCAACTTCACCACCTAGCTTCAAACCTGAGCTTGCAACCTGCGATCAGCTAGGCGGGTGGCAAGAAAACCTCAGCATATCACACTTCAACCGCCCTGAAGGCCTGCACGTGTGGAGTTCAGTTCGTGCCCGATAGCTCCATTGGCAGTGGGTTTTTTTTCCGGGCTTGTAACAGGCACCGGGGGGTCCCTCCGCGACAAAGGTTTGTAACAGACGTGCCGTGTCCGCGACAACCCCCCCCGCGACAAGGCTACAACCCCCCCCCCCCCGACAAGACAGCAATACCATTGAATTTTCTCATTGCCAATCTCGATGCGACCTTGATGCGTGTCTGCAGCAACTTTCACTCTCAGTCCGCGACAAGGCCTGCGACAGGGCGCGACATACCCGCGACAACCCGCGCGACTGCTCGAGCCAGCAGGTGCCCATCCGTAGGACAACCTTGAACGAGAAGCCCAGGGTTTATATTTACAGGGTTCAGGGTTTAAGGCTCTCCAGTAAAATCCCTGCGGTCCCTAAACCCTTCATCCGAAACCCCAACCCTAAACCTAAACCCTTTACCCTAAACCCTTACAAAGCCCAACTAAGAAAATTGGGTTCAAAGTAGCGGCGCGACAAAGGTATGAAACAACCTGCCCGCGACAAGGCTTGTAGCAGAGGGCGGGGGGGACCCCCCGCGACAACCCGAGTTTTAACCCACTGCCCCATGTTTGAACGGGATCGCGTGCGCACTGCACCACCATGTCCTGAGCGGTTGCGGGGCATTGAAGTTGATCATCCCGGGCTATGTTCAGAGCCATGCTTCCATTGCCGAGGCACTGCCTCAGCGTCCACAAGAATCGAAAGGCAGCCCCGACAATTCACGAAGCAATCCTGGCATAGTGAAGGTTCGTTGGAGTGCTGTGTCCAAGAGTCTGCCCTACATGCATGATATACGTATGTATGTATGTACGTATGTATGTATGTATGTATGTATGTATGTATGTATGTATTGTTTTGTATTCCTCACGCATTCTGCTAGCCCTCGGCTGATGAGCAGCTGTCTCCAGGGCTCGGCTGTCCAGAAGGTGTACTTCGTTGTCCCGCGCTGAGCTGGAAATGCTTCCTTGTTGGATGCCGCCACGAATGACACTAATGCTAAGCTCTGCATGATTTGTTGCGTGCGTGGGTAGGCGGGTGGGTAGGGGTGGGTGGGTGGGTGGGTGGGTGGGGTGGATGTGTGGGTGTGTGTGTGTGTGAGAGAGTGATATCCGGTTTCAAGGGATAGGGGCCGCATTGAAGCAGGGGCCAGGCCTCCCGTGAAGAGCCTTGTCCAACGAAGCTGAGCCACTGCAGGGGAAACGACTTGGGACCACACGTGTGTGCCTGCAAACCATGTTGTATTGTTCGCAATGTCATTCATTGTGCACGTGTCGATTGTGCCTTGATGTGCACTTACTGTATCGTGCCATCCTGAATTGCCCCACGATGACACAAATCAAAAAGTCAAAACGTATGGATCACCTGCTGACCTTTTGTGTTAAAAGTGCGTGCTGCGTGACAGATTCAGGCGGATGTTGCCCGATCTTCGATGTTGGCTCCGCGCCCACCCCCTGCACTTCGTGAGCCTCAACATGCCCTAAACCCTAAATCCTAAACCCTAAACCCCGTGCTTCTGAGCCCGAGCACAAGGCGAGGTCATGATTCTAGTATTTCGAGTGCAACCGAAAGAGGCGCGTCTCCCCAAGTGAAGACCGTAGCAGACTTCCTCGTCACTAAATGATGTCATTTCCGCCAATGATTCGAAGCTCTTCCGTGGAAAGTGCGTGCACCGCTGATTATGTCCTTGCCTGATTGGCTGCTGTCTGTGTGTGTGTGTGTGTGTGCCACTCTTGCAAGGCAGGCGTTTTGTGCTTGAACGTTTCGCTGCCGACGAATCTCGCACAGTATTTGATAATGGTCGAAAAGTAATGCCAAATACAATCTTGCTGCGCGCTGTTTGTCCTCGCTGTTGTCCATGTATTATCCTCTAGTATTGATACGTGCAGATGGCAGACAGTCAGAACAGAACCTGACAGTTGGTACCGTGCACAAGAACAGCCTCCTATGTGTGTCTGTGTGTATATGAGTTCAGATGATTGTTCGACAGTTTTCAGGCACAGCTGTGCGCATCGAAAGACATGCAGAGGTGATGGGCAACATGTTCAACACCCCCTTCGAGATCCACAAGCGCTATGACTTGAAAGGCTGGAAGAATGTGCGGAGTCACATGTTGTCGGTTGGTGATGTCAATCTCCTTGATCAAGGTGAAACTTGAATGCTGCCCCTCCTGGGTAGCCAACCCTTGTCATGCCTGCTCTACATGATGGCTGCTTGCAGCATCATCTTGATCCCTTTCTGTCAGCCTGGTTAACTGTTTGTTTGGAGGGCTCTGTTAACACAGGGCGGTCGCCTCTCGCCTCTCGCATCACCCTGCCGAAAAAGCACGCCCATCAGATACCGTGAGTTGCGAACTTTCTCTCATTTGTGAACGACGTGCAGCGTCCAAGTCGGGTATAGCATGTTTCGACGTGCATCCAGCCGATCCTGACAGACTGCTGTGAGTTCAACCCGCTCCTTGTATGTGTCAGGTTACAAGTAACATCTTTTTGCACATGTTACGCACATCTGACCAAGCCAGAGTGCCCCATAATACCTCGAGGCGCTAAGACCTCGAGGCTATGCGGCTTTTCTAGGAAACGTATAGATGCATTCCTGGCCGGCGCTTGTGTCCTTCATATTGCGACGCGCGACGGGATCCAGCAAGGTTTCGTCCGTCCATGCGGCCATTCAAGGAGAAGCGAAGGCAGCGAGCCACCAGGAAGAAATCAAAGGGCCCCAGGACGAGAGATTTGGGCCACTTGATAGTGGGATGGGCATTTCTCGGGCCACTGACGCTTATGATGGGCCACTGGAGTTCGATGCTCTCTCACCATCCCTCACCTGACGCCTCAGTTAGAGTGTGAACATTGATTTCCGTTTACAGTAGGGGGTTCAGCAGCGAGCTTTTTCTGGTGATGAAGTGGCTGGTGAACCACCTCATGCGTGATCAGTTGTGCAAATCGGCTGTGGCGCTGTGGTGCTTGTCGTTCGGATGGCTTCAGTTGCTTTGAGACGAAAAGCACTAAGCCGAAGCAGCAGGTTCATGGGTTGGGCGCGTCACGAAGGATGAGGACCGAGATCCGTCCGTTGCCCTCAAGGCCATTCAGCGCTGGTCTTTCTTCTCCTTAAGTTGCTTGGTGTGCTGTCTCGAGCAAGGTAGTGCAAAAAGCACTGAAAACCACGTCAGGATGTTGACTTCACGAAGGCCCAGGAGTCCATACTGGTCGGCCCAGAGCGAAAGGCGAAACTTGTTGCGCAGATTGAAAGAGATAGCCGTGACCTGAGAATTGCACTGGCGCTCGCCTCGTGCAAGATCGGAAGCACTCTGCTTTTTCAAGGTGCTTTCTTGCGAGACAACAACATCATAGATTATTCCTTGCTGTTGGGAGTCTACCTGCCGGAAGCCGAGTTGCAAGTGACGCCGGAAGTAGAGCATTGTGGCGCTGCGGTGCTGGGAACGTGTTGGGGCGCTAGTGAGCTCGGCCTTCGAGTCGGTCTAGCTTCTTAGACTCATGGACTACTGCTGCTCCTGCTGCTGCTGCTGCTGCTGCTGCTGCTACTACTACTACTACTACTACTACTACTACTACTACTACTACTACTACTACTACTACTACTACTACTACTGCTACCACTACTGCGACTGCTACCACTACTACCACTACTACCACTACTACTACCACTACTACCACTACTACCTCTACTACCGCTACTACCACTACTACCACTACTACCACTACTACCACTACTACCACTACTACCACTACAACCACTACTACCACTACTACCACTACTACACTACTACCACTACTACCACTACTACCACTACTACCAATACGACGACTACGACGACTACTGCGACGACGAAGTTTACCTCCCTCTTGTCTGGATTTTCAGATGTTGTACCTCTACCATTTCTATTGAAAGGTGATCTATCAAAATCTATTCACTGGAGTCATGAATACAATTTTCAAGAACTCTACAGGTACAGGGCCGAGGAATCGGAGTGAGAGCTGAGGCTTGGTGGCTCAGCTCATTCGGCTGACGACAAAGGCACTGCCCACCGGTTGCCGACGTGCGCCGCAACATCATCCCACATGAATGGTAGTGATCCTGTTGGCAGGCGGAGAGCATCCAGAGAGCTGTATGGGGCCGGCCTCCTAAACGATTCTTGCATCTGTGGGTGTGGGTTCTTTGCCGCTGCTTTGTACCGGAGCAAGTGAGGCTCCGGGGTGCAACTGCAGCCGCACAGACAATAGCTGGAATCAATGCAGCGGGCTTGAGATGACTTGAGTGGATATCCAGCATTGCGTGGTCGACCCTGGTTTGGTCCTGCACGAGTGGCTTGGTATGAAGTTGAGGTCCGCATGGCCTCAAGCGACGAGCTGCATGGCGAGGCCTTATCAGCATCAACAGCTGTAACACACTACGCTGTATCCCTCTTGGTCCGCCAGGTGCCTTTCCACCAGGCCCACATGGGTGGCATGCTGTCCTCAGATCAGAAGGCGTGCCGTGAAACTGAGGTGTCTACGGGTTAGAGTCAGAACAGAGTATCGAGCTGCTCCAAGAGGCTTTATACTTCTTGGGCATCATTGACATCCTGACACCCTACGACAGCCGGAAGCACCTGGAGCACTGGTTCAAGGACAAGACTTCTGTGCACACCGCGTACGTCATGTAAGGGCCTCTAAAGAAGCTCCTTGTGCAAATGGTCACTGCTACCTTCAGGCCCTACGCTATGATCGGAGGGGAGTGTCCTGCTGCCCTCCTGCCATGTATGCGGAGCGTTTCAGTTCCTTCCTGAACAACTGCATAAGTTAAGGCACGCAGTAGTAAAAGGTGCTCACAACGGAAAAGACAAGTACTTGCATGATCGTACTGCGTGCAAGACACGTTGCACCTGCTAGCATGCAGCCTGCTACGTGTGTCCTTTACATCGAAACTCTTTGTAGCTGTCGGGGCTCGATGAAGCTCACAATTCACGCGTCTCACTTCTGGATTGCGACTTGCGATGAAGCTTCCGAGCCTTTCGTTCGAGGACGGGAGGCCGAATCATTCTCGCTACATGGGTGGCCATGGACGTTCAAAATTGTTTCTGTCATTCACTATGCTCTTACGTACTACATGTAGTACGTTTGCATTGAAGATCAGGTTGTGTCGCGAATCATGGCCACTCCTGTCTAGTAGGATTTGTTATATTCACTGACAAGACGGCAAACTTCAATGCCAAATTTGCCGAATTCAGTTTCACTGCATCGTCTCAGTCAGATGATCTGATAGTGTCAACGGGGGCGGAGCTTTGGCCAACCTAGGTGTGTTTAAGGTTTAGGCAAAGGGGTCACCTGCCCAACATTTGATGCCCTGGCCTCACCTTGCTTCAGACAGCATGAGGCGGGCATTTACTGCTTACGAAGTCCGGTTTATTCCTACACTGGTGCGTCCCCGACGCTGCGCAGAAGCAGCTGCTCACTAGAGCAAAGATGTACAGGGAATGCCGCCGCAAACCACCGTAAACCTTGATCCGCGTAGCAGCGTTAGCGTCCTGCGCCCCATGTGCAGACCAAAAGCATCGCCAGGTGGCTACTGTGATCAAGTGTCGGTGTGCAAAGTTTGTGATGACCCGTCATGACATGTCAAAAAGGCCCTCAATGGACTCCAGCACTCCAGCAGCACAGAGCTCGCAGCCATCCGCAGGGCTCAGGCTTTGAGAAACATGGCATGAAGGCGCCCCGCAGATCTTGTCAACATTGTCAAGTAAGCAGGCACCTCAAACATGCTCACACAGAGACCGCAGCACGGGCCTCTCACCTTAGTAGTGACATAGCGTTCTAGCCGTACGCAGTACAAAGTTCCATGCCCGAAGTCAGGTAGTGAGACTGCCCTCAGAACGTGGTGCCGTGTGGTGGCATCAACATGGCTGTTGACGACCAGCAGAAATCGGAGAAGCACCTCAGATTGTACTTGGCAAGTCGGCCACGGAAGCAGGGGAGGCTCGAAGAACACTATGGTTCTGAGCAAAGCCCAGAGAAGCAGTATTCCCAGCTGCATGAGCTCCTTCGCGCAAGAGCGACTCCCGCCGATGCTGCGGCTGCCTCGACAGATCTGACCGTTCTCATCGACTACTTGGAGGATGAAGTGGCCGACAAGCAGCTGAAAGAGAGAGCAGAACAGTGGGCTGCAGGCATGAAGACTGGCTCCATTCCAGAAGGCATACAGTACAGCTATAACTATGAAGGTGGGGAGCAAAGAGCCGGCCTCGGTCTTAGTTTGCCACTTCTTTGGGCTGTCGTCAGCGTCAATGAGAAGGGATGAGGTTTTTGGGTTTGGGGTTTCGGGTCCGTGCTGCTGTAGCAAAGATGTCCCCTCGGTTTTGCCCTGCAGGCCAGGCCGCGATGGACCATTACGTGTCGCAGATTGTAGCTGCCTTGCGGGACTTCCCTTTTCTCCAACTGGATGGTGGGAGGCAACAGGGCCACTGGGTGCGGGACGTACTCGTTGCTCCCCTTTTTGACGGCTACTGGGATTTCTACTCGAACCGGAAAGTCAGCGGCTTCAACTTGCAGGAGTTTTACCTGTTGCTGGCAGGTCCGGGTATGCTTCTGGAGAGGCTGAAGCACGCTCGCAAGATGCTGCAAGCATAGGACGCGAGGTTGAAGGTGCAGGGCTCAGCAGCAAGGCTGGCGCCGCGCGGATGAGAGGGCAAGCTCAATCAAAATTGAAGAGTTTGCTGCAACAGGTCAACAGATGTCAACAGCCGTGCTAGGCCAATCAGCGCCCGTCATTGTTGATCTTGACTTGGGAGGGCTCAATCCAGCTTGGAAGACAGGGGAGCAAACAAACTTGCACAAGCAGCCCCATCTTGTTTTCAGGCTTAGGTGATGCAGTGGACTTCATGCGCATCGTTGTCTGCACACACCACGTCAGCCATCGCAGCTCACACGAGCGAACTACTGTTCAGCAAATCTGCATAAGACGCGAAGCAGAAGTGCATTTAGTGCCAGAGGCCGAAGAGTCCTTGTGGGCGGCAAACTGTGAACAGTTTGCTGTGGTATGCTAGCTCAGCCATGGCGGCATGCAGCATTTCTAACGTAAAAGCCGCGCCCTCGATATGCACGCTGACTGAATGCAACCCACCCCCCCCACCCCAAGTGGCACAAATCGATGCAGACTCTGGCCATCGAAGGTCATAACACCCACTTCCGATGCTGGCCCGGACCTGTGCAGAGTTCCCTGGCCAACTTCCAGAGGTTTGCGGTTGCACTTGTGGGTACTCTAGAGGATGGTGCCGAACGGCTTTGTCAGGGGCCTTGTTGCATCATAGAAGAACAAGTAGCAGTAGCAGTAGCAGTGGCAGTGGCAGTGGCAGTAGCAGTAGCAGTAGCAGTAGCAGTGGCAGTGGCAGTAGCAGTAGTAGTAGTCAGTAGTAGTAGCAGTAGCAGTAAAGCAGTAGCAGTAGCAGTAGCAGTAGCAGTAGCAGTAGCAGTAGCAGTAGCAGTAGCAGTAGCAGTAGCAGTAGCAGTAGCAGTAGCAGTAGCAGTAGCAGTAGCAGTAGCAGTAGCAGTAGCAGTAGCAGTAGTAGCAGTAGTAGTAGTAGTAGTAGTAGTAGTAGTAGTAGTAGTAGTAGTAGTAGTAGTAGTAGTAGTAGTAGTAGTAGTAGTAGTAGTAGTAGTAGTATTAGTAGTAGTAGTAGTAGTAGTAGTAGTAGTAGTAGTAGTAGTAGTAGTAGTAGTAGTAGTAGTAGTAGCAGGAGGAGTAGGAGTAGGAGTAGTAGTAGTAGTAGTAGTAGTAGTAGTAGTAGTAGTAGTAGTAGTCGTAGTCGTAGCAGGAGCAGTAGCAGGAGCAGTAGCAGTAGCAGTAGCAGTAGTAGTAGTAGTAGTAGTAGTAGTAGTAGTAGTAGTAGTAGTAGTAGTAGTAGTAGTAGTAGTAGTAGTAGTAGTAGTAGAAGTTGTAGTAGTAGTAGTAGTAGTAGTAGTAGTAGTAGTAGTAGTAGTAGTAGTAGTAGTAGTAGTAGTAATTAGCAGTAGCAGTAGCAGTAAGCAGTAGCAGTAGCCATTAGTTAGTAGTAGTAGTATTATAGTAATTATTATAGTAGTATTAGTAGTACAGTAGTAGTAGTCAGTAGTAGTAGTAGTATTATTAGTAGTAAATAGCGCATAGTAGTAATTATATTAGTAGTAGTATAGTAGGAGTAGTATTAGTATATCGTAGGTAGTCGTAGTAGTCCGCAGTAGTAGCATTAGTATCGAGTAGCAGTAAAGTAGTATTAGTAGTATAGTAATTAGTAGTAGTCTTAGTAGTAGTAGTAGTAGTAGTATAGTATAGCAGTAGCCGTACAGTAGCAGTACCATTAGCAGTAATTAGTAGCAGTAGCAGTAGCAGTAGCAGTAGCAGTACCAGTAGCAGTAGTAGTAGTAGTAGTAGTAGTAGTAGTAGTAGCAGTAGTAGTAGTAGCAGTAGTAGTAGTAGTAGTAGTAGTAGTAGTAGTAGTAGTATGAGTAGTAGTAGTAGTAGTAGTAGTAGTAGTAGTAGTAGTAGTAGTAGTAGTAGTAGTAGTAGTAGTAGTAGTAGTAGTAGTAGTAGTAGTAGTAGTAGGAGTAGTAGTAGTAGTAGTAGTAGAAGTAGTAGTAGTTAGTAGTAGTAGTTTTTAGTAGCAGTAGCAGTAGCAGTAGCAGTAGCAGTAGCAGTAGTAGCAGTAGTAGTAGTAGTAGTAGTAGTAGTAGTAGTAGTAGTAGTAGTAGTAGTAGTAGTAGTAGTAGTAGTAGTAGTAGTAGTAGTAGTAGTAGTAGTAGTAGTAGTAGTAGTAGTAGTAGTAGTAGTAGTAGTAGCAGTAGTAGTAGTAGTAGTAGTAGTAGTAGTAGTAGGAGGAGGAGGAGGAGGAGGAGGAGGAGGAGGAGGAGGAGGAGGAGGAGGAGGACGAGGAGGAGGCGGAGGCGGAGGCGGAGTCGGAGGATTATGAGTACGGGGGCGATATTTGTGGACGTTGCAACCACAGCCCACTCTGCCCTACACGCTGCAAGCTGTCTGTCGATTCTCACCGCAACGTTCACAATCCAGTTGTGTTGTCCGGGAAGTTGGTGCCCCTCAACGTATTGCAGACGAGCACCCACGGCGTGACGCAAAGCCAATGACGAGCATTTGTTTTGGCACCTCTGCAGCCTCAATTGGGCGCTGTTGAGGGCAGACAGGCCCTAAATAATTCGCTCGTTCACCGCCATTTTTGGTGCTGCTGCCTTGCGGAGGAGGAGGAGGAGGATCGAGAAAACATCAGAGTTTTTTCCGTCTAACTTTCCGTTGCAGTGATTTTGCTCATGCCCTGCGCCCGCAGCACAAAAAAAGGCATTCCCGGACCTGCAACAAAAAGGCGCTCCCCGCCCCCCCTCCACGCACCCACAACCCGACAACCAACGCACCCCCCGCACTTGGGGCTGAAACGAAAATGCACTCCGCACCTGCAACAGAAAAAGCCGTAACCAAAACAGCATGCTTACCGACAAAGATCTGAATGCCTCTCCGTTTCAAGCCTCAAAAGCTGAAAGGCTCAAGCCCATTCCGCCCGGCACCCTCGCACGCTAGCTGGCGCTAGTTCCATGCAATGCGCGCTAGATCGCGCTAGCGCGGGTGTCATGTCACCCTTGCCCCTCCGACTGGCCTACATGTTGATGCCATCAGCACTCGATAGACGATGCAGACTTCCCCCTCGCTCGAGAAACTAAGCCTCAACCGAGCTAGTGGCAAGAATCTACGGGCCTAAGTCCGAATCGTATCAACCCCTGGAGTCCTATGCTGCGCTGTCCGAGGCTATGCTTGTACGTTCTGTGTGTTGAGACGTGCGCTTATGAGGCGTATGTAAGATGAGACGCATCTGCGTCAGTTCCAGGAACGGAAAAGTTGAACACTGCCCACATCCAAGGTTGAAGACGACTTAGTTTTCGAGGCTCGCATGCTTGCTTTGGTTCGGATCTCCAGCTTTACATCTTGAGTGTCCCAAATGAAGGGGCGCAAGTACCTGTCGCTGTCTGTTGTGTGTGTGTGTGTGTGTGTGCGCGCGCGCACGCGTGCGGAGGGGTGTGCACGCGTGCAAGAGGTACTCGTGGCAAATACAATCCGGGTTGGTGCAAGCGTTTTTGTTGTGGATCGCCTGCATGGGGATTTCTGCAGGTTACCCTGGATGTGATGCACGCACTGAAAGAGGACATTGTCTTCCGCTGCATGTACGTGACGGATGGATCAGGAGCTTGAGATTGGGTGCCAAAGAACTGAAAAAACAGACCTGCTGTTTGGCTGACCCAAAACCCTAAACTCAAAATCCTAAACCTGGCTAGTCGGGTGGCAATAAAACCCTCAACCCACTTTTCCTGTCGCAGCCGCTGGTGAAGACGTGGAGCTTGAGTCCATCGACGTCGGGGATGGTCCGGGTGTGCGACAGGCCATTTGACCCTGCTTTTTGTTCCTGGAATGCGCAACCTTCAAGTTTGCAAGTCTGGCAGACTTGTGCAGGGAGTGCAGCGCTTCCGTTTCGAGTCCGGTCCTCCAACTCAGTCAGCCATAGAGGCCCGCAGCCGGCCAGAGTACGCCTTTCATGATCGTATGAATTGAAAGCTCCTGCCAGGCCAGCGGTGGTCCGCTTGAAGTGGTGTCATCCCCACTGAGCAACTTCTATGTGCATCTTGCCAGAATGCGTGCCATTGCATCCGAGAGTTTGGATTCTGAGGCCGGGCTCTACCTTTCCGCCTTGTACAGAGGTTCGCAATGCTGCTCCCTTCCAAGATCTTGTAGGCATATTGCAAGCACATGGGATGCTTGGCTGGAGGAAAGGAGTTCTGCAGGGTCGGCTACTATGTGCGACTTGTCTGCAGTTGAGACATTGTTGAAGCAAGGGACAGATTGAGTTTTCCCGATTTCATGTACAAAAGGCCAGCGGCAAAAACCCGAAAACATCTCCCAATGCAACAAAAGCTCCCAAACAGATCGGGAGATATTCGTGAGCATGGAAATGCCTTTTGCAGCGGCATGTAGTGGACAGAGGCGCCATGACTATGATGACCCAACACTCCAGGAGCTGTGTCAGAGTGCCCCCCCTTCCCCCGTTGATGCTAAAAATAATCAGAGTCATGATAAAAATGGTAATATGAATAGTCATCATAATCATAAGCACAATAACAATGATAAATAAGACAAAGAATATGTTGGCAGAATAGTAATCATAAGAATAAGAGTATGTTGGAACATCAGAGAAACAGGAGGATCCGCCTGCCACTGTGGACTGGACTCGCCTTCGCCGAGCCAGTGCCCGAGAGAACCTAAGCTTACATTGCAAGCTGAGGCTGAGGCTCTTCTTAGCTTTCTTCTTTTTGCTCAGGTGTTGAGTGAGCCCTGCGTGACGAAATTCCAGATTCCTTGGGACACAACTGAGGAGGCTGCAAGCAATGCCTTAATTTGAGCAGACTTTCCGTTCTTTCATTCTCTGCCCCCCTCAATAACTTGGAGACTGTCGACATACACGCATGAGGCTGGGCGAAAACGTCTCCGTGAGGAGGCGCGGAGCCCGGAACCGCCCAATCATACTCACCCCTTCTGTATCCAAAGCCTTGGACCCAGGAAGCTGGCTTTGAGGGGGCAACGTTGGTGGGATGACCCCACCACTGTGCTAGCTGCGCAAAATCAACGAGCCAACATGTATGGACACGTCTCTTCTGATCCGGCCTCAAGTCAATCAGGGCAGAAGGATTTGGTTTCAGGGGGGTGGGCGATGGGTGGGCGATGGGTCTGGGAGCCAATCTGTTCAGAATAAAGCCCAATGATCAGCATTCAACATTTCTATGCTCGCCGCTTTCTGCATGACGACATGGTGGCTGAGTCGCTTGTCCACCGCCAACATGATGTCAGAACGAGCACGAGAGGGCGAGCCTTCATGGACTGGCTCAGTTTCATTGCCACCAACAGTCCAGACCTTGCAAGACATGTGATACCGAGTGACTGCTGTCACACCTTAGCAGCTGGTAGCCATGGAGTGACGCCCGAAAGCACTCGTCTTTGCCTTGTCTCATATGGCAGGGGTCCCAGGCACATTCTCCTTCCAGCCCAGTTGTGCCGACATTGATCCACGTGCCTCTAAGATCCCGAAGCTTCCGGAGAATGGATGGACATGCAGGGGATGCAACGGAGGCCCTCGGCCCAAATTGCCCCCAAATTCCCTATTCGGTCTGCCGAGCTGCCTGCATGCTGAGGCCAAGAAGCTGAAAGGGAAAAAGGACAAACAGGCCAAGGCCAAAGCAGACGGCAAAGTGTCGTGCTCGGAGGTGCATGGTCGATGGGAGATCTTGCACCAGCATGCGAGGAAAATTCCGGTGTGCTGTGTGAGGTACGGCGATCCGGCTGGGATCCGCCACCATTCAGGGTGCATGGCTGCAGAGTTGCAAATTTTTCCAGAATTCCAGGAAGGTAGTGACGATTCTGCGAGGTACCTCCGCGCCTGTGGCCCGGGGAATGCTCAATGGTGGGCCTTCCAGATCGGCAAGAGAACGAGCAGTGTTCTCAACTTGCTTGTTTTCAACTTCTTGGTGTGGCTCATGAGAATTCCAGCACGGCCCGAAGCCGCAGCCATGCCTGTATCTATTCAGTTCCTGAAAATCGCTTTCGGCTCAAAAGGGGCCGACTCTTCTTGCGATCCTGAGTGCTGAGCATCTTCCCAAAGAGGTGGCTGAGAGAGTTGTCTTAGCTGCGTGCTTGCACGAAGCCACTGCCAGGCCTGATTCTGTTCAAGCATGCGTGGTTTTCGTGGATTGCAGCTGGGCCAGAAAGGGTCCTCACCGCAGGAGATGTGCACTCTGTGGGCATTGCACCGAGGCTGCGCTGCGCCATCATGATGGCCATGGCCTGCTACGTTTCGAACAGCAGCGGCCGCAGTGTCTTCTTTGGTTCCTCTGGGCGCATGTGCGAAGCACCTGTCACATGGACGCAGCTGGGAAGGAGCCTTCGTCACCTCCATGCCGGCCCTTCCACGAGGAGCTTTTGCGAACTGCACGCTTGGTTAAGCATCGCGGCGTGGCCGTTGCATGGCCATTGGCTCTGGCATGCGTGAAGTGCGTAACTAAGCTCCTTTGGTTGTGCCTGTGGCTAGCAGCTGCGACTCGCGCGCAGGACATTCCAGCAAACTAGTCCAAGGCTCTGGCTTGTTGGTGTCGTGTGTGTGTAGGCCTCCCGATTGAAATTCTGAAATCGAAGGCCTTGCCCGGTTCACACAGGGGGACAGGGTTTTTTGGCACTTCCGCTGTCCAACGAGCTGGGTGACTGGGCAGCCTGGACTGATCATCCAGGTGTACATCAGTACGGTTTTGCGACATCCTCCAAGCTGCTCGTGGTTCCAAGTCCTCGATGCATTCTCGCCGTACCAGCCGGAATAATCTCTCTCTCTCTCTCTCTCGCTCTCTCGCTCTCTCTCGAGCTTCCTCACCAAGTCCACTGAAGAGCTCCCACTCCTGAACCGGGCCGATCCGGCATGGGCCTGCCAGCTTTTCCTACTTACAAGAGAGCCGGGCAGCCGTGCCGGCAGCGGCTGGCGGGCAGTCGTGCATGACGCGTGTTTTTTACTCGCGAATCGGCCTCGCGGCATGTTCGGGCCGCCCCTGGTGCCGCGCTAGCGTTCTAGCAGCCTGGGGATCCATGGCAAGTCCTTGGACGGCGCCCAGACGGCTGCGACCTGCGAGCCCTGGCGATTTCATCAGAACGGAGCGTCCCAAAGGGCCGGGAAAGCTGGGGTGGGGGTTGTTGGGTCTGGCCATCTGTCACCGTTTTCATGCGCCGTCTTCTCCACGGCATATCTTGCTCCAAATGCCTTCTGCTATTTAGAATCTTACTCATGTGAGGTTTCATGTTGGCACCAGTGTTTTGGATCTTCACTTCTGGGTTGAACTGGGTTTTGCCAGCTTCAGAGGACTGTACAAGTGTGTGCAGGGCTACCTCCTACAAAAACGTGGTGATGCTGCCAGGTGCCACTTCTGGCAAAGTCAACCTGGATCGTAGCCAGGACATGGAAATCAGCTGCTGACGAAGAGTAGCAAACTTGTTCAATCTTATATGAAATTAAAGTACATTGTTGTTAACATATCAGATTATAACACTCTAAAGTAAAAGTGTTTTTCACTCACACATTCCTAGAGTGCTTCTAGAGTCGTAAAGGGTTGGATCACGGAGGAGCTCCGCGACTTCTTGATCGGCGGCGATGGCGGCGTGTCCCCAACCAAGGAGGCCATGCACTTCATTGGATTTCCTGCGACGCCAAAGGGTGGTAGAATGGTTTTCGCCCTCGGGTTCAGAGCCATCTGGAGAGAGAAAGAAAGCAAGATGAGTGGAAGGAAGGAAGGAAGATGAGAGCAGCTCGAATTAACATTGATGCGCCCTTGAGCTGCAGCTTTTTTTCTTGCGCTGCGGATACGGGGACAAACTGACACTGCCCGCAACTCCAAGTGAGGCGGTCGCAAAGAGTTGGGAGTTGCCTGTCAGTACCTCAGCTCACCGCTTGCGGTAGTCGGTACTGTAGAATACCGATAGCGGCCGCGAAAGGTCCTTGAGTGCGACGAGGGCTGCGTTTCTGCAATTGAGAACTGCCTGGACGAGGCCATGTGATGCCCTGCTACATCATTTGACACGTTCGTAAGATTCGTAAGTTCTCAAGAGACCAGGGATGCAGCGTCGAAGCCCTCATGAAGCTGGATGCGGCTATTGCTGCGGACGAGAAAACCATCGAGGCGAGACGGTCTTGCGCAAATCGGAGCGTTCAAGCGTCAGCGCCGAAGTCGGAGCCAGGCGAAACTTGCTGGCAAGCAGGCCGGTGCCTGGACACGACTTGTCATACGGGAGGGAGGAGTAATTATGGGCGAGCGAGCGGGCGCGCAAGATCGTGCAACCCCGGGAGGATGCATGGCTCCAGAACTTTCTGCAGCGGTCTGGAGCGCTGCGTGCCCAACTGTCCACGATGTTGACCAGGCCTGAATCTGGAAGCCTTGAAGCCGAAGCCTATGCTCTTGGCGATCTTTAGGTTCTGGAGCCGGTTTTGCCCCTCCCGGCATCAGCACCAACCTTTGGGAGCATGCTGACACTTTCAGGGTTTTGGGCTTCCGAGTGTCCGCAGGGCAGGGATGCTAGCGCCCGAGTTTGCAAGAACTCGCGTTGGAGGCCAACCCCCCCCCCCCCCCCCCACTCCCCCCCACGTACAGCAATAAGCGAAAGCCCAACCAACCGGCACAGAATCAAGAACTCACTACATGTGAAGATTTGCCAACTATCGTGAGCTGATGGCGTTGGCCATGGCTTCAGGAAGAAGTCGGAGCCATGGATGACGCAGCTGGTCAAGGCACCGATCCCCAAGCGCAGCTTCGTAAGAAGGCCATGGCATGGCAAAACAGAGGCAGCCCAGCTGGCCTTCAAGAGCAGCCGGGATGGCGACTACCCTAAGGCAGGGTTGTGGACGCACAGAACTTGCTGGGCCAGGGGTTGATTTCCACAGGTTGGCGTGTCTTCCTTCTCTTCCTGAGGCGTGGCCCAGTTTATGATGCTACGGGAGCCATTGCACCATGTTGACAGGCGCTCGGTGGTATCGGCCGGCACATGCCTGAAGCCTGAAGCGTCCGAGTTTCCGGTCCTCTCGGACGTTTCTGCAGTGTGCTGTAAATTAAACAACACCGGGCGTCACATGCACAGGATCCTGCTCGAGCCACGTCTTTATAAAGGGTGGTTTTTAGCGCATGTTGACGGTGGCCCTTTGAAAGCTTGCCACCAAGTTTCTGAGCTTCGTTGACATGCAAGTCCCACAAGCGGTGAGAAAAAGATGGGCTCCGATTTGCTCTCCGGCAGCAGCCCAGTCCCAGCAACTCACCTGCAACCACATTGAGGTTTATGAGCATAAAGGAGATCTACCCTGGCGCTGTCATGGGCTCAAACCTGGTCCTTGTGTTTCATGTAGGGTTTCGGGTTCTAGGTTCTTAGGAGCTGAAGTTTCAGGTTAGTGCCCAAATCACGGCGTTGCGGGCTTGGCGTTTGCACGATCTTCTTCTCGTGTCGGGTCACCCCCCCGGGACCCTGGGTTGTGATCGGCCACGCGTGGCCGCGGGTGGAGAGTGTCCCAAAAGCGCGAAAAGTCGATAAGTGCAAACGGTGCCCTGGAACGCGCGAAGGGTCGAAGAGTCAACGTGCGAAAAGTGAGAAGTGCTTCCGGACACGAAAAGTCAAAAGCGTGCTAAACGTGCCCCGCGACGCGCAAGTCGAAAAGCCGAAACGTGTGTGAAGCGCACCAGGTTTCATTTGAGGGTCGCGTCGGCGTTGAAAGGTGTAGGTTTAAGGGGTTTGCTGTTGTTCTTGGCTGGTAATTCCCGGTTCTTCCGCATCTCCTAGAAAGAGGGAAATCCTTTTGGTTGGAATTCAGAAATCAAAAGTGCATGGCGGCGCAATGTATGGCTGTTGTGCGCGCCATGCCTTGGCTTATGGGTGTGCTTGTTTTGGTTGCAGAGGTGTGTGTGTGTGTGTGTGTGTGTGTGTGATTGTTTTGGTAGTGGTTGCCCCCTCTGGGCTCATGAGGGCTTTGGGCTGGGGGCCCCGAGGCCGAGGGGTGGTCTCTTCGACACGTGTGCTGTCTTTCCCCGTGCTGCTTGACTGACCAACAGAGCCGAAAAGGAAGCTCTGACGGCTGCTGCACACGGAGACGAACTCGAACGTTTAGGGGGTTTATATACGTAGAGTTTTAGGGGTTTAGTTTTTTAAGTGTTTTGGCGGGTTTAAGGGCCAGGAGCTTCAAGACGTGAGAAGTTGACGATGACCACTGGCAGTCGAGTCAGCATCCCCTGCTTCTGCGAGGGCAGATTGCCAACATCATCCAACATCATCCCAACAGCGCCCGACCGGGTTTAGGGTCAAAAGGGTTTCCAGATGCGGACCACGACCCGGATCCACCCGAACCCCGAACGGGACCCGCACGCGCACTCGGCTGGGCCCTCGAACCCCGCCGCACCCGGACCCGGACGGTGAGTAAACAAACCAACACCCCCCAGACCCCCCCCCCCCTCCCCCCACCCAAAAAAATGCCACAGCTACCGTAGCCGTAGCAAGACAAGACCAGCCGACACGTACATGAGAAACCTGTACACACCGCGTGGGACTTCACTGTCTCAATTTTGAGTCCCCTTGTGGATTTTGTCTTTTCGGATTCCTCATTAAAGGGACCCTCAAACGGCACCCCAAATCTGGAACAACCCCCGCGCGTGAGTTTCGGCTTCTTTTGTGAAATGCGCCACCTTCCTTGGCTGAGGTTGAAGAGCTGCCAGTTGGACGAGGCTAAAGACCCGGAGTATGCTCAAGCATCCAAATTCGGGTGGCAACAAACTCTTGGCATCGTGTTGCCGCCCGCCGAGCACCTGCAGTGTTAAGGTTGCGAAAGCTCAGAGTCAGAGGACGAAGAAGATGCCAAGGCCCATTGGATGCTGTCCCAAACCACGGGCATCATCTGCACGAATGTAGGTTGTCGCTTGAAGTGGCTGTTGATTCTCAGATGATTGCTGCCGCTGCCATTCCAGGATTGGCTTAGCAACTTGTATCTCAAGGCGTCAAAGCTCCGATGATGTCTTGTAAAGGTGAAGACTCAGCAAGTGCAGGCAAGACTACAAGACTGCTAGACCAGGAGGTTTCAGGAGGCACATGTGGCTGCATCCCCTACGCATTGCGACGTGCTAGTCGCAGCGATGCCGACCCACGACTCCTTGCCGCCCCGCGCTCAGGGTCCTGGGCTCCTGTGGCGTGGGGACAACTCAGGCACCTTTAGAGCTTAGGGTTTAATGTGTTGGTATCCCCTTCTTGAAGAACTTAGGTGTCAAGTGCTGGAGAAGGAGCAGACAGACGAGATAGCAACCCATCCTCCGCCCAGACCGGCGAGGCCGACCCTGACCCTGGGCTGGCGTGTGCGTGTTACTTTCTTCTCGTTCCTGCACTGGGAAATTGAACAAAGGGGACCTTATATCCCCGTATTGTTTGAAGTGTATAGCATATATACAACCCTGCAAGGGGTTCTGTCGGGCACCTCGTTCCCTACTAAGATACGCTGTGAGCTGTTGTTTCAGCCCAGGACTTGGATGCATGAAGGCCCCATGGGTCCGAGCCCCATGGGCCCCATCGGCCCCATCGAAGTGCCAGGTGGCGCACCCAGGATAAACAATTGCAGCGAAGGTTGAGTTGTGCGTGAACACTGATCGTGTGTGAGTGTGTGTGCTTTTGCTGTTTCCTTTTCTTTTGCTTACGGGCTTACGCCTCATGGCATGCGCAGGTCCCCCTGCCATGGGCGAATATGCTAGAATCGAGCTGGCTTTGGACCGAATTTCACAGCAGGTGCGAGTGCAGTGACGACAAGCAGGGAAGCCGTAAGTACTATCGCAGCTGGAATGTCGCGATGGTGACGCAGGTGGATGCCTGTCTGGAGCAGCTGCTGCATGGTTCCGGAAGTGGCCCGAACTCTGAGCATGTTCCGAGGGAGAATCATGTGCTGAAAGGACCGCCTCGGTTGCAGAGCATAGCGGGATACACCACAGAGTGCCACGAATGAGAAACAGAAAAACTTGGCAATGACCAGCTATGCTGGGTTGCAGAGAGTGCGTTGTTCTTTGCTGTTTGCCTGGAAACGAGATGGGGTTTGCAGATGGAATGCGGTCAGGCTTCGTTGTGCTGGCATGCATTTATGTATGTGTGGCTATTGTAGCCCAGATGGCAATTGACGGGGGCAGGAGAGCCGTTGTTTGCAGTGGTCCCAGATGCTTGTGCCGCTCCTCCAAGTGGTACAGATGCTCATCTGCCATTAGCATGCCCAACTAAGACCCTAGACCCTTAACCCTAAACTGCAAAAATCCGACCTGTCTTGGTTTGAGTGATTTCGGGGCCAATGTGTTGTCATGTGTTGTCCCAGAGTTTGAACCGGAGCCTTGCTTGTGCTAGCGTGAGAGTCGAAACCGCAAAAAAAAACAAGAACACCTTCAACCCGAAAGCTCCACTCCTGTCACCTGTGCGTGTGGCAGCCGAGACCGAGGCTGAGTCAACCCCTCTTCGACATCAGGTGGTCAGCTTCGGTACTGGAAGTCGGCAGGGCACCGCCGCCTGGTGTGATGCGACTCAGTTGCATCTGCCTTCAGTCCTGCTTCCCACAGGTCTAGGGGGCGCGTTTAGCCCCCCCCCCCCCCCCCGCCGCTTTAGGAGAAAAAGGCTAGCGGGCGCTAAAGTTCAGAGTTTTGAGGACGGTTGAGGGCTTCAGATGGTGCTTTAGGGCAAGTGTCTGGCTGTCAGCAAGGCCAGCTTCAAAAAGGGTATGGTTCAGATCTCGGTCCGTTTAAATGCGTTGCTGGGGGTCGGGGGGATGCGCACTTCAAGTTCTTTTCAGATTGGTGGGGCAGGAGATCATTTGGGCCAGGTTATGAAGTCCCGCCCTGGTGGGTTGCAAACCTGCCTTCTCCCGTCTCATCGTTGGAACGGCGAGTTGCAGAAACAATACCACGCCCTGAAGACAACGTAACTTGCAAGTGTAGTTGGGCCTGGGAGATGTGTGTTTAGGGTCGCGCTGTGCTGCTTTCTCTTTTGAGTGAGGACATGTCCGAAGTGGAGGAGCGTCCTCCCGTCCGGGCCCCACTTGAATGCCGGCAGCTGATGCGAACCTGCATTCTGAGCGTCGCATGTCGCGCAAGGATGCAGCACCGCAGCCACGGAGACACGTCCATAAGGCTGCTTGTCCCATGCTCTTCAGGAGCCTAGCATGATGCGTGTCGTTCGTGTGGCCCTCTTCGGCCATATCGATGACAGCCACGTACCTGATGGAGCCCGAGGCTCGCACCGCGGACCTTAAGATGGCAACGGAGATCTTTGGCGGCAAGGCGCTGGTTGCCATTGCTGCTGCGCGCGCTGCTTGCGTGCTTTCTGTTGTCAGGGATCCTGTAACGAGTGCAAAGAGCAGGATGAGGCAGCAGCATCAAAGCCGATGATGCGCTTGCTGTGTGCCTTGGCATGCCTCGGCCATCATGCGTTTGCGTACAAACCGATCAAATGTGTCTTCTTTCTTCACCACCTTCGCGCTGGAACCGAGACCGCAGCCGCTGTGATGACATCTGGGAGCTGCTCGATGACCCCGAGTCCAGCAGCGGCTTGTCTCGGGAAGGTTTATTTTGTTATTGTCCATAGCCGAAGCGCCCTTTTTGCTTGTCAAGCAAGGAGCTGCGCGATGTATTTCACAGACGCTCAAGGCCCGACTTGAGCACCATGGGCGGGCACGTTGTGGTTAAGGAGCCGGTATTCGGATGTACTCGGCATAGGGTTCTTCGATTCGGCAGTCCCGCAGCTTGTCCGCAGCCCTATACAGGTTGTTGTCATCCTCAGCATTCTCGTGACCAACCTGCAGGTTATGCAGGACATAGACAAGAAGTCCATCGAAGTCCGTTCCCGCAGGTGTATTTTCGTTCCCTGCTTGCGTCAGGAGCCTCTGCTGCAGGGGATCTTGGCAGCAGGTCTGGAGACAACCTTTGACGTCATCTTCCTTATAGAGCTGGAGTCCCAGATGCGCGTAAGCCTAGGCATGGCGGCCAGGCGGCCGAACAGCCTTTAAGAAATGACAGATCGTAGAAAAGTGCTGGCTTCCTTTGTGGCCGCCGAGGTTTCTGTGCCGAATTCTCTCCGCTCCATCAAAGAGGGAGTATGTCAAAGATCCGTTCAACTGGGCGGACATGCTTTCAGCGTTTGGGTTCCCCTTGAGAGTGGCTCTGCTGAACACGCATCATTCAGCGAAGGCCAGCAAGGTATGCAGCAAGTGAGGTTTCCCAAAGCTAGGTGCCTAGTGCCTATATTGGGGGTCCGTTTAGGGTAGAACAGACGACCTCAGCATTGGAAACTCCCGTGTGGCTTTCACCTTCCTCAGTTGAGCATCGGCTTTGTTCTCGAAGTCCACCCTCACCACGCAGCTTGGCGGAAAGCCACGATCCGTTCGGCACGGCCGATGTGAGTTGTGCAGGGTAGGGTGCAGGGGGGCCGTTTACCCAGTCTCGCTCTCACCCTATTCTCAGTCTTGTCTTGCCTGTTCTGGTGGTTCTTGCGTTTTCGTTTTCCTTCTGCATTCCTTTCTTCGTCCCTCTGTCATTACCTTTTACGTTTTCACTGTCGTTTTCTGTGCCCTTGGTCTTTCGCGTTCACTCTCTCTATCTCGCTCTTTCTCTTTCCCTCTGGTCGCTCTCTACCCCCTTATGCCGTACGCCCCTCTCCCCTGTGTCCCGCTCCTCCTTTCCCTCTATCTCCCTCTCCCTCTCTCCCGTCTCCCTCTCTCCCCTCCCGGCTCTTGTCACTGTTTACCCCTCGCTCTCTCTCTCTCTCTCTCTCTCTCTCTCTCTCTCTCTCTCTCTCTTGTCTTTGTGAATCTGGCATGTTCGCAAGCTCACTTCTGCGTTTGTGTCGTGCATTGCCTGCAGGTGCAGCAAAAGCAGCAAGAAAGTGGTCTTGTCAGATGTTGACGCTTGATAGTGCGCCTGGCTAAGGGGGGCGATCCCGTCCAGGCAACGGAGCTGAAATTAGTGTGTGCATGGTGTGAACCTGATCGTGACAGCAGGGACTGTGTTGACACTCCCGGCATCCCGGATTGACCGGAAACCAATGCATCGCATTGCGTCGCCAAACTCATGACTTTGCAGGTTATCCTCCTGCTCGCGCTGCCTATTGTACGCCTTCTCAAACTCCTTCGATACTTCGAAACTTTCAGGCTGTTGATCGACTCTTGTCCAATTCGAGAGTTCCCAGCAGACTTCATTCATTGCATTTCTGAAGCAACACTCTTCCAAGTTTTTGTTTGTGCCCGTGACATCCACCAAGGATGCCTTTAAGAACTCGACGCTCGAATGCAGACTGATCGATGGCTTGCGCCCGTAGCACTGCATAGGCTCTGGTACAGCAGGCGAGGGCATAGACCGAACTTGATGAAGTCATACCCTCGGTGCATCAAAGGCTGGAAGCCCTTCCAGTGCTAATGTACACGTGTCTTGGCAACGACGGGAAAATCTGTGCGCTTCTGTGTATCCTCCTGTTGTTGGGATGGCTTTGATCCCCCAATGACCCTCGTAATTACAGCATATCCTCGTGTGCATAGCGAGCCGGAACTGTCAAACATGTGATCTTGGGACACATCCCTGCATAGAGGACTCGAAAGTCTGCGCACAGGCAAAGGGGAACAGCGAGTCTCAAGCACTGCTTCCGAAGATGCTGTTCTTGGTGCTCAGGCTCGCTCTGATTGTGATGTTTGCATCGACGTTGCTGTACCTGATTGAGACGAGGACATGAGTTCTCTGCAGCATGTTGGCGCGTTGAAACATGTTGGAACGTTGAATGCCTTGATGAGGACTGCCATCCCTAGCTCCGCATCAGCAAAAGATCACGTCCAAAGTATCCGAGCTTGCTCCCTTTTGCTCTCCCCTGGAGTGCGGACTGGCACAGAAGTTGTGAGACGAGTCTTTCCCTATTATCAAAATTGCTGGGCAGGCACCCGCTTGCTAGCGTGCCCGCGACGTGCGATCAGAGATTGAGGTCTGCATTCGGTGAGTTGTGAGCTTGGGCAGCTGAGGTTTGCAGCATGCCCTATGGCTATGTGTGGTGACTATGACCACTGTCGGCTATGGTGGCTGCGTTGGGGGACAGTTACTTCCTGCAGTGTCTGCTGTTGCTGCTTGCATCGTGCAGGTGACTACGTTCCATATACGGCTGGAGGCTACATGGTTGTGCAGCGCGCCTGTATTTAGTTTTGCCATTGGCTGCACGCAGAACCGACGGCATGCAAAAGCAAGCTCTCCTGAGCTCCTGAATGTTCCTGAGTGCGCTTTGAACGATCCGGCGAAAGCAGGTCCATGCTCGTGATCGTCAGCGTTCTTTTTGTTGCCATGCCCGTGCCAAATCTGCACAGCAAAAGGGCTGTAGGTGCTTCACTTGCGGGGCTGTCGCGGGGGCAAATTCGAACATTTCCCAAGGTGGGAATCATCGGCCACGAGTTCACAAGTTGCTGGCAGACTCGTGACCGTGTCCTTTGCATCAACAGGGCTCGGCAAGCTATGGTCAAGTGGGGGTACAGTGCAGGTGATGTGGCTTGGCACAACTTGGTAAACCACAGAGGGGCCGAGGGCCACTTCTTGGAAAGAAGTTACGGTCACACAGCTCAAGGTGAAAGTATTGTTCGAGTACGTCGACATGGACCATGATGGAAACTTAGACCTCCTCGAGTTCATCGAGCCCTTGGCCGAGTGCGGTTGTAGTCCAGATGCCCCAGCTGTCGAAGCTCAAAAGCTCCTTTGTGAATGCAGTAGCCTGGGCTTCCTTCCCTCAGGCTAATCCGGCAAATGCGCGTTGGCTTGAGTGTCGTGCCTCGGCTCGTAGCATGACAGTCCATTCCTATACCGCCCCTAGCCCAACCCTTAAAGCCCCAAGCCGTCCTAACAAAGACTGCGGTGTACGAGTATGAGCGTGCGCAAGGGTCAACCGCCCCCAAAGCGCTACCTCAGGAGCGGTCCATTGGGCTCTTTATGCTGAGCCTTGCCTTTGCATAACAAGGGGTTTCAATGTAGGGCTCAGAGACCGAGCAGACCGAGTCTCTTGCCGTACTTCGCGACACCGAGGTTTGATGACAATCAAAATGGAAGCATCAATTACATGGAGCTGCTTTGTTCAAGGGTGCCGCGTTCAGTCCATTTCGTTTTGCCCATGACCTGAGCTAAGGTTCATGAGACACGTTTTCCCCCAAGAGTTCGTCGAGGAGACAGCTATAGAGAGCTTGCAGAAGGCAAAAGATATAGTCATGACGCACACTTGTCGGGTTCCAGCAGAGGAGGCCAAGAAGGATGTACAGCAGTTCCGGTCCAGCGAGAAGGCTTGCGGGTAGACTTCGCGAAGCCGTTCCTGCTGCAGGGTTCAGGGTTCACACACTCTTCCACTTTGATGACTGAAGGTGCAGGACGCCTTGGAGGCGCTGACTGCCACAAAAGGCCCCGTGACTCACGCGTGGAAGCAAGGGAAACTCAGCAGCATCTGCCAAAAAGTCTCAGGAGACGGTGACATGAAGCCACCTGGAGAAGGCCAGAGCTCCGAGTGATTTGAGGCTGTGCTGCTGTTCGGAGCCGGACTTTGAACTTGGGCTCGGGATACCTGATGCCCCGGCGAAGTGGGTAGCCTTGGACAGAAGAGCTGTCCGAGCTGCCGATCCATGTTTTTTGGTGATTCTCGGCGCTGCGTAGATGACTTGCCAAGGCGCCTTTGAACTTACATAACTTGCCCGTGCGCAGCACGAACTTTTTGGAAGCCGTCGAAGTGAATCAGAGAGCGTGATGGGTAGTGGAACCCGGACGTTATGTGTTAGCACCCTCACCGCTGAGGGCACGAGTCTTGCTTGGGATCCACCACCCGTGACACCACGATGGAGCTCGTCCTCCTGCGATTCAAATTTGGGCTTGTGTAGTTTGCGTAGTCGGGCTGTCTTGCTGAGCAAGCTTGCCCCATCACTGGCGGCCACTTCAGGCAGAGCGTCGAATGTGCACTCGCAATTGGCCGGCATGCTTGCCACAGCACCTCAGTATCGTTGACCCTGAAACACGGGATTGGATTGCTCACTAGGTGTTCATGAACTCTTGTGAGCTTGTTAGCTTGACCGCGCCCGGCGAGGACCCTCAAGCATACAGGCCCTCGACGCCTGTGAAGCGTTACCGAGCAACTGGGCCGGATGTTCGGCAAACCTGAGTGTCCATGATCCCTTGGTGCATAATGGGGGTTGGGCGATTTGGGGCGGGGTGCATTGATGGTCTAATTTTCCTTTTTGTTTATGAAAAAGGGTGGTGTTGAGGGCCTCCAAGGTCCGGCTTTGTGCAAGTGCTGGCAGCGGGCCCACAGCAGAGCTGGAGGTGGGAAAGCTGCAAGCATGTCGCTACACTTCACTACCATTCATTTGATTCACTACCATTTTGCCTTTTCTGTGTTCGTTGCTTGGACCAAGTCACATGCTCCGAGCCCGAAGTGCTGGTCCAGGTGAGTTATGGCCGGCTGTATCCATCAGAGACGTGCGCCTTGGCCAGCTTGTTCGGAAAGCGGGTTGGCACTGATGTCTGCCGAGGCCGTTCCTGCTTGTGGACAAGGCCAAGGGGCCAAAATGCTTCAGAAATCCTGAGACCTGCCGTGTGGTCACGCTTTGCTCTAGGTGGACAACTTGGCCAAGGAACCCTGGAAGGAGCTCACCCGGCGTGTCGTTGAGGAGGTCCTGCACCAGCAAGTCTTGCAACAACTTGTTCCTCTGCCAGTTGTGTTTCAAAAGAGTGCTTGCCTAAACGACGCGATCCCTAAACCCTAAACCCTGCGGTTCGGCCAGCTATGCGGGAGCGACAAAAAAACCCTAAACCCTAAACCCTCAACCCTACAAGGTTCTCCCACAAACCTTGGGCAGTGCGCACATAACTGGAACAGACCAATCAGATCGGGCTTAGGTCCGAAACAGCTGGGTCAACATTCCAACCTTGAGCCAAGACGGAGCAAGGCACAAGGGTAGAGCTTCTAGTGAACCACGCCTTCAATCACGCGAAAGACGGGGCAGTGTATCTCGCGCGAAAAGCCAAGGGGATAGGCCACCAATTGAGCTGGGTCGGTCAATCAGCAATTTCAGATTACCTCGTGTCAGTCAACGCGCCTCTTCTCCAGATGATCCACCAGTACGAAACCGGTTCAACACTCATCACCTCCGAGAACCTCAACCAGGTCTGCGGAGACATTTGGCAAGCGGAATGGTGCACAATGCGTCCACGCATGGCTTTGCTCGGGATCGAGCGGGCACCGATGAACATTGGTGGTGGAATCTGGCTTCTGCTTGCGTGCTCCCATTGGAGCACACGGCATTCGGCGGTGGATTACAATACGGACTGGGAGGGTACACCATGGTCGGACCTCAATCTGATCTTCCGTTCGGCGGAGGACTCGGTCCCGGTAGTACTGGCCATCCCAGCAGATCTGGATCTGGTGACGAGAGGGGAGACGATCTACTTGCTGACTGGAGAAGCGTGGGAGAGGCTGACGAGGATGGTGTTACCTTATCTGGTGCGTTTGGACTTGGAGCCAGAAGACTTGCGGGTACGACTGTGTCCCAGTACGTGCTGCAGGTGCCGGCCGATACCTTGGTTGATGTTTTGGGAGACGCTGTTCGACGCACGTGTGCGAGGTCGGATGTCATGCAATGGGCGCAATTGCCGCCTGGTGTGGATCGCAACGATCCGTTCACGTGGGTCAGACCGGACTACACTCCACCGAATTTCCACATCCGTCCGATCTTCGGGGAACCCACGCTGTTCCCATAGGACACGGGCTCGCAACAGCCATCGGAGATGCACGAAGCCCCGCAGACTACAGACGATACTCGTTTTGTACTGATTGTGGAGGAGCCAGAAGACACGGACGTCACGGGGACGACAACAGCGGAGACCAGCGAGCAAGAGAACATGGACAGAGTGCAGTTGAACACACCACACGAGAATCAGTTCACAGTGTACCTGCCGCCAGGTCTGTGCCCGGTTCCGGGGGTGACCCTGACGCCGGAGCTCAGGGCAGCGACCACAGACCCCCTGCTTGCCGTTGCAGCGCAAGTTTGGGAGGAATTGGGTCTGGAAGTATTGGACGGAAAGAATTCCCGGAACACGCCAAGCAGGTCACCACGGACTTTTTGACCACAATGTCCGATTTGCTCGTTGATTTCACCGCTATTCAGATGACAGGGCCGCTCCACTTTCTCTATTGTTGTTTTAGTGTTGCCACACTCTTCAGTGTTGTTATATTTAGTACACCAGACTACACTACCCCTGTTCCGCCTTAACGCTCCTACGTGTGGGATGCATGCAGCCTTTTCACCTACTTCCTCAATCAATGGGAGGTGGGGTCAAGACTCTCTCGTGAGTCGCAGATTGGTAGCCTTTGCGCGCAGTGTTTAGGGGGCATTTGCTTTTATTGCTTGCCCACTGGATTCGATTCTAGTGGCGAATGCCCCGACACTAGTCTTGACGTTTTAGGCTTTGCTCAGAGATGCGCCAGATGCACGATTCGCAATGGGTCGTTGGAGACCGCCCCTACCAAAAACGTGAACGCGTTCATTATAAGCTGTGGCATCGATGCAAGCACGTCGTTGCCTCTGATAGGGCTAAATCCAAAGGGACGCTAGCCAACGTGAATCTCACGCATTCGGGGATGGTCGATGATCCTGCGCTTGACAAGACGTACTCGTATGAGACATATATCGCGCATTTGTGTACGTGCTGAACTGAGCTTGCTGGGCGGCGATTTTCGCATCGACCCAGAACATCCCAGTTCCTACCATGTGGAACTCGCGTCAGGGAGTAACAGTAAGGATGAGTCTGGCCCATCAGCTGGCGGTGACATGGGCCCATCGTCAGCATCTTCGGCCTCAAAACCATCAACGTATGGTACCGCGTCGGAAAGACTCATAGAACCAGGAACTCCCATTATCCCTTACACGGCTGCTGAGTGCGGTGACCCAAGTGAACATGTCCGCGTTATCAGCACAAGGGATCAATCTGATCTGCGCAAGAATGTGGCAGTCAAAGAAGAGAGAACTCACGTACTTGAACACGAGGCAGCTTTGGGTGGTGGACAAAGAGTTATTCGCCACATTTGAGATCGAGCCCGTTGCGATGATCACAATTCCAGGACTCACTCCTCATGACCTGGCTCAGATGCACGTCGCTTCAAACACCCATGCGAACATTATAGCGGCGATTGGAAATCGACGCTACGCCAACAAGGAGGTATCTGTCGAAGCAGGCAGCTTCAAATACAGAAACCGCATTGGCAATCCTAGTGAGATCATGCGCGGCTGCGTCGACATCATGACCTCCAAGCTGATCAAGGGTCTTATGACCATTGACGAAGCCACAATCAAGAAGGATCAGATCGAGGCAATAGATGTGCCACCGGCTGACATCGCCGTGGAGCTCAACGGAAAAAGTGTGTTTCCCATTCATAAAATGATTGAGGAGATAGCACCAAAATCATTCAACGAGAACATGACCCGTGAGAACTTTGACAAAGTCTCCGGGGCAGAGCTCACACGCAGTTTCCAGGCACAAGGCTTCGTAAAACCCAACGACGTTCTCGGAAAGATTAAGCCAAGGCTGATACAGCATTTCACGCCTCAAGGAAGCGCATCATCCGCACTGATGAACAAGACGATCGAAGAGATGCTCTTCCGTCTTCCGTACTTCGTCAAGCGAAGCATTAAAGGGACTGATAATACCGGTGTCGCATCCAGGATTCATGGGCATTACAAGAAGTTCAAGAAGGGTGGTGTTGCCAACAATGATTACGGCAACTTCGATAGCTCTATCACTGATAAATGCACCGGTAACACAGACATCCCAGGATTGAGGAAGATCATAGAGAAGGGGATCATGGACGAAATTGCAAAACGCTTTCCAGAGGCCACAGACCTCAAGAATACGCCCAAGTTCAGATGGAAGAAGGTCGAGAAGGTCGCCTGCCCGCTGGAAATTCCATGGACATTCAAGCTATAAGGGGGAAATGTAAGAAGCACCCATGAGCCCTTCTGAAACCCTGCCCTGGAGTTTCGCATTGCTTCTGGGAGAAGAGGGTGGGTGAAACAAAGCACTTCACGCCCCCTTGTGTGTGGCTTGAATCAAAGCAAGCAAAGCAAGTATAGTGTGATGAGCCCACAAATTTCAAACACCTTTGAGTAAACACAAATACCGTTCGCAATCCGTAAGGGGTGCCTGTGATCCATTCAGTCTGGTCTGGGAGTGTGATCATGTTAGAGATAATTTCCAAGGCGGCGTCCAAGTTTGTCCTGCTGAAGTCAATTTGTTCAAACAGAATGGCTGCGATGCCGTCAACCGTTTTATCAACAGTCCAATTGATCAGGTAATTGCCAACAGATGTCAACCCGGGTTTGCTTGAAGTGGCAGGGACTCTTTGGATGGGTGGGCACTTGGGGTGCTATAGCCGAATCCTGCATTGCTGTCTGTTGTGTGAATGGAGTTATGGTTCCTGTGTGGTTGGGTTTGTGAAACCCCCTGAGGCCCACCTAACATCCTGTACGACCTTTCAACCCAGGCCAGCTACAGACCAACTGAAGCATCCAAAAGGCGAAGCTACGCATGAAGCCATTTGCAAAGAAGATGAGCACAGCGATCCCAAGAAAAACAAAGCTGGCCCGTGATAAGCTAAAGCTACAGAGTGGGACTGCTACAGAAGTAACGAAAAAGGCCCCCAGGGCTACAGAAAAGCTGAGGCTCTAATAAGGCAGACCTTTTCCCCGTAAACGCTTGCGAAGCGGGTGGGAAAAAACCCTAAACCCTAAACGCCAAACCTAAACCCTAAACCCTAAACCCTAAACTCTAGACCCTAAACCCTAAACCCTAAACCCTAAATCCTAACCCTAAACCCTAAACCCTGAGCCTTGCCAGCGCGTGCGCCAGTGTGAGAGTCGAAACCCTCAACCCACCTTGAAGGTGGATCAAGCTGCGGGCCAGGAGTGCGTCTTTCAGGCAGGGGAAGTTGTCCCCCCTGTCAGCTGTAGATTTGCACGCAATCGGCTGGAGGAGGCTGTCAGCAAAAGAGATCCCAGAGACAATGTTGAAAAATCAAGATTCTAGCCAACTTCTACTCTAAACGAATCAATGAAAACGCCCCATGACAAACAAGGGGAAACATGCAGGCCTCTGCCCGGGGAGCAGACATGCGATGCTGTGCAGGTTTGCTCGGCGATTACAGAGCTGCTCAAGCATGGCGCTTAGCCTGTGGTTTCTTCTGGCATCTGAGTTGCTTGTCCTTGGGTTTCGCCTCGTAGTTGCCGACCCCGCACTTTATCTTTGCATTTTGATGTACTTTGCAGCCTTCACGCGAGGACTTATCACGATCCAAGTGCCGAGATCCCGTTGCATGTGATGGTCTCGGGTTCCCTGTTCGGGTGCTGGCACAGCATGATCCTTCCCCCTTCTTCCCTTACAGGAACGCATGCAGCGTCGTGAAGCTGAAGAAGCAAAGCAGAAAGAGGAGGTGGGCTCGGAACCAGACGCAGCTTGCAACCCCAGCTTAGAGAGTTCGCGGATCTTCGCGGGTCTTCGACCACAGGCCGCAAGGCAGGGTCGCGAGGAAGCACAGAAGAAGGCGTTGGAGGACTGGGAGAAGCAAAAGCAGGCCTGGAGCGGTGTTAGTTCGAAGTACAAAGTTTGCCAACCGCCAGGGCAAGCTTAGCCAAATGTTCTTTGAGCTTGGCCTCCAGGGTTCTGCCGCGTCTTAAAACCGACCCGTAGCTTTAAAGTGCCTTAAAGCATCTCGAATTCAAGGCGGAGCGGCAGCGCCTGGAGCGCTATGAGGAGAAGCGCCGTGCCGCTGCGAGGGTGCCGCCCCCCTTTGCTTGTTTCTGATAACCGGAATGCTCTGTAGCCGCATCCGTCGGGATGGGAAGACCAGCTTCCCGCGAGCTAGTCGGAGCCACCAAGCTCTGTTTGTGGAGTGTTGGTGGTTGTGTTCGGCAGGTGGGTGATGGCACGCGCCCTAGCTGTCCCCAGTTTAGTCTTGATGCAAAGAGTTGCCACCACAACCTCATCACCTCTGAGGCGGAGGCACGCTGGACTTTCTACCTGAAGACTCAGAACTGGGCACAGGTGGCGGACTGAAATGAAACTTTAGGAAAGTCCAGGACCCGCACAGTACAGGTTCTGAAGTTTGCGAACGCATGCACAAAACTTCTAGTAGAGTCTCCGCTCCCACCTTAGAAAAACCGGAAGGGCACACCCATGCTGGCGAGGCACCAAGCAAGCTGAAGCATTCCATCCAACGCTTCGTCCTCAGCCTGTCTTAGGCGACACGTGGTGTGGCAAGGCTCCTTGGAACTTCCGAGGAAGGAGATGCCAAGGGAGGTTCTGGTAAACCCGAAGGCGAAGCTTGCTTCACGGCTTAGCACGGCTTCTACTCACCGTTGTGCTTCCTGCCAGATCAGGCGAGACCTCGCCAAAGACAAAGTAGGCTGTCTACACTGTGCAGGTGAGTGAGAAGAAGCTCTCACCAAGGGAGCCTGCTGCCATGATCCCTGACGTGTCCTCGCGCTTCAAAGGATGGGCGTCTCGAACCACCTGAAAGCATTGAGCTGTGACTTGTCTAAAAACGGCGCCATGTGCGTCATATGATGTTGCTTATAGCAGGAGGTGATCGCAGGCGAGCTTTTTCGGATGACTCTTCAGACTGTGGTGGCTTGGCCCAGTGACGGAAACCCAAGCATGTGCGGGTCGAAGCTGGTGTCAATGTATCCGTCCTGATGGGCTGCGGATGTTGCCTCAGGAACTCTTCCGTCCTTTTCAGACAACTTGTCACTAGGCCTGCGTTGTGTCAGTAGTCCTTGAGTGCGGTAAAGAGCCAATGGCACGGTCCCGAGAAACGGCTGCTGGTGCCAGGGGCATTCGAGTTCGTTGTCGATGTCAAAGAGGCCTAGTGCTTCAGTCGCAGTTCGTGCCTTTAGTACCTACACTCTGTTGTGGCTTCCACCGCGCGCAGGAGAAGCCTCCGGCGAAGGAACCTCCCTTGGAGAAGGTGCGGAATGCTCCCGTAGGTCTACGCATTTGTGCGTGTGTGTCTGTATGCATGTGCATGCCTCGCCGAGCCTCGCCCCTCACCTGCACCTATTCATTTTACTTTAGTAAACTATTTCTGGGAGCTGGCAACCAGACGATAAGCGTCAACTTGGAAGCCGGGATTTGAAAATTGAAGGTTGACATGGCGACTTGTCTGGGGGTCTTCAAGCTCCAGTTTAAAGTCCTCAACATGAAGCCCCTTCATCTCAAAACAGAGAAACACCCTTTCTGTTCTGAAGATTGATAGAACCCTTTTCTGCTGAGACTTTTCAATCTTGAAAAAGGGTGTTGAAACTCAAAGCTGGAGAAGCTTCGAACATTTTCAAGCTTAGCGTTCCTCCCCCACTAGGTCCCAAGAGGAAGGAGTACCATGTATGCATACATGTTTACATGTACATACGTATACATATTCTATACATACACTTCCGACGTGCATGCCACAGAAGAACTCTTGGAGGGCACGACGTATGGCTCATTTGTCTCGAAGCTACTTGTGCCCACGCTTTTTTTACCATCAGTGCTTTCGCCATCCTTGCAAGCTCCACCCTCCTTCACGCTAAACATTAAACCCGAAACCCTCGGGTGGCAACCACAAAAGCCCTCAAAACCCTAAAAGCCCGAAACAAAGCAGCCCTCAAAAGCCCCAAAAGCCCTGAGCACTCCCGGAGGCGCCCGCTCCAAAGGCAAAGCCAAAAAGCAGCCCAAAGATGTCTCCCGCCCTACCTCAGCGTGGCCTTGGCAGCACTTGGCGGGTCCCTTTGCAGGGGCTCCTTGAAAAAAAGGAGAAGGGTTTAGGGTTTAGGGTTTAGGGTTTAGAGTTCAAGGTTTAGGGTTTAGGGTTTAGGGCTTGGGGTTCAGGGTTTAGGGTTGGTGCCAGAAAGAGGACATCAATTCAGAATCCACCTGTAGGGACGGATTCAGAGCACCTTCAGAGCCGCAGCCCAGGTGCACCGGCGGATCGGAAGGTGGAGCCCATCTCTTACGGTCGGAATTGAGAGGTCAAGACCTGAAGGTAAGTGTGCAGGGGTGAAAGTAAATAAACACATATACATATATACATATATATATACACATGTATTTACATTTGTATGTAATACAAATGTATATGTATATTTATATTTATATTAGGGGTGTGATGTTGTTTTGTGTCCTTCAGCAACTCGGCACGACCGAGCTGCTGGTGAAAGTCGGCGTGCTGAGGGGACACGGAGCAAATACCATGTTGTGACACTCTGCCTCCTGTAGCTGTTGGGGCTCGTGTGCGCGGCTTTTGCCATCCAGCTCTGTCCGCTCAAATGGCGATACGTGCTGGAGCACATGAAGCAGCAGCACAGCTCCAGGAGTGAGGAAGGTTTCTTTGCGCCAAAGCTACCTGGGCAGGTGGATGACAAGCGCAACTTGAGCAAGACATGGTCAAATTCAAAGGATCGGAGACGTTTGCAGGGATCGCGGAAACAGCTACCCAAGCTGAAATGCCCAGACGCGTCCACCGCATCCACATCCTCGCTGCCAGGCACCAGCCGCAGCCGCAGCACTGGTTCGAGAGGATTTGAGGAGCATCAGCTTGTGAAGCCTCCACCTAAGGTGAACAGCAGGCAACCCAGCCGAGAAGCACCAGAAGTCGCAGCGCGCAGCCGACCACCCAAAGAGCCCAGCAAGGATACAGAGAAGCCGGAGAAGCCGGCTCCCAGGCGGCTCCCACCAAAGCCTTTGCCACGCCCCGACAAGCCACACAGTGCTGACGAGGCGCGCCAGGCGCGAAGCACCCGAAGCCAGGCGAACGAGGCGAGGAAGCGGAGGCCGAGACCTGCACAGACAAATGCTGCGAGCACAGCCTCCCTTTCCTCGGCATTGTCGGGCGTTGGAGACGACTCCGAGCCGGAGCCAGAAGTCTCGACCCTGCCGGTGTCCTCCCAAGCTGAAGAAGGTGGAACCTGGGCATGAGAATAGTTTCTCCATTTCAGTCTTCTCATCTCTGCAGTTCTGATCACGGTCATATACGGTCATGATGCTGTAAAGGATGTTCAACTGAGGCTATTCCCCAGAGGCTCCATCGAGCCCCGTCGCCGCGAGTCAAGCCATTTCCAGCCCTACAGTGGTGAAACCTCCGCTGAATGACTCGGCTTCGAGGATGCATCTGCTTTTTGAAACCCTAAACCCAGTGCCTGCCATCCTTGAAATCGATAGCATTGCCCCCCACCAGATGATAGGATGCCCAAAGCAAGTATAAGCTGCAGCTTCAGTGAACCTCGCTAGACGCCGAGGCGCCTGTGCTTCCACATGTTTGATGGTTAGGGCCGCTGAAGCCTGAGTGCCGAAGCCTGATGGTCATGATGCCCGTGGGTTGTGATGCTCATCGCTATACTAGTCTCCCGAATCCTTTGCTTTGGGGGGCGTTGCGAAGCTCGGGTCTGCAAAACCTCCAGCCATGGGTCCCTTGCCGGGCAGGGGAGCAACGTGGGAAGATGAATCTCCAGTGTACTACTTATCACTTCTCAGCTTTTGGGGCCCACTTCAAAGGAGGGACTTGGTTCCACGCTTTAAGTCGTGCAAGGCTGAATCTGCAGAGATCAAGCGGAAGATGCGGGATGTGCTTCACCGTCGGCTGCGATGTATACGGGAGAAGGTGCAGAGGCAGCGGGCAGGGCTTGATGCTCAGAAGTTCCTGGGCCCAGCTTGAGCAACAGGGGCCTTAGGCCTTTTCTTGTCGTTTCTTTCGGTTGTTTGTTTCGTGTTCGATTTTGGAGTGTTCGGGGCAGCTGTGTACCCAATAGCGTTGCTTCCCTGAGAGGAAATACGAGCATCTTCCTGGCAAGGAGCGGGAGGCAGTGGAACGGGCGTTCTTCCACTATGATGCAGACCTTTCTGGGTATCTCGAATATGACGAGATAATTCCAGCTCTGCGAGAAACCTGCCTGTACTGGCTACTGATGATGCGACTCTCTGTTGCCCTTCTCCACTCTGCTGCCTTTCTACAGTTGCACTGCCTTTCATATCCCATGCTTTGCGCATTCTTTTGAACAGGCCTGGGGCAGCACGCAAACAGCTTTTTTCAATTTAATGCGCCTTTTGAAGGTCTGCACCGAGCGGACGCCACGGTTAGTTAACATACTAGTTTTTGCATACGTAGCGTTTAAGCTGAAATCATTTGAGGTTTTGAGGCTTGCATTGCTTGCGGCCTTCCGTGGCTTCCGACATTATTGACCCCCCCCTAAAGTGCACTCTGCATTTAAATACCATGAAAGATCCATGAATTTCGCTGCATTGGTACCCCTGCATCTTTTGATATGATGCCCAAGTTGGGTTGTGCAGAAATTGGTTGTTTTTCTTGAGTTTTTTTGGCTTCTTGTTGAGATGGCCCGCACATGCTGCGACCTCATCTGTTTCGGATTAGGGTCTTTGTCCCAAAGCAGCGAAAAACATGATATTTGCAGCGATTCGGGACGTCAGAGGAGCCGGCCTGTGGCCCTTGCTGGAATATGGCTATTGCCTTACACAAATAGCCGGGTGGCCCGGGCATTTGGCTGGCTTCCTGTTTCGACCGTTTGCTTTCGCTTCCTTCTCGGTTGTTGTGATGCAGTGTGCGACAGACATTGAACCGCGAACTGAAACAGCCCCCTAGAGAAGAAATGTTCTGAAGAAATGTGCCCATACCGTATTGTGCCTGCCTACGGTTTCATATCCACCATGCAATTGCCCCGCGCGCGCGCGCGCGTGAAAAAAGATGTAGGGCATGAAAAAAAGATGTAGGGCATAAGGCACCGGAAGGAAACACAACTACCATTCCAAACTGCAAACCATGTTGCCTGGACATAACATCGGTTTGTGCGTGCGACTGGATTGTTAAGGAGTTAGGGCTCTCCGGGTCGAACGCGATCGAGAAGAGAGCCGCCCAGCTCATTGCAGCGGAACTAGCGCAGAGGGCTGTGGGTCGGTGTACTCACCTTTCGTAGCGGGGTTTAGGGTTTAGGGTTTAGGGTTTAGGGTTTAGGGTTTAGGGTTTAGGGTTTAGGGTTTAGGTAGGTGCTTCACCCATGGGAGTCCGGATGCAAAAAGGTAGGTGCTTCAGTTCAGTCCACAGCTGATGCCAGTGTGCTTATGGGTGCCCAAGGAGATAATGCAGGTCTGTCGCAATGTCATGACCGCTACACGTGTCCAAACTCTTCATCTGCGACAAGCGGATAGCCTTCAACAGGCAGACGGCAGCGAAGACAAAAACACGGCTGTGCTGTGTAAGTGCTTCTTATCATCGGCGGCACTTGCTTTGCAGGTGCTGAACGCACAGCGTTCTCGAATGCAGGGTCAACCACGGATAAAGCTGGAGGTGACGAAGAAAGCTACTGGTCCTCTGAAGTCTCCCAAAGCAGGAGCGCGGCATGTTCGCGGCATGCTTCAAAGGCTAGAGTGCGGGCAGTAGGCTGAAAGTGAGGATGCTTCTGCGCCATGCTGCAAGCGAATGGCTTATTCGTGAGATGTCGTGAACGAATCAGCTGTCCAGGAGATTCGAAGCAGGCGCGGAACAGCACCGCAGCCTGGCACTGAACAGCTTGAAGATGCGGACGCACGAAGTAGAAACACATAATACACGTATCGTGCACAGGTTTTTGCTTATTCAGCACAATGGCATGGCAAAGTCCATGCCCAATGCATCCGATGGCCTTTGTGGGCACTCTCCAAGGAGCGCGCTCAGGAGAAGAGGCCCTCGGGGAGCCGGCGCAGCAGCTTTGACTCGTCTCAGTGCTCGGACTCCGGCGAATCTGGCAGCGAAGACTTCGAGGTCGGGGTGGAGTCACCGGAGGGCGAGGGCATGCGCTTCGACTTCCTGACCTTCGCCGCCATTCTGGTACCGAAGGTTCGACAGCGCTTGACGGAGCTGCAGAGCACAACTGCCCCTTGTCAGGAAGTGAAGAGCTCATAAGAATTAGACACGTGAGTAGCCACTCAAGTGGCGCTGGCAGGTAACGCTACGCGTGAAACCTTGAAAGAGTCAGGTTCTGCTCACGGACCTCTGTGCGCATCACTCTTAGGTCATGCGATATTTCTGCAATTTCGATAGAGAGGGAACTGGAGAAATCTCCGTGCTGAAGTGCCTGGAGATTGCACGATGCCTCAAGATGGACCAGCTGCATATGATGGATGCGCTGAAGGCGGCAGATTTCGCAGTGGATGCGGAGGTTTTAGTCGACTTTGACTCCTTTGAGCAATGTGTCATGACTTGCAGAGAGCACACCAATCGCCAGCTGCGGCAGCGCGAGATCGAGATCCTTGTCGAGATGCAAGTGCGACCTGACCTCTTCCAAGAGTGCAGGGAGAGCATCCCCCAAATCTACGAAGTCTTTCGAAGGCTCTCCGGGGAAGTTGGGCCGACTGCTGTCATATCAGCGAGCGAAGCCTTCCTTGCGGTGTATGAGCTTGGCATGATGCCGCGAGAGCAGTGGCAGAAGGAGGAGATCAAGCAGTTCCTCGTGCCCGCCGATTCTGAAGACTATGTCTATGCCCAGACGCAGCTGAACTTTGAAGATTTTCTGACATTCCTGAGGCCGGCGCGTGTAGATTGTAGACAGCACTCCTCGTAGGATGTCCAACTTTGCTATCTAAAGCCTACTTTTCGTGTTTTACATGTGGTGACTTCGGGCAATTCTGTGCTCTAGCGGCGGGGGGGTGTGCGGGTTCACGTTCTTCGGTTCGAGATGGAAGTTTTGGGCAGCGGATCTCCCCCTCCCCCTCTGCCACGAGCCGGTGGAATCTTAGCTCCAGCTGCCACTCCAGGAGTGTGCGGACGTTCAATGAAGAGCAGCGACTGGCGGAACTTACTGAGCACTTCGCTCGGCTTGACAAGGCCGGGCTGGCCATGGTTTGCCGCACTTGTTAAGCCTGTTAAGCATCGTGTGATGGCAAGATTCGCTGCTTGTGAACCAGGATCGGAACGGCCATCTGGACATGAAAGAGCTCAACCAACTGCTGGAGGACATGGGCAGGGTGAGTCGCGCAATGAATGAATATGGCAAGAGCAGGAGTAGTAAGAGGAGGAAGGCCGACCCGACAGTGGAGCTGTGGGCTGTGTTGCTTCAGTCCTAGACAGTCCATGCCAGCCCTCCATGCCCATGCGCTCATCCAAGCCACGCCGACTCTGTTACACGCCCCTTGGGGCGGTTTCTCCTGGGGCCCAAGTGTGCAGGAGTTTTATTGGGGTGTGTGAACCCAGAACCTTCCTGGAGCTGCTTCACGTTTCATGAAGACCAACTATGCAGGCTCCCCCGGGCCTGATGCCCGCTGAAAGAGAGAACGTTGGACCATGAGGTAGAAGCTGGCCTTGAGCACGACTGACTGTCTCTAAAGGAGCGAGCAGCTGACTAGGGTCTATGGCTACGGCTTGGCAAGACGAGACAAGAGAGAAGCACGGACAAGGAAACGGCAACAAAACAACGAAGGGGTTCATTACAAACAGAGAACTAGAGATCAGCCACTGACAGCCGCTCTTGATGAGGGCTCTTCTGGTAACTTTACCATTCCAGTCGCCAGCCCGATATGTGTGTTGCGTGCAGGAGACGGGATGCTGTCCTCGAAGCCGCCTCTGAACTGCATTGTTGAATTCCACTTTTGTAGAGACCGTCCTGAGCTGCTGTGGTGGGAGCGGCGGTTGAAGGGCTGGCCCACAAAATGACAATGGCAAAGGCAAAGAGCAGGAGGAGGTCCGCCAGCTCATCCAGTCCACCGATACGGATGGAAATGGCGTCCCTTGGCTGATGTTCTTCTTTTGGGCGCTTTAGTGCGACAATGGGCACTACGTCAGTGCGGCAAGAGTCTTGTTGCTTTGTCATGCATAACGCAGGTCATTGACTTTGGGGAGTTCAAGGCCGTTCCCCAGGGAGGGAGGGAAGGACATGCCATGATCATAGTGTCATAGCTTAATCGTGTGGCGCAGACGGGCCTTCGCGTTCTGACAGGAGCTCGTGCAAAGGATTGCAGAGCGCTTTGCGAGCCTGCGCAGCTAGGTTGAAGTCTTTTGGGTTACGAGAGACTGGCAGGTGCAGGGGCAAAAGGTCAAGTAGAGCTCGTGACAAGATATGGCTGCGATTTCAGCGACCGACAAACCTCAGGCTATGAAAGCGAAGTGGAGTTTCTCGGCATTGAAGTAGTTGGAGCCCTCTTCTGTGTGTGTCAAACCAAGCCAGGAAGAATCTGCTTGTTTTTCTCTGGGGACATTGACACAACAAAACCATGCCTGCTTCGTCGTGCCTCACTTAACTCCAGCCACACCAAGTTATGCTGTCGCCCGTGGCTTCACTGAAGTAGAACTGGGCCCCTGGACTGCAAGCTGGATGAGCATGGACGCCCAGATTTGTTCAGCGCTTTTTGCAGAACATGCACAGAGACAAGGCAACTTTCGCGCTATCTTCGAGCACTTGGATTCTGACAATTCCGGCCGCCTGGAGATGAACGAGGCGGACTGCATTGTCAAGCTGCAGGTCCGGCTCGCGAATGTTTTCGGCCTGAGTTGACAGCTTCTCGAGGTCCGGCAGTGCCTGAACATCATTCAGCCACTTGGCCTTCTTGATCCCTTCTTGGGGAGCAGGCGCCACAATTCACCTGTAGCATCTGACAGCCCAGGCACAAGGCAACCTGGCAGGTCGGATCCCCACGTGGCTCCATGTGCAGTGACAAGTTGACCCACTTGTGACATCTTGTGACGCTACACAGTGAGGCATTTGATACTACCTGGCGTTCGCTGGACAAGGACCACCAGACCATGTTCGGCTGTTGCGCGCCAGAATAAACTACTCGGACTTGACTTGCCAAGCGATCCAAGCCTTTAACCTCTGGCATCGCAGACTGGTCTCTTGGGTTGTAGCCCTAGATGCCAATGTCTCGGCCTGGTGCAGGATGCATCAGGCAGCCTTGATTTCCACGAGCTCCATGTGCAGCAGCAAGTTTCGGGTGGTTTGTTTGTCACCTAGCATGCCTGAATGAGACATGCCACGTAGGTTTGGGCATGCATAATTTCGAGTAGAGTAGAGGGATGGAAAGGGGCAATGGGTCGGAGGGGTGGCATGGGAGGCTGCCGCGGCATGTCCTTGATTCGTGCTGCACAGATCACATTGTTTTGCAAGGTTCATTGACTTCATGAGGCCAAGGGTCGGGACGTCGGAGTTCCGCTTGAGTACTCGTGTCTTGAGTCTTGAGTCAAAACCTAATGACATTGAAAGCTTGCGTAGCTTGAGCGCCAGTGAGTCATCGCTCGAAGAAAGCTTCGCACCACAGGGCAATGAGAGATGGCGAGGGCATCTTCGCGATTGACGTTGCAACCCTGCTGCGATCCAGTTGAACCAAGCGTGCCAGTAGGACTTGGTGGGGTTAGTTCTTTGACAAGTCGAGAATCGGGAGAAGTAGGCCATCAAATGAGGGGAGTGTCATGAATGCGTCTGACATTGCAGCTGGCAGGGAGCTCGAGATCACTCTTTGGATAGATCCCAAACTTTGCCCTTTTGCGTGTGTTGCAGCACAGCGCCTGCAAAGCCAAGGACCAGAAGCTGCCGAGCCAGGTTGCTAAGATCGATGACCGAACCTTGCGCTCCGTTCTCTCGCCTCTTCGCTGGAATTGGCTTCCTTATTCTCGGGCTGCGCGATGCAGAAACTCAAGGCACTACAGCCTGTCGAAGTCTTATCTATGGGCCTTGGACAGAGACTCCAAGCTGCAACCAGAGGCGGCCGGACGGTGCTGCTTCCGAGTTCCTGAGAACTGAGACGCAACTACTCCAGCGCTTCTGCGACTGCTTCCTCGTCATGGCCCCTGACAATCCTCAGGCAGTTGACTCTTTCCTGGGCGCCTTGTTGCGGTGAGTCCAGTGCACTGCGCCCCTGCTGTGAGATGCTTGTTGCAGGACGTGTTGAAGGTCACGACTGTTTCAGATCTGCTGCAGTGCCTCGGATGTCAGAAAGGAGCCTGCAAGACGAACCTGCGCATATTGTAAGTTGTTTTTTTTGCCCATGCTGGATGCTTTCAAGCACGTCGCTTGACCACGACCAAGGCTCGCCAAGGAGACGGGGCATCTTTGGACTCAGCTTCGCCCATTGGGTTTAGGGCCTAGGGTTTGGCTCTCGGGTGGTCTGAGTCCGAGTAGCTGTTCGAAGATGCTCAAGTCCTAGCACTCGAGTGGTCTTTTCGTACCAACTCGTAGCAAGGCAAATCGTTGCAGGAGCGGCGGCGATAGTGCCAAAAACCCAGCTTGAGCACTACGACCTACGAACCTTAGGAAGATCGGGGGGTGGATGTCACTTAGAGCTTTGCTGCTGTGAGCAGTTCCCGAGACCAGGCAACTCAAACATTCTGGTAGGTACAAACAGGGTACAAAGGTGGGAGGGAGACAAAACACAGCAGCTCTTGTGCGGCCGGACGCAGTCGATACCATCTGAGGGTTGATATTTTGTGGCAGTGTTTGTGCTCGTCTTTGCTTCCCTTTCGCTGTGCAACGAGCATTCAGCAGTCGTGGGAGGAGAAAGGAGAATCTCTCGCCCCTTAGAGCTGCAAAAGAAAGGTTTTGGTTCTTGTTAAATGATTCTTGTTCCACTTGGTCTTTGCGTCCTGCCATGCCTGAAACCCGAGGAAGCCATACGATGGTAGCTGAAGAAGCACTTTGGCAACCAGAAGGGCTTCTCGCTAATGAGGCTTTTGCCGGCTTCTCTCGCTTGGTAATGCCCGCACGCCTGCATTAGCATCACTGTCAAAGTTTCAAACTACGTAGCAGCTACGTGTTTATGGCAAAGTGGCTCGGTAGGCTTCACAATGCAAGCTTGTTACCTTTACGAGCTGTGTCGAACACCTGCAAGTGCGAGCAAGTTCCGATTTCTGTGAGCATCGGATGCTCGTTGATAGGTCTGCCCATCCAACTGTTTCGTCTGAGACGTGAGAAGGGTCGGCTAAGCCGACGGTAAGGACTCTGACGGCAGGTCCTCACTACGTTCCGTTTCTGCATCGTACAGACCATTAACCAGACGCCATGGGCATGAAAGGCAGAATCGCAGCATGGACACGGCTCAACCATGAAGCCTGCAACAGAGGATAACATCAGCAACGTGCTTGCTTCAGAGGTCTGCGTCGGACGCAGCGTGGACCCAAGATGCATGATTCGTCCGGGCAGCAGTCCAGGGAAAGAAGCATGAATGGGCTCAAAGGCTATCTACTTATAGGGTACTCCCTACTACTCCCTTAGGCTCCTCAGCTTCCCTAAGGTTCTGTGGGTACCTGCCCCCCATGAGCCCCCCTTCCTTAAGAACCCTATAACCTACCCATGTTGGGGGCCTGTATAAAGTATGAAGAAGATTTGCGTCTCTGGGGTCTTTCAGAAGGCCCTCATTTTGGGACCCACGAGATGGGTAGGTCAGCAGCTTGGCAGCAGCTGGCCGATACGCTACAGACTTCGAGGAGTGGAGTGGTGACCGTTCTAGTGGAGGCTTATGCGCCCTGATGACTTCACCACCATCAAACAGGTCAAGAACTGATCGAGAGACTATCTACCCTAACCCCTAAACCCTGAACCCTCCTAAATGGCAACTCCAGCAGAACCCCATACTTCAAACCGCCAGTTCCCTGCAGAGTGTCCGAGAGGTCAGCTAAGCGGGTGGCAAAAAAAGAACCCTAAACCCTAAACCCTAAACCCTGAACCCTAAACTATCTTCCTTGAAGTCTGGAGGAGCTGCGCTTCCTCGGCAAGGGCGGTTTCGGCTTCGTGACGAAGGCTCCTGAGTCCGCCGGGTCTTGCTTCCCCTGGATCCTGAGCCATCACCAACCACCATGGTGCCACGAAGACTGCAGCGAGCTTGATCTGAATGCCCTCATTAAACCCTAAACCCTAAACCCAATTATTCATCTGTCGAAGGCGCGGCATCGAGTGGATCGTGTGGGGCCTGGTGCAGCATCGCATGTCCTTTCGTGCCCTTCTATCCTTGTTGCTTGTGGCCATGATTGGCGTCAGCAAACGGACTAAATAGATTGGAAAGTGGAGAAGGAATCCAAAGTTGGACCAAGAATAGGAAGGAAACTCTTGAAAGCGCGACAAAGGCCTGCCGCTTCGAGCAGCACCAATTGGCTGTGGCTCAAGCCGTTCAGCCACTTCGTAGTGCTTAGTGCTGTGTGGGCTCCCGCAGGGCGCAAGATCCCAGGTGTCATGGCAGCCGAGAAGTTTCATTTCCTCATTGTTGGAGTTCCGCTGTCCCCGCTGCACAATTGCATCTCGATTGGGCAGGAGCTGTGCCTGAGGGGCCACAATGTCACAGTGATGAGCTTTGCAGACCGAGGACGGCAAAAGGTGGCAAAGTACGCGCCGAAGTGCAAACTGAATTACCTCAGCCTTGGCGAGCTGCCGGTTAGCGATGACAAGGAAGAGGAGCTGGTGCGGCAGATGTTGACCTCGAACAGCACTTTGCTGCAGATGTCCTTCATGATGCAGAACCTCATGACGCCCTACTTTGATCAACTGCAGGTGGGCGTGTCCAAGGCGCTGAAGAGTGGGCTGGTGCGCCCATCCTTCGGCCTACTAGGCCTTCCCTTCGGGGGTGTGGGCCGCGAGCTCCAGGTGCTGGGCATCGACTTCGCGGTGAATGTGCCGACCATCCTCGTTCCCCCGATCAACCCGTGGGCGTCGTCCTTCATCCCATTGCCGTTCCACTTGGTGAGCCCGCACAATATGACTTTCGTGGACAGGCTTCTGGTGATCGGGGGCAACTCTCTCTTGAACTTCGGGCGGCATCTGGCCGTGGCTGCGGGCTTTCAGTTCTCTTTCATGCCAGACTTGAGCCCAGATATGTGGCGGGGCCGTCTTGCGTTCGTGAACAGTATCCCGGGTGTGGACTATCCACAGCTCTTGCCACCTCTGGTGCAGTACACGGGCCCGGTCGTGGATGTGAAGAAGATGGAGCCGTTCCCGCCAGAAGTGGAGTCCTGGCTGGAGTCCGTCCCTGAGGGAATGCCGGTCGTCTACGTGAGCTATGGCACCATGGTGCGGCTGACTGCGGAGAGGGTGGCTGCAACGCTGTCCACGCTGACGTCTACAGAACACTTCACGCTCTGGGCCTTGCCCAAGACTCAGCAGGTCGGCTTGCCAGATACCTTGCCATCCAGCATCATGATCCACCACTGGATTCCCAGTGCTCGCGCGCTGGCGCACCCGAAGGTGAAGGCCTTCGTTTCCCACTGCGGAGGGAACTCGGCTGTCGAGTGCATGGCCATGGGCAAGCCCCTTATTGGCTACCCGCAGTTTGGGGATCAGATGGCTGTTTGCCAACGCATTGCGGATGCGGGTGCAGGGATCACAGGTCCTCAGGGTGGCTGGGTCCAGGCTGAGGATGTGCGGCACGTCCTCGCCGAGCCCCGCTATGCTGTGCGGGCGCAGACCATGTCGCGGCTTCTGGAGAAGTTCGGGGGCACGTCACGAGCCGCCGACCTTTTGGAGATGGCGGCTGCCGGCGACCTTGCGCCACTGAGAACGCCCCTCGAAGGATCTACCAGCTCCTCCTTTTTCATGGCAGGCTATGACCTTGTTATCTACGCACAGCTGCTGGCGTTCGCCTTGATGTTCATGTGCATGCGGTGCTGTGCTTGCTGTTGCCGGAGCAGAAACCGACATGCATCAGCCGAGAAGAAGAAGCAGTGAGCTCTAGGCATGCTCGCTCGGTACACGGCGCTTGTCCACAAGTTGCATGGGTGAGCGCTACATCCGTGTCTGAGGCTTCGTAGAGCCAATGGAGAAGTGCCGCAGTCGGTGCGACAGACCGGACTGCAATTATTAGAACTTTTTGGCGGGGACGTCCCAATGTACAGTGAGGCCGTGAGAGGGACCAGACCACCCGATTTGAAGCGGATCCCTGACTGCAACGATACCGAGAGTCCCGACGAGGCTCCAAAGTCCGGGAATGTTTCAATTTGCTTTCCGCGTTGCATTGCTTTGCCGTAGGGATTGAGTTCAGCCGACCTGTACAGCTTATGGCCGAGGCTGGCTTGGCCTTGCATTGAGTTTTGATGTCTGATGGGCTCGGCTCTGAAGCTGACCCTTGTTCGATCTGCGCATAATATGGCGTTGCGGACACACGTGGGAGGAGGCAAAAAAAGAGTACCGAGAGGGGTGTAAATATCCTGGTTTGCATTTTCCGCCGAGCTCTTTTGTGGAGTAGTATCACCAGGAGTATACTGCAAGAGGTAGGGAGTTACAAAGTGTCACCGGTGCCTGGAAGGGCTAGAGGGCTCTACAGCAGAGTGTGCCTCGCCTGTAGCACCCAAGGCCAGCTCTATGCGGTGAAGCGTCGCAGGCTCAGCGAAGATCAGGTCAGCTTATGTCACAGCATGCATGCATGCGCTGAGATTCCACAATCTTTTCTCGCCCCCGCAATACGACGTAATTCTGCGTAAGCTTGATTCCACACCCCCTACCTTCGTAAGATCACCATGCGGCCGACCCCTGCGCTGTGAGCATCAGCACCGGCATCAAATCATGAAGCTTTCCGCGAGCAGACTCGAAAGGAAAGCGCTCGGAGGAGCCATCTGAACTTGGCGCTAGTAGTCCATCGGCAAGAAGAACAGTAATGCAAACTCTACACAAGATACACGAGGGTCCAGTCCATGAGTGCAGCAGACTTGCCACATTGAGGACACAGCGACCCCCCATGCTAGTGGCCGAAAAGCCCTGCGCCCTTAACGCCCTCGGATTTTGCTAAGGCTTAGAGCTGCGGGGCTCTGCTGCGGACCGCGAGCGCCTCCTGCAAGAGTGCGCGCTGCTGCCGAGGCCCATGTTAAGACTGTTAAGACCCATGATGGTTAGAGAGGGTTTAGGGTTTAGGGTTTAGGGTTTAGATTAGAGTATGAGGATTCGATTCTCGTATCTCATTTGCAAGAGTCAAGTGGCCTTACCAAGAGCGGGGCTGTAGACTTGGGCTTGTCCAATCGTGCCGATATATCGCAAAGCCAACGCTCTAGCACTTTGATGGGCCAGGGATCAGGATGACTAGGTTTATAAAGTTTGGGGCATTCGGTGGCGTTACGGTGTCAAAGACATGTGACCCCTTTTCGGCTGGCATAAGTTTGCAGCATAGCCACGTGCAGGCTCACCCACCTGCACATTGTGCGGTACTACCAGGCCAACGGGCCAAAAACAAACAACGTTCAAGGCTTTGGTTGCTTCCCTCACAATGTCAATAGAGGGCTTCTGGAAACAGATTTGGTGGTCACATGATGCTCAAGCATCTCAGAGTCTCCAATCAATTTGCCCGCGTTTGTTCCCTTTGCTTGTCGGGCTTGTGCCCCAGTCGCATCAGTGACCTCACAGCTCCTCACCAGGTCAGTGAGAGCCTTGCTTATCGTAGCATGCGTCGTTCGACAGTGTGCCTTGGTCAAGCGTGCAGCGTGATGGACAGGATCCGTGCTGTGCAGATTCAGCTCACATGTTCGGACCACACCGACCCACAAATCTAGGTTTTCCCGACATGCTCATTTCGGCTTAAATCCCTCGCCTGGGGCTGGATAGATGAAGCAGCCGACAAACCACAGATGAAGGTCGAAAACAGCGGGCTCGACTCAAGATGCGTTCAACGGAGAACCCCGCGTCCACGGCAGTTAGCTCAATGGGCCCATTGAAGCAAGCGGGTAGTGTCTCTGTACAGACCTCGGCAGCCATCTTGTCAGTGTCCGAGCCATGACCTCCGCATTCTGACCGGCTGTTGGGCGCGGGGGCCGTCCATGGCTGTTGCGAGATCCACGTCGGAGCCTGCGCTGGGAAGGAGGATCACGGCCAGGAATGCAGCTGAGGCTCGCATGCTGCGGGTACTTGACCATCAGTGGGAAAGAAAGGCCAGCTGGCTCCATGCTCAGCAGCAACGCTTGGAGGTGGCGGGCACTGGAGATGCTGCCACGCCGAAAGCCGGCGTGATCCACAAGGACCTCGCACGCACCCGCATGTGCCGCAGTGACTCGCGACTGGCGATGTCGAGACCCTTGTCTTCGATCACTACGAGGAATGTGACCCGCAACCCACAAGTGGAGTCTGTTAGCCCCAACTTTTTCGGTCAGCGACCTCAGTCGGCCACAGTTCGAAGCCCGTCTGATGGCTCCCCAGCCAAGCTAGAGGAGAGAATTCAAAAGGCCGTGTCAAAGATTGCACAGGGTTTGCATGTGGCCTTGCTTGGCGCTAGTGCCAGTGAGATGCACAAAAGGGAGCTCGAAGGAGAGCCACTTCGGAAGATCCTGCGGGAACCCTCTGAGGAGGATGCCTGCCGCATCTTTCGTCATTTTCTCCGTCTGAAAGAGCAGGAAGCGGACAGGGCCGCGGCAAAACTGCAAATGCGCCGGCAGAGACTCTTGGAGTGGGGCAAAGAACCTGACCGGGATGACCCACGGATCCCGGATCCACTGTCGCGCCTCGCCTGGACTTCCTTCTTCCGTTGGGTTGAGCAGGAATCCACGTTGGGAGTCAACCCAGAGTCCCGTCGTGCTTACGCGGGCCTGTTCCGCGGTGCGCGGCTTTGGTTCCGGAAATGCGCCAGCATGGCTCAGCGGAATGATGGCTTGTCCCTGGGGCTGCTGCTGTCCTTGGCGTACCCAACTGCGTCCAGCCGGGTGGTTGCGGAGCTGCTGGTTTGGATCGGCGCCCATGAGCTGGAGCCTCGACAGGTATGGGGAAATGCCTTCGTTGAAGAGGGTAGACAACCGAGAATGTGATGATAAGGTAGCTGTGCTTAGTGGACGTCGGTCCAGGATGCCCTGTAGCTATTGTTTACACAGAGAGTGCGCAGACAAGATTGCAAGACTTCAATACACGAGACGTTCCTGCATGAAGCCGACCGGAGCAGCTGCAAGCTTAGGAACAGATTTGTCATGAGACGCCGAGATTAATTGACGACGATGAGCGGAAGCAGCTTGAAAGGACGACCGAGCAAGTAAGGCTGCTAGTTGCCGAGGGCAGAGGGCCGCTGCTGCTGCTGCTGCTGCTGCTGCTGCTGCTGCTGCTGCTGCTGCTGCTGCTGCTGCTGCTCGACCTTCGTGTTGCCATCCAATCTGAAAGCACCTCCTGCAGGATTTTCCACACAGCATATGCAAAGGGGCGTGCGTTTGTCACTGTGGACGACATTGCTGGAGGGGACTTCCGAGACAAGCACACGCAGCTGCATACCTTGGTGGACTCTTGCCCAAGATGTCTACAAAATGGCTGTTAAGAAAGTAAGCTTATGTTGTTTTCGGAAACAGCCTCTCCAGAAACATCCAGGATGCCGCGCTGGCGCAGCAAGTCTTCGGCGATGGGCCGAGCCCTGTTCACGTTAGATTCCTCACTAGCTCTGTGCGCAATTGCCGTGTGTCGAAGCTGCTCAGTGAGATGGGATTCAGGATAGACCTCCTCAAGTTCTTGGAGTTCATGTGCGAGTATGGATGTCAAGGGCATGCAGGGGCAACGTCCCCAGCAAACAGACCCTGACTTTACGACACCTCGAGCAGATTCGGCGAGGGATCACGGTCCCAAAAGCTGTGCAGGGGGCCGCTGTGACATGCATTCATGTCAGCCCAGGTGGCAGAAGTCACTCTCCCAGATGGGCTCCGCTTGACCCATTGCCGAAGACCTGAGTTTCGCTTCCAAGGATGCTTGGCCGCTGTATATGAATGGGCAACGGGGGTAGTTTTGTCTGCTGTTATGCGTGTGGCTGGCACGACCTTGTCATAAAGCTGGCTGCGCTGTACCGTGAACTGATAGAGAAAAACATGCAGGCTCTAGGCCGGTAGGATCCTAACTGCTCCACTGACATGCAAGATCACAAGGTTGGCTTGCGACCTTCCCTTCGGAGGCGGAGCTGGCCCGCCGCCGGATGATTGATGGCTTGGAGTTGGAACTGAAGTCCTGGAGATCTGGTAAGGGCTACTGAGCTACTGAGGACATGCGCGCAGAAAATGCTTGCCATTTCGAGAAAGTTTGACACAGTGGTCCACTTTCGTAGTTTCCGCGGTGCTGGGTGTGAGCGACACAAGTCACCCACGTCAGCTCGCGCACGACGTGTGCGGCGCGACAGCGCCTCCTTTTGGCACGTTGAAGATACGCAGGCAAAGTTCTTGCAAATGGGTTCTAAACGAGAGCAGATACTTGTCGTTTAGGATTACATGTTTGCTTTCGGACAGTGACAGCTGAGCTGACGCACTCACATCTGAAGCAACTCGCTCATTTACCTTTTAGCCAGAGATTCCATGCTGCGAAGCCCGAGCGGCTGGCATGATTCCCTCCGGCAAAGTGAGAGTGAGCTTGTAAAAGCACAGCCGCTCTGCCCTTCCACCTTGTGGTCACAGCAAGCATGGTCCACCAGTCCATCGAAAGAGCGACCGCTGCTGCTTGTGTGAGCAACGGGCCGCTTCCTGCAGGCCTGGATTGAGACGGAACAAGTTGAACCCGCTGCGCGCCCGGAGCTTAGGGCCCAAGGGCTTGGCCTTAGTGAACGCACAGCCTACGCAGGCTATTCTGCAGCGACCCTCTACTGGTCTACTGGTAGCATCTGAGTTCCTAGAGATGCCAAGACTAAAGATGGCAGGCCCAGCGGAAGTCGACGGCTCAACTGAGAACTGCATGGGCAAAAGGCGGAAGGATCCCTTTCATCCTGGAAAGTGTTGCGCCACCAAAACACCCTTAGGCCCCCAAGGCGCGAGCTGCGAAGAAGCGAGCGGCGGCTTGGCCACAGTTAGTTCATGTAGTCCCGATGCATTCCAGTGATTTGTGGGTTGTCCTTCGACTTCTCAAAGTTTCAATGCAAGCTACGTTCCCACCTCCCAGGCGTTCTTGCCTTGATTTGCCTGATGTAGCAGCCTTGTCATTGTAGACTTTGTAGACTTTATAGCTTGGAGCTTGCGGGAGCGTGCGGCTCGTGGTGGCATTCACGCGCAGTAATGCAAGGTGAGGACGGTGTGACGACCTCGGATTCTTGCAGCCGCTCTGTCTACGAAGCAAGGACTTTGCATGGCCAGCATGGCGGTTTCTCGCAGGAAGCCGGAGGTTGCGGCAGAAAGCCTGCACCTCAGCTTGCTTTTTGTCCACGGCACATAGTACGAGCTTAGAATTGTGAATATTTTCTGGGTGGTCGGAGCCCCTGTCACGGCATGCCAGGAGATGACTGGCTCTCGCACAATGGCCCGTTGCGCGCCCGGCACCTGGAAGCCGCGTGTTGGAGTCGAGGGGCAAAACAGCGTCGGCGGTTGCTTGCGCGTCGCTGGGCGGCAGAAGCTCGTGGAAGGCTTCGCGGAAGCCAATTGCTTGCGGAAGCATGTTGTGGAAGCACTTTTTTCTCTTACACCTATTTAGCCCGAGAAGAGGAGACACCCTTTTTGAATCTTTTTGACTCTAGATAGCACCGCCGCGACTTCTTATGGAAGGTCCGCGGAAATTCGCGCACGGAGGTGTTGTTATTTCCATCGAATTCAAACAAGATTTTTCTAAACACTGCCCACATGGAAAGATACTTGTGTGGTCACGGCCTCGTTGTGAGTCAACTCGAAGATGTCTGCAAAGCCTCCAGTTACCAGAAGAACACAGGTGCCAGTTTCGCGTCGCTGCGTCACAAATCGAGCAGCCCTCTTGAAAGTGCTCTCGCTTCCTTCGAGCCACCAACTTGCAGAAGGAAGTCGCTGACATTGGGCACCAGATCAACCCAAGAGCTGCTTTCCCTGAACAGCCTTACTCGCCACACTGCCTGTGCAGAAGATGCATTGGCACAAGTGCTTGTGTGCAGCTAGCAGCTAGCAACCAGCCTATTCATTGCACAATCACCAGGGACCCTCTCAACGCAGCGATCAACCCGTAATCTCAGCCCCTTTGGCATGGATGAGGGTGCGCTTTGTTGCCATGAGCTGCTAGAGCCAGTGGTAGACCGGGTGTTCGGTGGAATGTCTGAGCGCAAATGGTGTCGAGCGCAGTGGGCATATAGGGCTCGAGGACTTTCGTGCACAACCCAACCTGCAGTAAAGAGAACGTCGCTGATTTCACAAGGCATGTTTTCCGCCAAAATGCCCAGCTGTAAAGCTCGGAGTTGGGCGCATGTTACCTGCAAGATTTTGGATGCTAATCGCCGCGACTCGTGAATCTCGCCATTCTCGCCGAGCTGTGAGCATTGAGACAGCCTTCGACAAGTTCCGAAGTTGTGTGGTGTGGTGTATTCACCACACCCACGCACAATATGCCGAGTCGTTACGAAGCGCATCTCACCCTGCCTCGCCCAGGCAAGAGGTTCATCGCCACCTCCCGGTCTGCCTGGCATTGTGACGTACAACTATTTTCGGGCGACACCAGATGCTAAATTGCTTAAGGATAGGGTCCTCGAGTCCTAGGGGTGCAATTAGGACAAGCATTGCGCGTCTCGAATATAGTTGAGACACTGCAAATCTGATGCCATAAGGCCCAGACAAGTTATGGTTCGGTCGGAAGTGCATGGGATGCAAGAACTGTAGTTGTATGCGCTAGTTCCTGCATCTTGCGACATAGGCAGAGGCCTCCCCAAGTTTAGGGGGAACTACCCTCCGCCCGAGCCACGCATAGGTCCATTCGCAGGTGTTGAACCGCATAGAGCGAGAGGCATCGCATCATCCCTTGGCGAGCGACCTTTGGTGCCCCATGCGCCGGTTTCCTGTGCGTGCATTCGGCGTGGTGGGTGGCCTTGGTGGCCTTGGTGCTGCTTATGTGGCCGCAGACGAGCAGAGGTGGCGTCTACTGCGAAGGGCGGCGCAGCTGTCCAGGCGCGGTTTCGCATGGTTTGACCAAGTGGGTTTGGAAAGAATTTCGTAGAGAGTCGGCAAGCTGCCCGTGCGCGAATGCTGCGCGCTTCCGCTTCTTTTGTCGCACGGAAGGGGCATGGGTTGCGATGGGTTGTCGAACTAGTAACTAGAACGTGATAATGAAAATCTTTCGGAGCTTCGGTGGGGTCTAAGTCTAAGGACATGGACTAGGACGGGTTACTGTAGGAAGGCAGTTGACCTTTCCCGGATTCCCGGTCGAGGTCGAGCTGCCTGCAGAAACATGAGGGGTCCGATTTCGGGCATTGCGTGTTACATAGAGGCTGGTTACGCAAGCCCTGTGGAGGATATGGGCACCTGCCCTGGTGTCAAACAGCCCGGAGCGGCGACTCGGAATGTCTGCTAGAGACATCATATGTGCAAATGCCGGTTTCAGGATGTCTTGCTGGGCTCTGTGCAGTAAGGATTGCTCTTTGCATGGATGCTTCTGGACCAGTGTTCATCAAGCTGCTTTGCTCAATCTGCTCTGCGCTGTTGAGTTTGCAAACAAAACCTGAACGATGACAAATTTCCAGCTTGGAGTGGAGATCTGCCGAGGCGTAAGTAGGATGACGCACATGTTCCCGTCTTGTTTTGCGCTATGCCCATTGGCAAGGCTTGGGCAATGGCTGTCATCACGAAGAGACCTCTTCTCTGCAGAGCTCTGCGATGCAATGGGTGTGCTTCACGAACACGCAACTCAGATTGCTTCCCCTCAGTTGCCAGATTTTGACGTTAAGCAGTTGTGTTCGTACCATTGAGATGCGGCAAGCTTGTTCCTTGAATGCCAGGTGAGTGCCCAACCTTCAGCGGAAGATGCTGCGCTTGTTCATGCAACGATGCCAGGCGCCAAGCTGAACAGCCTCTCGGCCGGCAAGCGTATCCGAGACCTTCGTTCTGCTTCACCCCGCACACCATGGCGTCCCTGCAAGGAATCTTGGGTGCTGGCTGCATTGCCAGGGTCTATGAGGGGACTTTGAATGGGCAGCCGGTTGCCATCAAGATCCGCCGCGAGAACGTGGAGGAGTTGAAGCTTTGCCAGGAAGCACTCGCCTCCAATCCCTTAGTGCCACGTGCTCTGTGGTCAGGAGTTCTTACAGCTGGACTTCCAGTTTCTAAGGCCGCCCAACTCTGACTTGCACCTACTTCAGTACCGTACAGAGCAGGTCCGCATTCAAGTCTTAACCGACGGAGTTTCAAGATCCAGGTGCGCAGCCAGCCTCGCAGAGACACTTTGGCCAAACCTCAAGTGGCTGATGCTGCAGAGTGCCCTCAAGGACTTTAAGCATTACATGCTGAGCCAAGCAGGGAGCTGAGTGATGAAACACGCAGCAGCACCCGGCTTTTCTTGCTTGTCTCCCTTTGGGAGAAACAAAACCCCCCAGCAGTTTTTCCCAACCAGGTGGACTTGCGGCACGAGGCTTCCAACCTCAATCGCTTCGCAGAGAATTTCGGACACGGCATCGCCCAGGTGCCCAGGGTGTTCGCTTCGAGCGAGAGGATCCTGATAATGGAGCTGGTGCAGGGCCAGTCCTTATCCTCTTTCCTACAGAATGAGAAGGACCCAGAGCTCCGTCACAAGGTGTGGTCCATCCTGTCCGACCAAGCAGCCAAGATGGTTTTGGTGGACAACTTCCTGCATGCCGACTTGCATCCAGGCAACGTCTTGGTGACCATGGAGAAAGGGCGCTTGGGTTCCATGGCTCCGAAGCTCACCTTCATTGATGCTGGTATGGCATTGGAACTCCCGGAGCTCTTGGTGGACCAGCTGAAGTTAGCCATGCACGGAGCGCTCAGCAATGATGCAGATTTGCTGGGTCAGGCCTTGGTTGATCTGCATCGCGCAGAAGGCCTCTGTACGGACACCAGCCCATCCCTTCCTCACCGCCTGGGGGTGCTTGGGCTGTGCTGCGTCTTCACATGCGATGAAGCCCTCTGGGGTCAGCTGTTTCAGACTCGTGCAGACTACATGGGGGCGCGCACCCCGGAGTACTTCAATCGGATGGCGGCCATCATGACCGACCACGAAGTGCGAGTGAGCCCCGTGCTCTGGTCACTGCTGACGAGCTTCGCCCTCGTCGAAGGAGACCTTAAACGGTTTTTTGTATGGCCACTTGCCAATCCCCCTCCTTTGTATTTTGCTCACAAGAAACTCGGCTGCTGCCCCCCATTGAACCTCGGGATTCTTCTCTCTGTTCAGTGCTTTCACGACTTTTCAAGAACGCTTGAGCGGCTTGCGGCATGTGCCAGGATCACTCCATGAGCTGGGCTTCAAGACCAATGTCCTGCGCTCCTGTCTTCCCTACTTAATGTCCCAACGCCTGGACATCTTCCGCCGGGCTTGGGGAAGCTTCCGCTGCTCTGTTTCGGAAATGTTGAATGCAGGCCAGGTTCCACAGCAGGTGCTGGCCGTTTGATCACTTGATCTCTCTGGCTGGGTCTACACCAAGGTATGTAGACCGTCTTCCACAATCTGCTTCTAGCCAAATTTCTGTCAGACAGGAATAACTCCGGAACTTCTTCCTCCAATTTTGCACTACAAGAGTTGACGTAGATCCTTAGGCTTGCTTTTGCTAGTTTTGGAGGGGACACTGCGTGGGTTGCAGCAAGATCGGGGAATCTTTGGCCCCCCGGAAGTGTGCAACAAATTGGGGGAAGGGTTGACACATAATCATGCTCTGCTGCCTCAGCTAAACAGCTCACAGGCGCCCGAGCGCAGGTGCCCAGTTTTCGACGCCGGCGAGCGTCTTTGGATGCATGCTCTGCCTGCAGGCGCGCGAGCGCACGATTGTACAGTGAAAGCCAGACTGCGCATGCATCACCGAACCCTTTTTTTTTGCACAGGCCATTATGGTGCTGGCAACCGCCCTAGGGCTCTGTGCGGCAAGTAGCAGTTGGCATATGTGGGCATGATCCCGGGAACCTGATGAGATCTTGAAGGCCTCCACTCATAAACCACCCGCGCTTGAACCTCGCGTGTTTGGTGTGACAGGAGCCGCCAAAAAGTCCGTGTGCCAAACGAGAATCTGTTACCTGTCCAGCAGACACCACGCAGGTCCCCAGTCCTGCGACCTGAACGTACGCAAGTAAGTGACAAGTTAAGTCGCCATGCAACAACAATACACATTCGGCTCGAGCGGCCATCGGAAACCGAAACTGTACCCCTTTCTCCATATTGCAGCAGCAATTTCTCTGCATGCGCCCGGGCCTTGGCTTCGAGTTGATCTCTGCGTCTTTGTGTCCTTGTGCGGCCTAATTAGGCATCCTTTGGCATCTCGTCAGGTCTCCATGTTGTCTTTTGGGTGTGGCTTCTGGCAGAAGGGGCCCTGCAGACCACCAAGGCTGAATGATTTACTTACAATGAATGTGTGGTTGCTGGCACCATCCGAGACGGGCGACTGAGTTTGGTTGTCTTGCGGTAGGTGACCCAGCTCACCGACAAGCCGCTGGCCGATTCACGCCTTTACCAGCTGCCCACCTGCAACCACAGCACGACAGTAGGCCATGGAGAACCCTGGTCTAGAGGTTTAGCGGCGGCTCCATGGTTACAAGCCTGTGTGCGAGGGCCTGCACTTGGTTCTAAGTTCTAAGATGTTCTAAGGTTTGCTGAGCTGCCGAATGGCATTCAGGCCAGAGCAGTTGTCGCATCTCAGCAGTGGTCGCATTTACTTTGATGTTCCTGATGCGAGAACGTGTCCAGGTCCTCAACATCCAGGAAGAAAAGACGACTCAAGCAGCGATTGCCGTGTCAGTTCGAGCTGGCTCGATGTTCGAGCCGAAGGACCGCCTCGCAATCAGTGTTCGATGGCGAACCTATCAGCAGGTATGGCGTCATGATTCTTCCTGCACACATCAGAGCCTAAAAGGGAATGATATCTATATGACCTACCGTAGCTCAATAGACTGACTGCTCATTTTGTAAATCACCAATGGCTCACGGCATCTTAAAGTTGCACTTCTACGGTGTGTTATGCTGGGTTTTAGGACCTACACGGCTTGGCCCACTTTTGCGAGCACATGCTCTTCCTTGGCACGAATCCGGGCGTTAAAGCGTTTGTGCCCCTACTTTAGGGTCATGTTCGGGTCTACTTCGTGTTTCTTCGGATCTCGTCAGCCCCAGCAGCTCAGGAGGAAGTTTCCCGATCCAACTGGTTTCGACACATTTTTGGGTGAGGCTGGCGGCGGATCCAATGCGTACACGGATCAGGAGACGACAGCCACTTAGTCTGAACGTTGTCCTAGCGAGGATGTTTTAGGCGGGGCCGCGTGAGCTTGCATTCCAAGGTGTACTATGCCAATTTTGACAGCCGGGTGTTCAATGACGCTGTTGATCGGTTCGCAGATTTTTTTGCAGAGCCATTGTTCAACCGGCAGTTTGTGGAAAAGGAAGTCCACGCGATCGACAGTGACTAAGTGGCACAAAGTCTGGTCATGTTTCTTCAAGGGACGGACTGGGATTGTAGTAGATTGTTCCGAGGCGAGCATCAAAAGAACCTGCAGAGCCCCGCCAGGCGGGTGCTGCAGGTTTTGAATTACCTGGCAAATCCCGAGAGCCGAGCTTTGTCTGCAAGGGAAAACTGCCGTTGACTGGCCGACAGCATTGCCGGACATTCTCCAGATACGGATGGCGCACTGAGGCGTCAACAGCTTTGCGACAGGCAACTACGAAACCTTGATTGCCGAGCCGAAGGCGTTGGGAGCATTGCTGACATGCATGCAGATTCTCTGTGTTTTGCAAGTGCCGCAAGCGGTATGTCCTTCGAGTCAGGAGCAAGGGCGGGATATTGTGGATGCTTTGCGCAATTATTTTGAGTTTCCCGGCAGCAGCACATGTTGGGCTCTACCAAGACCTGCCCACCGCTTTGCCACAGCGTGTACTGTAGTGACTGCAGTGTCGGCCTTGGCAACCTCAATACTCGTTTCGCTGCTTGCAACTGTGTACACATAGTGGTGAGCTTATGGACTCTTTGTGTGAGGCGATCACATTGCCCGCAGCATTTGCGCGTTGTTACCGTCGCACCAGAACCAGTGGAGGACTTTACTTTTAACCCAAGAATAGCAAGCGAGGTTGCCGCATTGCTTGAAGTCAGTCCACTGCATTCATTTCAGCACCTGATGTGCGAGCAACCAGGATCAGCTTCAGAAGGTGCAGCACTCCTTCAGCACTGTGAGGGGCAGCGCGCCCTGCCGATCGAGCTGCAATCAACTGTGGTTGCGGAGAAGCTTGAAGTTCGACGCCGTAGTCTGCTGTAGGAATTTACACCCTAAACCCTAAACCTTAAACCCTAAACCCTAAACCGGTCATCAGAGATAGCGCTGCAGAAACCGGTTGCTGCCTCTCGGCTCTCGCAAGGTTTCAACCAGACTTTCGCAGAGCCTCCTGCCTGGCCGCCAGAGCAGCTGTCGAAGTTTGTGGTGGTGGAGCCTTCGGAGACGCTCGAGATGTTAAGATTAGGGTCTATAGGGTCTAGGGTTGAAACCTTCCAAGTTGAAAAGAGGGTTTAGGAAAGCACCTAAAAGGTGGGCTGTTCGAAGCCGTTTGCAAAGGGCGCACAAAGGGGAGGCAGCGGGGAACCTTCGACTTAGCCGTGTCGCTCCCCCTGAAACAGAACACGGTTGCGGTAGGGTTTTGTCTAGAGTGTTGCCGCCAAGCCTCGAAGGATAAGCTCAGTACTCCTAGGGGATCCAGGTCAGGCTGTGCTTGCATGGTTGGAGTCTGGAAACATCTCAGGGCTCGCCCCGCACTTTGGCTCCAGTTCGCCTTGCCGAACTTGCAGAAGGAGTTTGCGAGCAAACCGCTGAGCTACATCAGTTATGCCGCACCCTCAATGAGCCGTGGCAATCGTGCATGCTCATTGCTCATCTGCCAATAGCAGCCACTTGTGCTCACACGAAAAGGTCATTAAGTACGCCGGTGTGGCCTCCCTGCAGAACTCTTTAAAGAAGGAGGGCCTGATCCAAGATCTCTCTTCGGCTGACTCGTCCACGAGTGCGGGTACGCGTTTTTTCGTGGCCATGTACCTGACCACCAAAGGCCAGCAGAGAGAGTTGCAAAAATCGTGCAATCATACGATCGCTTCATTCCAGAGCTTGACGCTGAGGTTCTCGTAAGGGCTTGTGGGCTTGTTCATCGTACCACAGTGCAGCTTGCAGTTGGCAAGTGCCACTCGCATGTCTGGACAGGTGCGAAAAACATGGGCCACGTGATGGATCTCTTTTTCCAGTATATAGCAAAGATGAAGCATTTCGGCAGCTCCCTCAGCCACTAATCTTCAGACAAGGTACTAGCCAAGGGGCTTGCCCTGTATTTTGTGCAGGTGTGAACTCGGACTTGTACAGCTCGCTAGCAGACTTATCACGGTGCCTTGGTCGATGCAGCACTATGCGTATTCTCGGGTGTGACTTTGCGAGTGTATGCACTGGTATACACTCTGCGCATTGTAACGCTGGCAGGTTTCAGTTCAACTGGACTCAGCCGGATGCGCCGGGAGAAGCGGCCAAAGACTACGCTGAGCGAATGCTGCGGCTGCCTCCAAGCCGACTCATTTCTGGAGATACCCGTATAGATCACATGGATGCCAAGCTTCTTGGTGCTTTGCAGCCTTCGGAGCACAGAGCCTTTTATCGAACTTGTAATCGGGAATCCATGGTTTCTAAGGCTTGTCCAAAACCTTCTCGACTTGTTCACGCCGCAGAACCTCATTCTGGCGTATATTCCGTCCACAAAGACAAATGCGACCTTTCCAGAAGGTTCGCAGGTGTTTAATGACAAGTACATGAAGCTGGAATATGACACTTGGCAATCTTCGGGGGAGCATCGCATCGCATGACATCGCCGGAGCACGAGCCTTGCGAAGACTTGTGAAGAGCAAAGGCCGTAATGCCGCTGCAGAAGCGCATGCCTGATGCCGTCAAGAAGTGGACAAGCTGGCTCTCTTATGGTCCACCCTCGGAGGGGCCGAAGCTTCCAAGCGCCATAAAGCACATCCCGAAGGATGGGCCCTCAGCGAACTGGGACTATATCCCCCTTGGGAATTATTTCTTTGTTCATATAAAACCCAAGAGGAAGTTAAACATATTGTTTTTATTAAGGTTCTAAGAGGAGTATAGCCTCAACTGTGAGTTTCCTTGCACACGCAAAGGAAGTTTGTACGCGACCGAGGGCTTAAAGTCAAAACACGGTACGACAGGGCACCAGTTCTTTCATGTGTTTTCTACAGGAAATGAAGTGGGTGAACGAAAGGAGATCGGAGTTCGATCACTCCAGACAACTCCCTGAGCAAAACCCCCAACCCCTGTGTTGGGTTCTCCATGGGCAACGTCTCCAAGCGGGTGTTATTGTAGATAACTGTGGTTTCCCGGCGTAGACTCGTGTGGTGGCGTGTTCCCCCGTACCTGCCGATAGCTATGTGGAGCGGATCTGTGTAGCTATGTGGGTGGCAAAACGACAAGAGATGTGGTTTGCCCAGCAAGAGGCAAACAAAAACAGAGATTGATTTTTGCGACGCAGTCAGTTGCTTTGACCGCGCTCTCGAACATGTTGTTCATCTAGATCCTTTAGCGCAGCCGCACACAGAGCGCAGTATCAGCCAGATTCGACGAAGGCGTCGTAAAGATTAATTCTCCTAGCCAAATTGAGGTGTTGCAAGCAAGGGCTTGGAAAACGTACCGTCGGAAACCAGCTGCCGCTATGAGACATTCACGTATGCAGCATCAACAGTAATCATCGTGCATGTTCCGGGGCTCGTAGACATTGAGGTATAATTGGGCATGCGCTGGAAAAGTACTCATTTACTGTTGGCCTGCGTGCCAACGGCCCGCGTGAACCCTGGGCTGCCCGAGCTGTAAAGGATTAACAGTTTGCTCGTGCAAAGAAGCGGCGATATCTGAATTGTGCTGGGAATATTTCTGAAAGAAAAGGGTCACAGTCCGAGATGTGTATACCGTTCAGCAACCTCCTCTCCGGCCCTGTCCCCTCGGCAACATGTGCCTGACTGTACTAGTGACGGCGACATTCGAGATTTTTTGGTAGCTCAGCATGCATTTCGCGGTTTCTGCTTTCCGGTGGGCTACCCAGCCACAGCCCCGCAAGAGGCGCTGGACACAAGCAACATGGCGGCAGCAACTCCGGTGCACATGGCAGTCTCCTCACCAGAGGCAACTCCGGGTCCTTGAATGCTGATCGCACTAACAGTTGCTAGCGGCACTAGCGCGCCCCAACAGGAGAATCGCCTTCAGCTTAGAGCATGCTTCAACGTAAATATAGATCTTTCAGCTTATACCACCATGGTACGTCGCTATGTGACAGGCAGTCGCCAGCAGAGTGTTCGGCGCCTCGCCGGCTCTCCTGGGCAACGTCTCCACGGATCGGCTGAGAGTCCGATCCCAGAAGGTGCCCCAGCGAAAGGGCGGCTGCACTACTTGTTTTCAGCAAGAAGCGCCCGCCAAGCTTGTAGATTGATGAATGGCATCTACTCTCGACAGGTGTGGTATCGCAGTGGCTGGAAGACCACATCACCAAAGGCTTGCTCTCTCACTTGAGTCCATCATCTATCTCAGCACTTCGTATTGCCGAGCACGTGTGCGTGAATTAAGCACGTGGAAGGTCTCCATTGACGTGGCTCTGCGCCGCTACCGGGCGGCTCATGAGCTGGAAGCACGCGTGCCTGGTCTAACGGAGTCTAACGAGCCCCCCCCAACTCCCTCATCAGCAAACCTGTAGGTGAGGCTGTCGAGATTCATCAACAGGGGCGGCACAGGAGTCTCTGACCCCGGGTCGTGTACCGCATTGCTTCGTACTTGTGTAGTTTGGGATTCAGGGGTCGGGTATCCTGCTGTAGGCTCGTAAACGGGCTCCTGGAACCATGCGGCATTCGTGTGAAACTTGTTGTTGGCCTCTGGTCATCTGGACCCAGCTTACCTTCGCGTCGGCCAGAGGCAGAAGATCAGTTACAACTGCTGATTTTCGAGAGGCATCGCGTGAAGCATGCCAGCCTTTGTCAGCCATAGCTACGGCGTAGCTACGGATTTCGCGCCGCCCCGCCCTGTAGGCTCTTCATTCGCCAAATCACGCCACTTCTGGCAGATTTGACGACCACGGATCAGACAGTCACGACTCTTGGCGCCGTATTCAGCTGCAACTGTGAGGAAGGCCATTCCGGTAAACTTCCGGTAAACTTCCGGTAAACCAAGCTTTTGCCCTTGGAGACGTTTGAGGATCTCCTTGGACGAGGGCGGCCTGCAGTTGTCATTCGAAGCCTTCGCTCCGGTCCTCCCCAGTCTTATCGAGAAGTCGCCTGGGCAAGATGAGTTTGTCCTGTGCGCTGTGCATTGCTGTGCATGATGCCTCGCCCTAATGTGCAGACTCTGAGAAAGCTTCCGCGCATCAGGTTTGGGGTGCTCTTCAACAGCTTCCATCTCAATGCGTCACAAGGCTTGGCTCCAGAATTTAATTGGACCAAGCAGGAACTTTTGGACACCTACTCTGCACATCCCGACCTTCCTGCAAAGTATGCGGTGCAAGCTGGCAAAGTGCTCTTGACGGGAGACGCCCTTTCTCGGGAGGACTGCCTCTGCTTGTTGCAAAGAGTCGTTGCGATTTTTCGGCATCCCGGCTTCCGTGTGTTGGCACTTGATTCCTGAAATTCAGGCAAGTTCAAGTGGGGGTTTCCGAAAACAGGGGTACCCTTTCCATTCTATTTGGGGGATAAAAATGGTACCCCTATTTGGGAAGTTTGAAATACCCAAGTCTCTACTGCACTAAGCCAAATCCTGCAAGAGCCGCACGAATCCCAGCGCAGGAGTCGGCGGCTGGATTGGCGCAGGCGAATCCGGCTGCTGTCATGAGGCGGCCTCCTTGCTGTGCATGCAACATTGAGAAAAAGTACCCAAAAATTTGAGACCCGTCCGAGAGTGGGTGGCAAAAAAAGTAGCAGAACATGGAGTAGGTCCCTGGGCCTACTCATCCTGTCCAAGCCGCTGGCCTTGGATGCTCTGGTAATGGGCAACATCGATGGCAAGACAGCTCACAGGGCTGTAGGCCATGTCCTTGTCTCCCTCACTGGAATAGCCATCCAACATGTGCAACGTGCTCGCTATCACTATCAATCCTGACAGGCCAGCTCATTCAATCCATCGAAGTCCCTGAATGGGCTTCGCCTGCACCAGACGAGCAGAGAAGCCTCCCGGGCGCACCACCGATCGCGCTTCCAGCACAGCCTGTCGAAGCCTCGTCCCAAGTTGTTCACGTTCCTTCAGTTGGTTGTACCAGAAAGCGCAGCGTATGCATTCTTTGTACGATAGTGCTTAGGGAAGCAGTACACATACATTCACAGCAGTTTGAAGCTTGCAAAGCTTTTCATTCAAGCTGCAGTGCGTCCTTGTGTATCCTTGTAGCTCCAAGAGCGACCTTTCTTGTTCGAAGGGCATGGGCATCCTCCTTTCAGGTCCGCGCCCGGAATCCGCGCCACGGGGATCCCAACGATGTGGCGCTGGTCAAGATTTTGGTGGGAGTGGCCACTGTCGAGAGTCGAGCTGCCTTTGCTGCAATCGATCCTTGGAGCTCTTTGTGCTGAGGCAAAGGCAGTGAAAGCGTTGCTGGTAGTCAGGGTTGTTTATTTCGTGAGCAGGCAGTGATCCCTTCTTTGGCTCAAGCGCGACGACTAAGGGCTTGATCTTGGGCAACTTGATGTATTCCCAGCTTCGCACGGAAGAGCAGCTTGGATACGTGGTGCAAGGAGCAGTGGGCAGCATGTCAAATGCCCTTCGTCTCAATGCAGTTCAACTTTTCGTTGTGGAAACTTGCATAAGAAGTAGCGGCAAACGATGCAAATCTGAATTTGTCATGTGTGTAGTGTAGATGTGTGTGTGTGTGTCCATTCAATGTGTGTGTGTGTGTGTGTGTGTGTGCGTGTTAGTGTGTGTTTGTTCGTGTGTGTGTGTGTGTGTGTGTGTGTGTGTTTTCTTCTCTCTCTTTATGCCGAGTTCTGTTTGGCCGGGTAGAGGGGCCGCAAACCCTGCACCCGTGTATGTGTAGTCTTCCGAGGTGCCACGACCCCACACTAAACCCGAGTTCTCTCGATTCAGGTTCTGTACGTCGCGGGACTGGTGCAAGGCACATCACGGTCGGCTGATGAGATGGAAGCGGCCATCGAAGGCGTCTTCTGGGACAGCCTCCCGAAGCATCTGAAGAACCTGACAGATGCAGATGTTGACAGCTACAGGAGCCTTGGACTGTTTTAGGGTTTGTAGTGTGCAGGATTAAGAGGGTGAATGGCGATTCGTGCCGTGAACCCTGCTACTCTCAGAGTACCTAACCCCCCATAGCCCTAAACCCTAAGCCCGAATCCGTGCCTGCCGAGCGTGAATTTGTGAGCCGAAGCCCTCCTAAACCCTGGAGAAACAGGGCAGGGTTTAGGGTTTAGTTTAGGGTTTAGGGTTTAGTTGTGGGGTCTGGTTTGTATCACACATGCGGCTGGCGAGATTTTTCGGAGCCCAGTATTCAAAAGGGTTCACGGTTTAGGGTTTAGGCTTAGGGTTCAGGTTAACCGACACTAAGAAGAAGGCTCGCCTGCACCCTTGCGAGTACCACAGTCGAAGCCCCCGGAGGAAAGCAGTGAAACCCTAACCCTAAACCCCAAACCCTAAACCCTAAACCCCGGAGGAGTGGCCTCAGAGGGGGGTCAGCTAGGCGGGTGGCCAAAAAAAGCAAAAAACGGAGGAAAGCACTGGTGCAGCAATACCTGCAGCCTCCCAGCAGCATCGACGAGGAGCGCAAGCACTTCTTCGGACCAGCACCTCGGCCCTTTCTTGAACTTTGAATGTCTCCAGAGAATACACAACACATGTATTCAATACAATATAATGCGTAGACAAAAATGTAAATATATAACGTGATAGTTATTGTTGACCATACATAGTATCTGAGAGAGAGAGCGAGGGGTCCTGTTGGATTTCGAGTGCTTTATATCCAGTTTGTGGAAGGTCAAGCACCATGGAGCCTGCCAGATGCCCAGTTTCAACATTGAAGCCGAAGTAAAGCGCCCAAGCTTCCATGGTTGAACCTGAAACACCAAGGTTTTGATCTGGTTGGCGAAGTCGTGCGCTTTGCAAACAGTTCCGACTTCAACAAGGATTGCCTAGGGGCTCAAGCGTCAAGGGCTTGAAACCCGGTGTGTAGCTTCTCCACGGCATGGAAGCCATAGTCCGAAATTTAGGGTACCTGTTTTGGGAATCCTTTTTACAGGGAAGTATACCAAATTCGGGGTATACAGGTGTGGCCGGTATACCCCTATTTTGGGAAATACCCATGTAGCTCCAATTACCCATTGTTTGGTGCTTTGCAGGACGACAGGAAATTAATCAAAGGCGGGATATGCGTCCCCTTGAGCCCAAAGTTCCAAGACCAGTGGCCTTCCAGACCTGGAGGAAGGGGACGTGAATACCCTCATAGGGTCAGCACAGGAACCAGGAAGAACGGCCACCTTTCAACGCCTGAGCCTCCTGCTACTGAGCTATCTGAGCCCCCCGGCCCCCCGGTCAACTCCCCCTCTCCATCCCACGCGGTACCCCTCCCCCCCAGCCCCAGCCCCGACATTTCCCCCTAGTCTGACTGTAGCGGAACGAGCAAAGCTGGTGGCTTTTGGTAGAGGCGCACCCACCGGTTCGGGTCTAGGGTTTTTCCAGACTTGTTGCGGCCTCTGATCCTGAAAAGCCGAAGACCCCCCGACGTGTCGGTAGCCGGCTAGGCAAAAAATGCTATCCAGTTTACGTGTCCTACTTGGAGGTTGGAGGTCGAGCGGCCTATAACCCAAAAACCCACCACACACTCTGCTTGCAGGACCTCCTGGTGCGAAGCTGGTCCGAGCTCATGGCGCCGAACCGTGGTTGGCGCTGGAAGGCCCGAGCCCTTGGCAACCACTGCGTGGTCACTGCGCGGACATCTTTGTGCTTTGGGTTAAACATGCTGAAACCAAGCCCGCTGCCGTTGGAAGTTAGCGACCTCAACGTGCCGAAAACCAACATGGGAGCGTAACCGAGTCACAGAAATCAAGAGAGAAACCAAGGGCGGGGAAGGGATTACAGGATGCACAAACAAACAGTGAGACAATCTCGTGCGGGCGTGATTCTGAGCCCAAAACCATGAACCCTGACTCCTTAACCCTTCCTGCCTGGCTTCCGTTACACCTGCGTCTGGTTTCCACATTTTCGGGATTGTTTTGAGTTACATTTCCTTTGGTTTCTGTTCTGATTGTCGGCGCTCCCTTTTGGTTCCTTGAACCTGGTCGCTGAGCTCGTAACTATCGTCGTTTTTCCCGGATGCGTAGCGAGGGGTTGCCGCACCAAGGGTTGGGTGCCCGAGTGGTTGCAGGGTGTCATCACTGCATGTAAGTGTCAACCGTCACGGAGATCAAAGCAGTCGTGCCGGGATCGCGATCCTCGCATCGGAATTTAGGCAGGTTCGTGGCCGCCGTCGCTCTTATTAGGTTTGAGGTTCAGACTCTGGCGGGGGTTACTGTCGTGGTCGCTTGCCGCAAAAATGCCTGGCAGGTCGCCGTGAAGTACTTCGGGAAGGGCGTGCCAGAGCGGCCAGACTCGACAGCGACGCGGCTGGCCCTGCAAAAGCGAGGCGTGCCAGAAGGGGCATTGTTAGGCACTCAGACCTCAGCGGAGTGCTCTCCGTGCTAGCTTCCTGACGGGTGTGGCGCCTGCAACCTGTAACTGTCTGAAACCCAGGTCGCAGCTAGTGCAGGAGCATGAGAAGACGATGCTCTTGAAAAGCGCCGACTCAGCAGCCCGCATGGCGATATCTCGGGGCAGCGCGGGTGTCCTGCATGCAAGAAGTGAATGTGTTGCGATGTGATGCTCACGTACAAACGCATCAGGAGGCAGCGAATACTTCCCCACTGACTTGCATTGCCGGCGGGCCAGTCCGGATCGACGATCTGCAAGCTTCCTAGCACGCAGGAGCTGAGCGTATTTGGCTCAGAGACGTGAGTGTGAGTGTGCATTCTGAATCGTTGACACAGGACCCGGCGTGTGGCTGCTTGAGCAGGGCCAGCTACGAGCAAAAAAGGATCACCGTTAGCTGCCAGGAGACTAGCTGAGCAGCATGGAGTGAGATGGTTGTCACACTTTCCTGACTTAGTGATTCAGCTAACGAGTAGCAGCACATGGCACATGCCTCAGCATGAGCAAAGCTGACCCTATCGGCATCGGTTGAGGCCTTTCTAGACCCAGAAATGGGTAGCGGCCTGCCCTCAGTGGAGATTGTTGAAGCAACACTTGCGGTAGTTGCGTCAAAGAGTCATTTGCAAGGTACAGACATGGAAGTCGATCACGCATGCGAGCCACGCTGTCGGATGCATAGTCGGTTCATGTCGATTCGAACCTCAGCCGCTCTTCATGATGGGCGCTGAAGTAACTACGAAGCCATTCTGGATGATTGCACGTGCGCGATGAGCTTCGCTGATGCTGGCCGATCTCGCCGGCTCACCTTACTGCTTGCAGAGTTTGGACTTCCAAACGACGCAGACGCAAGTGCCTTGCAAGTCAGGTACCGCACCCTGGCAAAACAGAGGCATCCCGATATGGTGGCAACCGATCGCCGCGCGCGAGCGACCGCAGACTTCGCGAAGATGCACAGCCGATATCAGGAGGCGCTTGCGCTCTTGGAGAAGCCCAGCCGGTTATCTTCTGCTGACAGCGACCACATCATCCGAACCCACAATGGGTTGTTCTACCACGACCCATATAAATGGGCTCCTTCAAAACCAGGTGGGCCCAAGTTGAAGCATGAAATGCATCAAGTCCCGGCGAGCTGGATGACCAAGATGAAAGGGGTAGCTGTGGTCGGCAGCTCGATGGCGCTGGCTCTCTATGTCTTTGACAGAACTGCACGCAAGCGGAGCTTGTCCTTCTGGAACACGTAGCAGGACGTAACCCTTTCCAGTCCGATCTTGCTGAACCGAAGTGCGACTTCGCCGTGACCATGAGAAGATGAAGGGGGCATCTCCGGCGTAGTGTAAGATTCGGATGATTCGGAGAATGTGCAGTACCCTGACTGTGTTGGGTGTGGATGGCACGCCGGGCCATGCCATCAGAACCGCGTAGGCGGGAAAAACTGCGCCGATGATTTTTTAGCGTTATAGATCTCAGCGAGCGGCAAGCACAGCTACCAGAGCATCTCGAGCGCACGGACAGTGAGCCATTCCACCCACTCTGGAGACAGCTCAGTATCACATGGCCAGGTTCGACTTTGCAGCGTGAGCTCCTGTATATCCAGCAAGAGCCCTAGATTCCCTAAGGGGTCCATGCAATGTTGCATCTTCAGCTGGGTTTGCTGCCATGATTGACTTCATGTGCGAGCAGCCTTCATGAGCACGCTGGCAAGGATGGAGTTCTGTGATGGCACAACTCTGCGCGAGGCATCGGGGTCATCAGCAGAGCAGTCATACTGATACTGGCCTGTTTGTGTGAACGTGGTCACGCAGAGGCCATTGGCAGTGGGGTGCTGCAGAAGGACGAGGCATTGATTTGGAAGCTGCTACCTGCCTGCAGCGCTTCTTCCAGTACCCTTGCTTCGGGCTTTGTGGTTTTGTGGCTTTTTGTGAAAACTTGCGCTCGGCGATGTGGAGCCGAGGTTTCGTCAAGTGCTAGATGCCGAACCCTCAGCTGCTTCTCACATACTTCCTGTTGATCTTGCATTGTGCTTGTGCGCTCCGGCCGTTCGATACCTTTCCTTAGCTGCCAGGCGTTGGCATATATGCATTCGAGAGGCCAGGGCAACGCAGTGGTAACACCGGATCTACAGAGATTTGCAAATCCGAGGCCTCATCCACCGCGACGTCAAGCCGCGTGGGCCCTACTTAGGTTGTAGAGATCAGCAGACCAAAGACCAATCTGAAATCTTCCTTTGAGGCCACAGTATGCTCCGCAAGACCCCGCAGGGGTCGAAGTAAATCTGGGCTTTTTGAGTTTTCTATTTCGAAAAGTTGAAACATTACCATTAGAGAACTCATATGATGTCGCAAAGGGCCCAAGACCCCAAAAGCGGCGTGAATTGCTTCACCGGCTCAAGGATGACTCGACTGCCGCCGCATGAGGCCTAATGCACGCAGTGCAAGAATCTGCGCGAACACGGTTACCAATGGCAGCCTATCAGGAAGGACAAGACAAGCCCTGACTAGACAAGACACAACGCCACGCGCCTGCAAGCTGGAGCGGCTTCATGGGAAGAAATCTATGCACGCGGCCGGTGGCAGGCAAGTCATATCTCCACACGTAAAGGTCAATCGATAGGGTGGTCGCAACGTGTGTGCATCGCAAGCATTACTTGAGGTAGCACATTTGACATGAGAATTTCCGAAAATAAGGACACTAATATAGACCCCAAACAGTAAGATTAGTAAGATTCCCTTATAAGAAGGATCCCCAATAAGGTAACCCCTAATTTCGGAACCCCCACATGCCAGTGGCCGCTGAACCTGGCATTCTGTTGGATCTGTGCCAGGAGGAGAGGATTGGCACTTCTGGCACTGCTGTTCCAGGCCCTGAGTGGGGGTTACGTAGTTCATTCGACCAAACTCAGTTCAATCCCGGTGCCTGCTTCTGACTGCAAGGGAATCTCGGCATGCTGTGGATGTCTGTGCGTGAGAGAGTGAGAGCATCCTCCCTTTGCCTTTATGATTGTTGTGTTTTGCGGGTTTTTGTGGTTGTTGTGGCTGCTGCCCTTTCGCGTACATCCTGAGTTTCTGCAAAGCAACGTGCCTGTCGGTGTCCGGGGTGATCCTGAGCACTTGGGTATAAGGGGTGAAAATGCGGGGGGTTAAGCGGGGGTTTAAGCGGGGGTTAAAGGGCGTATTGCATGCCCTGAATGCAGTTCGCCATCTTGTTCGTCCTGGGCTGGTCGCAGCAACAGGGCGGCAATTCAGCGTGCCAGGGGTGTTTCAAGGGGTTGCGCATCACACTCAGCTTGCTTTCATCATGGCGTTTGTTCAGAGTTACCTTGCCTCAAGCCATGAGCCACCCTTTGCTTCTTGCAAGGCATCCCTGGACGCATGCAACAAGACACAAGAATCACAACAACCTGTCGCGCAGTGAAGATTGCAATGCCTGAGGTGGGGTTCTTATGGAACACTCCTGCCGCGACGATGGGTGAGCGCCAACTGGCTTCTCGGCAGCGGTGTTCCCAAAGGAAATTTCGTGTTGATGCGTACGGAAGACGGATATGAACGAATATGCCTTCAGTTCAGGCCGTATACGGTGGCGGCCACCTTCTTCAGCGCGCAGCAGCTCGGAATAACTCTATTCTGACTGGAGGAGGCCAGCGGGCCAAGAATAATCTACAGAACACAACTGCAAGCTCGTCATGGGACAATGTACAAGATGATGTTTTTTTTCCAATGGGTTCACATTGTCGCGCTGCAAACCGTTCTCTGCCAGCTGAGGCTGATCATTTGCAGCCTCCTCATCCTTGCAGCCCTGCCGATGACCCGCTCAATTCCAGCAGGTCCGAGCCTCTCCACTGAGAGACACACTACGACACGCTTTGGCATAGAATGTGCGTGCCACGCTCGCACGGATAGGTTCAAGCCAGCCTTGCCTGAAGTCTGAGGCTCTGGCGAGGCAGAGCATCTCCGAAGAATGCGGCAGGCTCCGGTTCTGCTGCAGATGACCAGGTGGTGGGGGGTTTAGGGTGTGGGGTTTAGGGTTTAGGGTTTATAGGGTTTAGGGGGGTGTGACCAGCTCCCCGAGTCAAAAAAAGGGGTATGACCAGGTGTGGTTTGCGTGCTTGGTGCGTCTGCTGGGAAGGTTGCCTCGATCATGCTGTTCGTGAGCTTGGTTTGCAGCGGCCACGGGGCTTTGCTCAGTTAAGCACAACCCTTTTGTTTAAACCCTAAACCCTAAACCCCAAACCCAAATCCCTGGTCCTGGAGTGACGTCAAGCATCTGAGCTTTCTCCGTGCTTGACGTGAGTCATCATGATCTTATGTACATGTAGATGCTGCATCTATGTGGCCACACCAAAAGGTACTTGAAATTTGGCACAGTAAGTACGAGCACACGCCAACTCAGATATTCTGACCCTCACCCCTAAACCCTTTTGGGGTTTAGGAGGCCTGGATGCAAAAGGGTTTAGGGTTTACGCTTGCGACACGGGTGGGAAAGAACCCTGAACCCTACGTAAACCCCAGCGATCCCAGGTTATTACCTCAACCTTGCTCTTGCGGATGAAGATCAAAAGCTCATCAGCGAGAACAACTGGTGGACAGGTGCACATGGCAGTGGGAGAGAGCACTATTGAGGGAGTACCCTAGCAGACGGCTCCCGAAACCCTGAGCCCGACACCCTAAACCCGACACCCAAAACCCGAAACCCGAACCCTAAACCCCAAATCAACTTTGGGATGCCGCCCTGTAGTTCCAATACTGCTGGGGGATGGTCCCGATGATGTGCTGGTTCACAGTGCAGTCGCGCTCAGTTGCTCAGACTCACAGAGAGCGCCGAGCAAAGCCTAAACTCTGCCCATCCGAGGTGAGGAGGAGGTCCGTCTCAAGGGCCGCTACTGGCCACTTTCGCCGCACTATGTTTCAAAGGTTCAAGGTGTTCAAAACCAGCCAGTGAAAGGTAGGCTTTTCAGGTTGTGAGGAGAGTGCCTGGTAGAAGAGCGCCGCGGGACAGTCTGGGAATTGCAACGCATTTTCGCAATCTCACCTTCGCCCAGGCTTTGGGCGCTACTTGACTCTTGGCTGAATTCGACGCCATCTAATGAACCTAATGTTGCCTGATGTTGTTTTGACTGCCTTTTCGAGCTGAGGCCCCTTTGCAATGGATCTGCTATGCCCGCCTGTACACTAGAGCAACTGCACCTGAGCGACTTGGGAAGCAGCGTCATACACGCCTGAGGCAGAGCTAACAAGTCACACACATCTTGGAATTTGCGTCCGTCCTCTGTGCCGTTGGGCACTATACCAGATGCATGATGTGGCCGAGGATTCTCTCAGTCGTTTTCACCACATCCTCGGCTCCTTGCTTGCGATTTTCCCATATTTTGATGCTTTTCGCTAGTATTTCGAGACCCGCGTTGCGCAACTGAGATGATACTTCTGGGGCTCGGGTCAGCAACTGAACGCTCCCGCTCCGGCAGCCGTGGCCAGGCGGTGGCTTTGGGCGCACCTTATCTTGCTGACGTATAATGTGGCTTATACTTCTTTCTTGTTAATACCAGATGCAAGGCACTCGACAAAAACAAGAACATAGATGTATATGTAATATGTATGTATATATATATATGTATACATATGTATGTGTATATGTATATGTATATGTATATGTATATGTATATGTATATGTATATGTATATGTATATGTATATGTATATGTATATGTATATGTATATGTATATGTATATGTATATGTATATGTATATGTCTATGTATGTATACACACATACATACATACATACATGACTATAATAATACATATATATATATATATGTATGTATGTATATATATATATATACCTCTACGACATTTGAACGTGTAGAATGTCGACTCTGCTGGGCCAGCCCAACGTCTGCACATGGGCTTTCCAGCTTGGTGCAGGGGAAGCTGTACTTCGTGGGATCATTTTCCTGCTTCCTGTTGATGTTCCGCCAGGCATGCCCATGGTTGCATGACGCACAGAAAGACGGGTCGATTCTGCTTGATTGAAGGGTTTGAAGTGCAGGTCTCGTGGCTGCCGTGCCTTGGACTGTTACTAATTTGTCCGCTGCCTCTGTTTTTTCCCGAACAAAATGCAAGCAGCTAGCGCAGCATCGCTGAGTGCGGTCATGCAGGCTTACGGGCAGGTTGCAGGCAAGAGGGCTCGCCAAGAATGGTCGCACGGGGGCTTGCACACCAGGTGTGCCTGTTTGTGTTGTCTGCTGCTTGTTTTGGTGCGGTTTTGCGGGTTCACCCGGAACTGGTGGCCCTGCGACACTGACTCTCAATCGGTCGCGTGAACCAGTGCTTTTCTATCCGCCAGTGCTCGGCGTCCAGCATGGCCGGGCAATCATAAGACTCAGACACCGCGAACCATCATGCTGTCAGCAACCCTCCTGCCCCTAAACCATGGCCAGAGCCCCAAAAGGACCTGACACAGCCGGACACAAACAAAAGGTGCAATGGCCACATCATAAACGCGGCATACAGTAGGAACGTTGTTTCCGACATTGCCTGGAACCCCGTTCTGAGACACATGTCGTGCATGTGTTCTTATGAACTCATTTGAGGGCCAACAGAGTTCGGATGCAGCACGCATAATGAGGTTGGAGCCAGGATGCGCGCCGCTGGCTCGAAAGTACCAAAGGTAGCCTGGCTGCTGGGTCTCGGTGGGAAAGGCAACGGCGAAGTCCTTCAAGATGCCCGTGTGTTGAGCTAGTGGCTCCGAAGTGCCACCGAGGTTTGCCGTATTCCTATGGGTGATGTATCCAGTGCCCCCCTTAGACGCTGCATTGTCCTGCATGGATGTCGATGAAGACCTGCGGCTGCGCTCCAAGCCATGCTTGCCAGGCCTTTCATTTGCTGCGCAGCTTTGGAATCATGACCTTGTGGCAAGAGCAGGCCGTTGGGCGTGAGAGGGCTCGAAGGGGTCGGCAAGAAACGCCGCAGGATCAGGCGTAAGTGAAGTGTGCGATGGTCACCTCGACTGACCTTTGGTTCTATTCGTTCGGCCCTTCGACAGGTCAGCCGAAGGCAGACTGGCGCACCCTAGGGCCCTAGGTCTCACAGGTCCGGTCCAGCTCAGCCCTACTCTTTATAGTTGCCTCGCGGACCACTCGCATGCCTTCCGCGATAGTGTCGACCAAGCCGTAGGAGGGGGTTGTGCAGACTACTTGTTAAGTGCAAAAGGGGTTGAGGTGATCAGTGTCGAACGTAAAATTAGGGCTCGGCAGTGCAGCTGACTCGTTGTCTTCGAGCCGCCCTGCCCAGGTTGTGTTTAAGTCTTCAAAGGGGTTGACTCAGAAAAGGAGGCAAGTCGAAATTCTCGCACTCAGACAAATCGACCGAGATCAAAGGATCCGTCCACACGACGGAGCAAGACTTCGGGCGCGCTATGGCGCGCTCGTGCGCGAGGGGTCCATGTGGCCCCTTAAGCTCAGCAGAAGAGTGCTCTTGAAAAGTACACCAACTCGTTTTACTTTATTATCATTCTTATTATTATTACTACTATTGTGTTCATCACGTGGTCTCCCTGCAGGTCCTGGGCTACACTGTCCTCGATGTGGTCGCCAAGGGCATCTCGTTGTTGCTGTGTTTCTGTGGGCCGATTTTCCAGTGGCTCAGACTGCAGCTGTTCTAGCACCTTGAGCTGGGTGCCCTGGTATGTTGGCGTGTTTTCGCACCTGAGGAAGTTCCTGAGTAGCTTGGGCAACCGACAGATTCAGAGTGCCTGGGTGCCCAGTTCCGGGGCACTACTTGAGTTGAGCGAGTGCATGGCCGAAGCTGCGAGCTCCAGCTCGCCATGGGTACATGCGCACCCGTGCGCACCTTCTCCAAGGCCATGATTGACTGGAGAGTCTCCGTGGACGACCGTTGGCGGGTCATGAAGCCAACGACGGAAGCCGCACAGTCCGCAATACCTGGGCTGAGCATTGAACACCTTGCTGTCCTTTAATATGTCTTGAGCAGCCAGCTAAGCCAAAGCTGGGGCAAATGCTGCAAGGCGCTCGGCGCGATGCAAAGGCACTGGTTTGGAGGAGAGGGATGCCCCCAAGGGTGAAGTAAGAGAGCTTAAGAACAGTTTGGGGGGGCTGTTGGGGTGGATATGATGTTGGGTGTTTTTCATATTGGAACCAATTGACCTGGGGGGGGCCGGGGGGGGGGGCCTTGTTGTGCTGATGCATAGCAGAAAAGCACGAACTACGGCCATCCATGGCTTTAGATTTGAGTGGCTCGAGTGAAGACAAATTCAGACGTACAGGAGTCTTCTGATTCACCTCTACGGTTACACTCACGCACAGCACACACGGCCTCGTCAGGTCTCGGTAGGACGCTACCCTCACAAACTATCTTGCCGACAGTGCGGGACTATGTCGGGCGCTGAAGGCTTCCTACGCGCATGCGAACGCCAAACTAGGAGGTTGACAAGGAGAACGGCCAAAAGCCTTAACGTTTGCAGGGATAGCGGAATGAGAGCTGTATTTCACCGCCCCATTTGTGCAGTACTCGTGTCAATCCGGGGGCCAGTGCCTCAACGTCGCCTCGTGTCGGTTCGCCCTAGCGCCCCAGCGAGGAGACCTGGAAGGTGCCAGCTTTTTGGACCAAGTCGTGGCTACCGACTCGCTTCTCAGCGTAACTACCAAGGGTTGCTTTTGTTGGTGGAGGGTGCTCTGAGTGTTCTCTCAGTGCTCTCCTTAGAAAAGGTCCCGGGAGGCTTTGCGCACTGCAGCGAAGTCTGTCGATTCAGATCCGCACTTCTCCAGTCAGAAGGCTGGAGTTTCCGATTTTTTGACGTGGCGCGAGCAGCTCATCTCGAAATCTTGCGCATGCGGTGCTAGTGGCATTGAGTTGCGCAGGTGCCGGCGATGCTTAGGCTCGTCTTTGGGGTCGAGAAGTGTTTCAGAAAATCCCTGAGCCAAGCTGTCTACGATCTAGGCGGGCGCATGACAAAATTGGTGATCTCAGCATATTTGGACATTCCAGGATGTCACACGGCGGACAAGCTCAAGCGCTAGTTTTTTTGTCGCGGAGCATGTGGGGGTCCAGGCAGCTAGCCAGAGCCCTGGATCATGTACACAGTAGCAAACCGGTGGCATGTGCTGCACATTCTTGTGACAACAGCAGGTCAAGCTTAGATCTGGCAAACTACCAGTAGACAGGAAACGTGTGGAAGACAGCTATTGACAATTGATGCTTTGCACCGCCCTGTGGACCAATGCAAAAAACCCCTAGAGCATTAACCATCGGTTGCTGCCACCAGAATTGCCGACCTTATGGTCACCGCCCGCTCCCTCCTTTCATACCAGTGCCCGGTGTGTAAGTATTGCAATAGCCATATGACAAATAAAACCCACAAATTCTCAAAACAGGCAAGAACCTTGGCAAACAGCGTAAAGCCTGACACTTTGCGCAAGCTCACAAAACTCTGTAAAGCCCTGGAACAGGGGCAGTCTTTAACCTGGCGCGCGAGGGAAGGGGCGGCAAACCTGTTGCTGGTTAAATCTTGTTTCATGTCGTTCCTTCTTGCGCGATTTCCAGTTATCCCTTTCTGTTGGTAGTTTTTGTTCGTAGCGAGGTCGAGACCTGACCTTGTTCGTGTGC